ACCCTTGTTGATCTTCCCAATTGAATGTAAAGTTTAACGGGGGTGGGAGTTTAATATACCCTAATACATTTGTTGATCTTCTTAATTGAATGCAAAGTTGAACGGGGGTGGGAGTTTAATATTCCCTAATACGCTCGTTGATCTTCCCAATTCAATGTAAAGTTTAACCGGGGTGGGAGTTTAATATTCCCTAATACCCTTGTTAGTGGGAGAACCTCCACAGAGTCAACCCCTAACTTGGTTGACCCTCTGGAGGCCCCTCCACCGGGTCCACGTATTCAGAGTTCGGAACGTACTTGTACAGAACAAAAAACGATACTTTATGTATACTTAGTAGAAATCACAAGGTCAACAACTAACCAAAAACATTAGTTTCTGTGGACCCGGTTGGACTTTATGTAAACTTGCTAGAAATCACAAGAAGCCAACAACTAACCAAAAACAATAGTTTCTGTGGACCCGGTGGGAGAGCCTCCACAGAGTCAACCCCTAACTTGGTTGACCCTCTGGAGGCCCCTCCACCGGGCCCACCTATTCGGAGTTCGGAACGTAATTGTACAGAACAAAAAACGATATTTTATGTATACTTGGTAGAAATCACAAGGTCAACAACTAACCAAAAACATTAGTTTCTGTGGACCCGGTTGGACTTTATGTAAACTTGCTAGAAATCACAAAGTCAACAACTAACCAAAAACAATAGTTTCTGTGGACCCGGTGGGAGTGCCTCCACAGAGTCAACCCCTCACTTGGTTGACCCTTTGGAGGCCCCTCCACCGGGTCCACGTATTCGGAGTTCGGAACGTCAGTGTACAGAACAAAAAACGATACTTTATGTAGACGTGGCGGAAGCGCCTCCACAGCGTCAACAACTAGCTCAGTCGACTCCCTGGAGGCCCGTCCAACGAGTCCGCGTGCTGACAACACGGTATACCTACAAGAATAACGATTCACCAACAACAAGCACACAAACATTCCAGCTGCTTGGGTGAGCTTTTCAAACTCCAAAAGTTTCTTTCCAACCGATTCTTGTCCAAAATGCCTACCTTGTACATCTAACGTTAGAAATCGGCAAACTCTTCAACGCAATTTCCACGAAGTCATGAATCCGCTTGTTGATCTTCCCAATTGAATGTAAAGTTTAACCGGGGTGGGCGTTTAATATTCCCTAATACCCTTGTTGATCTTCCCAACTGAATGCAAAGTTTAACGGGGGTGGGAGTTTAATATTCCCTAATACCCTTGTTGATCTTCCCAATTCAATGTAAAGTTTAACGGGGGTGGGAGTTTAATATTCCCTAATACCCTTGTTGATCTTCCCAATTGAATGTAAAGTTTAACGGGCTTGGGCGTAGTAGTAGTAGTAGTAGTAGTCGTAGTAGCAGTCGTAGTAGCAGTAACCGTAGTAGTAGTAGTAGTCGTCGTCGTCGTAGTAGTAGTAGTCGTCATAGTAGTAGTAGTAGTAGTAGTAGTAGTAGTAGTAGTGGTAGTGGTAGTGGTAGTGGTAGTGGTAGTGGTAGTGGTAGTAGTAGTAGTAGTGGTAGTGGTAGTGGTAGTGGTAGTGGTAGTGGTAGTGGTAGTGGTAGTGGTAGTGGTAGTGGTAGTAGTAGTAGTAGTAGTAGCAGTAGCAGTAGCAGTCGTAGTAGTAGAAGTAATAGTAGTAGTGATAGTAGTAGCAGTAGTAGTAGTAGCAGTAGTAGTAGTAGTAGTAGTCGTCGTCGTAGTCGTAGTAGTCGTCGTAGTAGTAGTAGTAGTAGCCAGTAGTAGTAGTAGTAGTAGTAGTAGTCGTCGTCGTCATAGTAGTAGTAGTCGTAGTAGTAGAAGTAGTCGTCGTCGTAGTAGTAGTAGTATAGTAGTAGTAGTAGTAGTCGTCGTCGTCGTCGTAGTAGTAGTAGTAGTATAGTAGTAGTAGTAGTCGTCGTCGTCGTAGTAGTAGTAGTAGCAGTAGTAGTAGTAGTAGTCGTCATAGTAGTAGTAGTCGTCATAGTAGTAGTAGTAGTCGTAGTAGTAGTAGTAGTAGTAGTCGTCGTCGTCGTCGTCGGCGTGCTTGCGTTACAAACAGTCGCACCTTCTCTTGCCTCTCCCTCCTGTCTTTTCCCCCCCTACCTTTCGTCCCCCCCCTCTCAAGTCTGAAGGAGGTCTAGTCTCCAGTAACGGTTTCCTGGAAAGGGAACGAAAGGGACAAGTTATTTGCTGGCGATCAACTTGCACACATGTGGATGTCTTCATTTCCATGTCACACTTTCCACTGCTCTAACGCTGTATTCTAATGTATTCTAGACCTTCATGACAATCAAGAATACTTCCAGCATCTTCCAGCGCAATTACTTCCAAAGTAGCGTCAATTCATCTATTCTCACAGTCAGACTGTGACTGACTCATACTCACTCATCTTACTCAATGAATTGCTTACCAGGTTACCAGGTCGTGAAACCAAGGATACCAGTGTAACCAAGGCGACCCCATGCGACCCCCCATGCTGATGGGCTGAACTTAATGAAAGGAAACCATGGAGTTGGCGGAGCTTCGACGACGGAACGAAAGCTCAGAACTCAAATTCGGGGGTCATAACATGTCATAAACACATATAAACACTGGAAAAGCAACAAAAAAACTGGACTCAGAAATGAAAAGGACAACTTTGGGCTTCGGAAGCCCATGTTTGATCATGTTTGATCATGTTTGACCCACACAGTTCATTTTAGGTTGGTTGTTAGGATAGGAGCCCTTCATTTCTTAGCAAATCTTTCCAGAATGTCTTTCCATGTTCGGCAACACCCGGGAGAGCGGGAAGTAAATAAGGCAAGATCAGCCTGGTTTTGTTTTCTTGTTTCATTATGTTCGATTCCGAGAGGAAGTCAATAGGGACGGAGATTGTGTAACCACTGTGAGCTTTGTGAGCTTCCCTGTGGTTGCAAGATGTTGCAAGATGGTGGGGATCAAAGGTTTCGATGTTGACGCTCTACGAGAACGAGCCTTCAAAGCACTGAACCAGCGTGGATTGCAGGGCGCCGAGCATCGCCGAGGGTGATGTGAAGATATGTGAAGATGAAGGGGATGCCAGTAGGAGCATGTGCAGCATGTACTCTGGCGACTCAGTTTTTTTGGAGAGTGGGCCTTTCAGTGATTCAGCGTCAGCCAGTCAGCACCCATCAAAGATTCAAGATTCAGAATTCACCAGCAGCAGTGCAAGCAACGGAGGGCTCGCGGTCATGGATCAAGGGCAATCAATGGCACATTGCACTGAGATGCACTGAGGTCGATTGAGCTTTTTACGATGCTGGCTGCTGCCTCAGGGTGCCGGAGGATTCAAGCGTTGTGATGCAATGTATGATATGTATGATATGTATGGGGATGTGACCCGTGAGACGTGTGCAGATTAAATCAGGAGATTTCGATACGATGGGATACGATTGGTCTGTTTCAAGCTGCATCACTCTGAGAGGAGATCAATGCATCACCCCGCGTCCCTCAGGTGAAGCGTGGTGGTGTGAACATCCAGCAGTTGCATACCATTGCAGATCCCTGGCAACCGTTCGGCAGCCTAAGAGCCTAAGACTTCCTGCCCAGAAGTGTGAGAAGCACTTCAAGACCCAATATATGAATGGGCAAATATGTTGGTGTCATTCGCAAGGCGTACAGGACGTACATGTGTAAATTTGGGAAATATTGGGATATTGGGATTAATGTGCTCAATATGATTCAATATGGAATATAAATATTATGTTGATATTTATATATAAAACTATATAAATAATTATTTTCCTTGTTGTTATTATTTATGTATTATTATCATTATTACTATAATTTACTATATATATATACTTGTATACATACACTTATATATATATAATATAGCAACGAGGCATAGCATGGTTGCATTATTCTTGTAGAACTGCAACATTGGCTTGTCTCAATCCCTCTAGGGAACAAAAGCAACACCGCAACACTGCAATGCAATGCTTAGATGTGAAGCCAGATCTCCCATTTTTTTGTCTTTGAATTTCGTCACTCAGGAGTGAAATTAGAATAGAATGAGTTGCACTCTTGGACTTGTATGGATTTTGCGGTCAAATTTCCCGGTGGATACAACATGAATTCAGTCAATGAAATATCATGGCATCGCAGATGGCCCACCAAAGGCTTGATTCCAAGTGGCGTTGTGCCGAGGCCAGAGAAGTACGATGGCCCGGCTTTGTTGGTGCTGGCACCCGACTCACAGGAGCCAGAGCCTCGAGCCCTTGGAGATCTTGGAGAATGGTTGGGACGGTTGAGTTCTTCGGAAACTTGAATGATCACTTGATGTAATTTGATGATATTTGATGTAACTTGTGGTTTGCAGACTTTCATGATCTTTCATTGAGACTTGTGCTGGGTGGCTAAGGTTTGCAAGCGCCAAAGAAATCAACGCCCAGTTCTGCACTGCCATGGAGGCGGCTGTTCACTAAAGTGTCAATTCGTTTCTCATGGTGCAGAAGGTTAAAGAGTCTCGTGTGGAAAGGGAAGCCAAATATACATGATGTATCCGAAGATTGGCGCTGTTTTGCAACAGTTGTCCAGCCGCGGTCTAGCTGACCCAACCAACCCAGGGGGACCCAGCCCTTCCTGTTTGTGACAGGTCGCTTCTGGCGCAGGAAGCCACTACAACATGATGCAGGTTGCTGCTGGTAGGGTGGGACATGGTGGGACTTCAGCTTAGGTACTCGTGTAGACAGCGAATCGTTGATGTGAAGTGACAGGGAGACTGTACCTCCGCATCCTCCGCTTTGCAGTTTCATGTTTGATGATTATGTGTCAATATGTATCAATATGTATCATATCATTTTTCATGATTCATGAGGTCATGAGGATTGATTGATCCAGTTGAAGCAGTCCCGAAATGTCGTGCCAGCGCCCATCGGATGGGTCGGATCGCCAGGGAGCACAAGCTGGTGTGCAAGCTCAGCTGGTGAAGGAGTTCCTCCACAGGTTGCCTGGGGTGGACTTACCCATCGCGCTCAGTGTGGCACCTGGATGTGGTGGGCGATGATGGCGATGGTGGGCGGTACGGTTGGTATGTCGTGGTCCAAGAAAGTGAGATGCAATCTTCACATGAGCCACCTTTTAAACCCTTGTGTTCATGTTAAGCAAGGGGCCCCTTGTAAGGCTGTGGCGTAAGCAAAACTGTGGTGCGCGTAAGCCAGCGTAAGCTCCGCGTAAGACAAGATGTGCGCGTAAGCAAAACCTGTGCGCGCGTAAGCAAGACGTAAGCAATGGCGTAAGCATTTCCTTATTTGGTGCCAGGATGTAAGACATTTAGAACACGGCTCACATGTTATTTTTATGATATTTTATGATATTATTTTATAATTCTATATTCTTTGATTTGATACTATCTGATTGTTTTACTTCATGATCTTGGGATTCTTGGGCTCCTCGTGGTTTTGCGACAGATATAATTGGAATGAAAGCGTGCCAGTTTGCCAGGTGTGATTCATGCATATATTCATTCATGCAATGAGCGTGGTCCACTGGTCGCAAGATGCGTCAAAGTGTTGGGCCTCAAGGTATTCTAAGATATTTTGAGCATTCTTAGGCGGTTTTTGAAGCCACTCTATTTGCATCAACTTAATGGTGAAATCCGGTGAAATTGGTGGGATGCATCCAGAGTCTCAACATGGCCCGGCGCGGCGGTGCTGGAGGTCCACAGCCAGCCACGAAGGCCAGTCCAAGAATTTCAAACATCACAGAACACCACAAACGCAAGCAAATGATAGCAAATGATGGCATGCATGGTCTGCAGATGTGCACCGATATACCATGATACACAAGCCATACCACAATCATCCACAATCCTCTTGTTGTCCCTCACTGAAGTCAAGCTGTGTGGAGTGTAGACTTCTCAATGGTACTAGATGGCACATGCCGACTCGGGTGCGTTTCTCCAAGTGGAGAGGCAGCGAAGAAAGAAACAGTTGGAGAAGACAAACTTCTCATCCTCAGGCAGCCGAGTTGTGGAGCCTCTGGGAGATGGCTGGGATGCATCAGACATCAGATTAGGATAGATTAGGGAGCCAGCCCTGGCTCAGTATTGGCGGATTTGTGGTGAATAAGGCGTGGTGATGATTGATGTATTTTTGCTGATGTTTCTGTAAAGGGTGTTTTTGCTTCTTCGGTCAGGGAACCACACACACACACACCCACACCACCCCTTTATACTTGGATTGCTTCATTTGGATTTGGAATGATTTGAATGTAAATTGAATCTTCAATGGACCTCATGAACTTCTTGATTCATCTGCAGGCGTGGTGCTCCAGGCCTTCCAAGAGTTTACATGGTTCATGGCGGGGGCCTCAATCGCAAGAGATCTACATGTCAGCATCGCCGAGACATGAATCATTCCAAAACGAAAAACTTCGATCTGCAATGACATGATGCATTTGTTCAGTTTTCCTTTTGCTCAGCAGATTTGCTCGGTTGAATGCCATTCTTCAAGGTTTGGATGGTGATGTGATGAGCGGCGGTGCCACGTTCAAGACCATCGCAGCTCATTTGGAGCCTTGCAGGCGATCTGGCGATCTGGATCGGCTCCCAAACCCGCAACAGATCTTGACAGCACGCAGCAAACGAAGAGATGCAAGAAGCAGCCGCTCAGTGCTAAATGGTCTCGGAGGCAGTGCTTCAGAATTAGGTCCATGGTGAAACTAGCACGATCTGGTCGTAAATTGAAGTGTACCCCTAGCACCACTGGGCTGCTTTTATGTTGTGCTGCACCAGGGTGGGTGCCTTGGTCTACGACTCCGAGGCACGTTGGACACGTTGGACACGTTGGACACGTTGGACACGTTGGACACGTTGGACACGTTGGAACAAAGTGACGACACCTGCTTCGGCCCCGATGGCCTCTGGCTGGAGGCATTGGCCTGCAATTCGGTCCCCGCATTGTGCAGCTTGTACAACTCTCGCGTACGGCAGCCCGGATCTGGGTCCAGTAACGGGTTTGCTTGGATGAAGATGATGCAGGGAGTGGAGAGAGGAGACGGGAGGTTCCGGGTGTCAAGATGTCAGAGAATTCAGGGTATATTCAGGGTTTAGTTGCATTTTGGAAGAGGGAACAGGTGTGGTGTGCTTGTAACATCTTGTAACTATCTCACAACACAGTTCTTTTTGATTTCTTCTTGTTCAAATGAACATCAATGAACTTTCACCAAGTCGCATCTTTCTGCGTTGCATGTGTTTCACAGTCATTTCTTGTGCGTATTGACATCAACATTTGTGAGGTCTTGGCTGACTCCGAGAGCTTCAAAAATGGTGCAGCCGCAGCCACAGTGTAGACAGCAGGTCGTGCAAAATTTATTGAGGAGATCGATCAGATTAATATAGATTAATTATTCTAGAATTAATTACATACAATTACATATAGGTTTTGACTAAAGATAATATACATTTGCCGGATTCTGCCGCCATTTGCCAGTCTCCTTGCTAAACAAAGAGAAGCCAGAAAAACCAGCTTCTTCAGAACTTCAACATATTCCACGGAAATAAAGTCCTGTCCTATCCGATGCGGAATTCAACATAAATTGGTTCTGCCTTGGAAGCAGCTACCGAGGCAAAAAGCTTGATAGTGGTAGCAGGACCTCCATGGGATTGTGAAATGGAGCAGCAATCCGAAGCCCCGTGTGTGAAAATGATCTACACTTCTGGGACTTTCCATTTCCAGTTTGGACTGCGCATTCAAGACTTCCTCAGATTTGCATAGATTTGCCATGTGAGGATATTCCTTCGGCTGCGTCCTCGCACACCAGATGGGATACCAGCTACAGCAGGACAGCTGGCTTGGAAACAAGGGGTCTGAGTCTGACTTGACCTTTGTGAGACCCGTTCCATGCTTGCCTTCGATAACGATGATGAAGAAGAGGAAGAAGTTGAAGATGCAGAAGAAGAAGAAGATAGAAGAAGAAGATGCTGCTGCTGCTGTTGCTGCTGCTGCTGCTGACAATAATGAAGACCAAGAAGAAGAACAGACATACGATTATCATACCTTCAAAAAGAACAAGAACCGACAAGAGCATCAGACATAATAAGACTAGAAAGAAGAACAAAAGGAAGAGGAAGCGGAAAAGAGCAGGAGGAGGAACTAAGAATAATACAGTAGTATTCGAAGAAGAAGAAGAAGAAGAAGCAAGAAGCAAGATGCAAGAAGCAAGAAGCACGAAGCAAGAAGAAGCAATAAGAAGGCGAAGACGCATATTAACCATATTATAATTTATGATGATGGCGACAATGACGACAGCGATGGGCATGGTCATGCTGATTGTGATCTGTTGGATACATTCTATGCATGTTGATTCCAAAAGCTGTCCAGAGTGCGGATGTCACAGAAACGTGCTTCACGACAGGCTGGAGTTGAAGTTGCCGTGGTGATGTTTGACTTGGAGGTGACGGAACATGACTGAACTATGCGCTGGCTGCAGTTGGGCAAAGCGCACGAAGAAACAGAGACTCCATGGAGTGATGTTTGGCAATTTTTGGCATCTCATGATATGCATTCTTGATTATATGATTCTTTATTCTTAAGCAGTTAGTCATCTCATGTCATCTCGATCATCTCGTTTTTGCAGCTCAAGTTGTCAAGGTCACCAAGGGCTGCAGTTTCTGCCACGAGATGTCTAGACTTTGCATTTTTTCGCTATCTCCACCAGTCCATCACAGTCCCTTTGGAGGTCACGTGGCCGCCACCACAAACCAACTCACGTGTTGGAGGATACGACTTCCTCGGAGGGGAGGCTGAGGTGTGGCGGGAGACACCTGCAGCATCGTGGGCAAGAGCACCCTTGAAGAAACGCTTGTATACTTTCTTGGATTTCTTGAATTTCTTCGGCTGGACGGTTTGAGTTCTGTTGCAGACTTCCAGTTCTAATGGGTACAGTATCCCAAATTGAGTCGCTGTGCTGGGATGAATCGGAGCTGGGAGCCAGAAAGAGCCAGAATGAGCCAGAATGAGCCAGAGACCATCCAGAGACCTTGGGCCAGGCCATCCTGCTAATTTCCCGTGGATTTGGCAAGTTCGAGTTTGCTGTCAAGGACCCCCGGACTATATGAGAGAGAGTGCCGACGCCAGCACCAACAGACAGGGAACATCAGGGAACAGCGTACACTTAATCTATCTTAATCTGAAGGAGGTCAAGTCTCCAGCAACGATTTCCTGGAAAGGGAACGAAAGGGACAAGTTATTTGCTGGCGATCAACTTGCACACATGTGGATGTCTTCATTTCCATGTCACACTTTCCACTGCTCTAACACTGTATTCTAATGTATTCTAGACCTTCATGACAATCAAGAATACTTCCAGCATCTTCCAGCGCAATTACTTCCAAAGTAGCGTCAATTCATCTATTCTCACAGTCAGACTGACTGACTCATACTTTCTCATCTTACTCAATGAATTGCTTACCAGGTTACCAGGTCGTGAAACCAAGGATACCAGTGTAACCAAGGCGACCCCATGCGACCCCCCATGCTGATGGGCTGAAAGAACTTAACAATGAAAGGAAGCCATGGAGTTGGCGGAGCTTCGACGACGGAACGAAAGCTCAGAACTCAAATTCGGGGGTCATAACATGTCATAAACACATATTGATAAGCAACAAAAAAACTGGACTCAGAAATGAAAAGGACAACTTTGTGCTTCGGAAGCCCATGTTTGATCATGTTTGATCATGTTTGATCATGTTTGACCCACACAGTTCATTTTAGGTTGGTTGTTAGGATAGGAGCCCTTCATTTCTTAGCAAATCTTTCCAGAATGTCTTTCCATGTTCGGCAACACCCGGGAGAGCGGGAAGTAAATGAGGCAAGATCAGCCTGGTGTTGTTTTCTTGTTTCATTATGTTCGATTCCGAGAGGAAGTCAATAGGGACGGAGATTGTGTAACCACTGTGAGCTTTGTGAGCTTCCCTGTGGTTGCAAGATGTTGCAAGATGGTGGGGATCAAAGGTTTCGATGTTGACGCTCTACGAGAACGAGCCTTCAAAGCACTGAACCAGCGTGGATTGCAGGGCGCCGAGCATCGCCGAGGGTGATGTGAAGATATGTGAAGATGAAGGGGATGCCAGTAGGAGCATGTGCAGCATGTACTCTGGCGACTCAGTTTTTTTGGAGAGTGGGCCTTTCAGTGATTCAGCGTCAGCCAGTCAGCACCCATCAAAGATTCAAGATTCAGAATTCACCAGCAGCAGTGCAAGCAACGGAGGGCTCGCGGTCATGGATCAAGGGCAATCAATGGCACATTGCACTGAGATGCACTGAGGTCGATTGAGCTTTTTACGATGCTGGCTGCTGCCTCAGGGTGCCGGAGGATTCAAGCGTTGTGATGCAATGTACGATATGTATGATATGTATGGGAATGTGACCTGTGAGACGTGTGCAGATAAATCAGGAGATTTCGATACGATGGGATACGATTGGTCACAAGCTGCATCACTCTGAGAGGAGATCAATGCATCACCATGGTACTCGTAGTGCAATGATGTGAAACGCCGCGTCCCTCAGGTGAAGCGTGGTGGTGTGAACATCCAGCAGTTGCATACCATTGCAGATCCTTGGCAACCGTTCGGCAGCCTAAGAGCCTAAGACTTCCTGCCCTGAAGTGTGAGAAGCACTTCAAGACCCAATATATGGGCAAATATGTTGGTGTCATTCGCAAGGCGTACAGGACGTACATGTGTAAATTTGGGAAATATTGGGATATTGGGATTAATGTGCTCAATATGATTCAATATGGAATATATGTTGTACTTGCGTGGAGCTTGCGGAAAGCAAGCAATGTGTTGTCGGAATCATATTGCCAAAATGGCCTGGCCATTTTGGCTCAAGCTTTGTGTCAACAGACTTTGGAAAGTTTGAAGTTCGCTCTCTTACCCTCGCCTTTACACTTTGCTTTTCAGCTATGGCCCCTAAGTCCTTTGCTGCCGCTGGGATGGATGACGTGATGGAGGTGGACGTCCCCCATTAACCTTGGACTCCGAGACGCTGTCTGAGGGCAGCTTCCAACTGGTGGACCAACGCACTGAGATCACCACCGAGGATTACCAGATGGCGGAGCAAGTTGCGGAGACCAACAAGAATGAGGAAGATGCGGCCAGCCTTACTCTCTCGGGGGCGCCCCTGGATGGCTGGCTACGCAATGCTTCAGAATACCACTAAGGTGGACCTCCAGAAGTCTCTTGCTGAACTGACTGCGGCCATGCAACAGCTGGCCACTAAGGACCAACTTGTGGACCAAGGTACCAGTACCCAACCTGGGCCAGCTGGTAGCGGCCAGGAAACGGGGAGCGACACTAAGGTCCTGGTGGACTTTGAGAAGGTCACTGTCGACACCTACCGGATCACCAATGGCGGCCAGGAGCTTCCTCTGGTCCCGGGCAATATCAGGAACATGCTCCGAGACTTCACCTTCGGCGACCTTCGGGACCTTCTGTCCATCTTTGGCAACCTTGAGGCCCTCACTTCGCCCGCTTTCCACCGGACGCTTGAGAGCTATGGACTGGCGATCAAGAAGTTGCAGCACGAAAAGATCCTTTCGGCGGAGCACGTCAAGAAGAGGGACGCCACGACGATCTACAAGTTGGATGCAGGCCCTGAGATCTCAGATTTCATCTGCGAACACTGCAAGTCCCCATGGCTCAAGCAGCAATCGGAGGGCAAGTGCTTGGCGTGCGGCAAGATTGGCTCCCGCATGCACAAGATGAAGGACATGGGCATGACTCAGGAGGTTTTATTTCAGAGAAGCGTCTGTCTATCGCTTCATTCAGTTCTTGCACTCTTTCAACTTTTGCCGCAAATCTTACCAGACTGGAAGACTCCCTCCCTCTGAGCCAACCGGAACCGGTTAGAAGGGAGGGGAGCACTTGGATTTTCCACCTAACCCACCCATGATCCCATGTGGGAGTCCGGTGGGTGCGGCATGGTGCGGCTGCGTTTGGTGGTTGGTTGGTTTTGATGACACCACCACCCAGTTTGCCAAGTGTATGGCAGGTGGTCTAACTGACCACTGGTGACATAGGTCACATACCTGAAGTGGCAGCTGCACAGGCACCATCCTAGCGTACGAAGAAAAGGATGGTGCTGCTTACTCTTGGCCTTTGTTTGAGCATTAACATAATGCCATTTTCGATTGCTACGGGGACACACACACACAATCACACATATATATATATACATATCTATCTATCCAGTTCATTCAAGGTAGGCAGGGCCGGTGATGAAACTATGTTTGGGTCACAGACATGTCAGACTCTGAATGCCTCCTTGACATTTTGGATCTCAAGCCAAATTGCCTGACTGGCCTGGTTGGTGTCTCCAACTCAGGCAGGAAGCCTGGATCTTGGTTTTTGTGTGTTCGTCTTTTGCCTCTGGTCTCCCAGCATGGCGAACCTCGATCCAGCCATCATGGCAGCCCAGGAGGCCAAAGCTGCTCGCTGGTGCCAGGCGCAGGGCATTGAGAAGACCTCTAACCTCGCATTTTACTCCACCCCTGAGGATGAAGCGTTGCGTGAGGCAGGTCGTGCTGTTTCTCAGGCCTGGGTAGCCGCAAGGTTTTCCTGAGAGAAAGGCACCGTGGGGTTGGTCAGGGGTCTCTTTGCAGCAGAGTGGCGTGGAGCAGCTGCTTCTGGGCCTCTGACGTTGCGGCCGTGCAGCCCACCTTGGCATACGTGGTCAGTGCACAAGGTGCATAAACACATGTTTGCCAAGCCTCAGAAGGCTGCTCCTGACAGGTCAGCTAATGCGGCATTGGTGGGCGGTGGGCGGCGCCTTTGTGCTCCTCTTGCAGAAGATCGGCACGCATCGCACTGAGAACCCTTATCGTAAGAAGGCTGTCGAAAATAACTTCTTTTTGGCTCGGGAGGCGTGTTTGAGGTCGGAGGGTGCCACCCTCAAGCGTGCGCTTCAGACCTGGGACGAGTTGTGGCGGACCTTGTTGGCTGCTCGCATTGACCCTGCTGACCTGGACGTGCACTTCATTGCGGCCTTTGCTCGTGAGTCGCCAGCTCCCCAGAGGGTATATATCAGGCGCTGAAATGGCTTGCTAAGAATTTTCCCCTGGACAAGCTGGCAATCAGTTTGGCGGGGGTCAGCAAGCCCGGGTTCTTCCTCTGCGGTGGTCAGGCATATATCGATGATTTGGTGGCCCGACCGGACCACGACCACAGCGGCCTGGTTTGTGATCATGGGCATGGTTCGGTTTGCCCACCTTCAGCTGAGCTCTCTCGTGGCTTGGGCCGGGGAAACGCTGACGTTTTGGTGCCAGAAGGGCAAGCACTTGGGGAACAGGGCTGGTTTCTTTTGGTGTACTCCAAGACGTACCGCGTCACCAGTTGCATCGCATGTTTTGCCTTCCACCATTTAATCTTGGAAAGGGCCCACATGAGTGATCCGCAGAGACACTGCATGCCAATGCACTCTGAAGCCGTTAAGTGAACTTCGAAATACTGCTGCTGGGGTTGTGGGAAAATGAAGCAGTCTGCTGCTGCTGACATCAAACACATATGTATATACTACAGTTATAAATACATATATAATTATATCTATATATATATATTATAATTGTAATATAGCAACGAGGCATCGTATAGAACTGCAACCATAACATTGGCTTGTCTCAAGCCTTATAGTGAACAAAAGCAACACCGCAACAGTGCGATGCAATGCTTAGACGTGAGGCCAGATCTCCCCAGTTGTCTTCTGAATTTCGTCACTCAGGAGTGAAATTAGAATAGAATGCGCTCTTGGACTTTTATGGTTTGTGGCCAACTTCCCGGTGGATACAACATGAATTCAGTCAATAAAATATCATGGCATCGCAGATGGCCCACCAAAGGCTTGATTCCAAGTGGCGTTGTGCCGAGGCCAGAGAAGTACGATGGCCCGGCTTTGTTGGTGCTGGCACCCGACTCACAAGAGCCAGAGCCCTTAATGGTCGCGATGGTTGCTTGAGTTCTTCCGAATTTTGAATGATCACTTGATGTAACTTGTGGTTTGCAGGCTTTCATGATCTTTCATGTAGATTCAATGAAATATTCAGGATGCTGAGGGGCATTCTTCTATGGGGACAAAGTGGTGCAACCACCTGCATTCCTGGACCTCCGTTCTTTGATTCTGATTCTCGGGCCCAGAAACCTGTGCTTCCGAGGGTACCGTATTTCAGGGGTAACAGACCACAAACTTCATTCTACTGGTTTGCTGGACATGCAAGTCAGCCATGCCACTTGCTTGGTGGCTAAGGTTTGCAAGCGCCAAAGAAATCAACGCCCAGTTCTGCACTATCATGGAGGCTGCTGATCACTGAAGTGTGAATTCGAAAGGAAATCCAAATTTCATGGTGTACCTGAAGATTGGCAGTTTTTGGATGTTTTTACTAGCAACCCTTCCTGTTTTTGACAGGTCGCTTCTGGCGCAGGAAGCCACTACAACATGATGCAGGTTGTTGTTGGTAGGGTGGGACTGCAGCCTACAGGTATTGCAAATAGGTCGATGTAAAGTGACAGGGGGCCATACGTCGGCTTTGCTGTTCTGTGTTGTTTCTGATTCTCATGGATTCTTTTTGTTATTGAACATCGTTTTCCCCCCATGCTCGAAGAGATGGCACTTTGATATTTTTGATCCCTCGGAGCCGCCTCAGCGATCCCAGGGAGCGCAAGCTGCTGTACAAGCTCACCTGGTGAAGGAGTTCCTTCAGAGGTCCAGCCCCAAATCTTGGGCCGCTTTACCGGGTTCACCACTTGACTAACCGGGACTAACCTTGCTGCAGATGTGCTCTGCTGGAATGCCACTGGATTTCGCTTGATGGAACAGGTTGTCTGGGATGGACTTGTCCAGCCCGGCTGCGCCGGCTGCACCGGCTGTGCTCAGTGTGGCACCTCAAGGATAGCCCGGGAAACGACTCATGTATCTGTATATTATTGTATTGCACATTTTTGATACGTTTGATGTACATGATGTACTTGTAGTTGTTTGTGTCGTACACATTTTTCTGATGTTTTGTTCTTTCAAGCTCCTCGTGGTCTGGGTCACCTCACGTTTGATATGTCTTTTTCCTACAGATTTTGAATGAAATCATGCGATGAACCTACATATTCCATTAATTAGACCGCAGAATGCTTCAAAGTGTCAGGTCCCAAGATCTCCTAACAGATTGAAGCTGGAATGGTGGAATCGGTGGGATCATGCTACAATTGGCCAGTCCACACAGCCTAGCAGCCTAGCACCCACAGTTCAAGGTCAAACAAAGCCAGCCACAGAGGCCTCGGCTGCTCCGAGAACAAACACAAGCAAAGCATGACTGCTGACACACCACCCATACCGCAATTCTCTGGTTGTCCCTCACTGAAGTGAAGCTGTGTGGAGTGTAGACTTCCAAATGGTACTAGATGGCACATGCCGACTCGGGTGCGTTTCTCGAAGTGGAGAGGCAGCGAAGAAAGAAACAGTTGGAGAAGACAAACTTCTCATCCTCAGGCAGCTGAGTTGTGGAGCCAACGGGAGATGCATCAGACATTGCAGATTAGGACAACGGAAGCCTAGCCAAAAACTACGAGTAAGGCAGTTCATGGCAAGATACGGCAAGATCAAGCAAAGTTGAATGATCAATTAATTACTAGCCCTCAATTAGTATTGGCGGATTTGCGGTGCATAAGAGGTGGCGATTGTTGATGCATGTTTGGTGGTTTGGTGGTGTGAAGTGTGCTCAACTGGTGCTTGTTCTGCAATTCTGCAAGTTGTTGTTGTTGTTGTTGTTGTTGCTGCTGCTGCTGCTGGTGCTGGTGCTGTTGCTGTTGCTGTTGCTGTTGTTGCTGCTGTTGCTGTTGCTGTTGCTGTTGCTGTTGGTGTTGTTGTTGTTGTTTCTTCTGTCACGAGTGCGAACAAACACACATCCCTTCTGATACTTGGATTGCTTAATTTGGACTTGGATCTCAATTAAATGAGAAAGTGAAACTCATAAGCCAACACAAGCTTCCTTGATACCTGAAACTCATAAGCCAACAAAAGCTTCCTTGATACCTGAAACTCATAAGCCAACAAAAGCTTCCTTGATACCTGTGCAGGCGTGGTGCTCCAGAGCTTCCAAAAGTTTACATGGTTCATGGCGGGGCCCTCAATCGAAAGAGATCTACATGTCAGCATGGCCGAGACATCAATCATTCCACCACTCAGCCGCCATTCTACAAGGTCTAGATGGCGATGTGATGAGCGGCGGTGCAACGTTCAAGACCATCGCAGCACATTTGGAGCCCTGCAGGCGAGCTCTCAACGAAACTGTGGTCAGCAGTGCCATCAGTTTGGTGTTGCGAGAACCCCATTTATCATGTATCCATTTAAATCTATAGTTCAGTGATCCCCCTGCCAATTACCTCTACAAAATCTTGGAGCACGTGCTCCAAATAGACTTTTTTTTTATTACGCCCTTTTCTTGTCTTGGAAACTGGTTTTCAGATTCTATAGAGTTTTGATTTCCTGTTTCTAGAGGGCCTCTTTTCGGGTTATGGACCAAATATCATCGAGATGGTGGTTCTGATTCTATAGGAGGTAACATCTTGCTTAAAAAAGCTGATTTTGTAGAGGGCGTTATTTTTTTTTACCAAATTGAGCAAGCAAGAAGATCTCTGCTTTCAAGACCCTTTATTTTTTGGATATTGTCAACAACACTTGATGATATGAATGTTACCTTTTTTGTGATTCTTGAACCATAAGATCCTCCTCAACCCTGCTGTTTTCCCCGGGTGTGTTCGTTGAACCCACAATGGAAATTAACATGGACCCAAGCATGGAACCCTGTAGTACATGTTGCAGTTCCCATTGAACTGCTTGCCTCGTTTACATATGTTTAGTGATGTTTAGTGTGTTTTATAATATTTTAGTGATATGTTTGAATTACAGGCACATCCTGGGAGTTTACAGAATAACCAAGCATAGGAACACTTAACAATGGATGGAAAAAAACGTGATTTTGACTTATGTTTGATTTGTTCAATTTTTCATTACTTTCCTATTTACCAATTTGTTTGCACATTTTTTCTCCTAGGGTTCTGCTTCTATAGTGGTTTAGTGTGGTCTTGAGCACTGGTTTCTGATTTTATAGTGGGTTCATGTGGCTTCCACTGGTGGGTTCTGATCCTATAGACCACATTTGCTGTAGTTGAAAATATATTTCTCCATCACAAAATGATTCAATGCCATTTTCACAGAATCAAACATCTAAAAAAACAAACGCAGAGGATTGCAAATATGTCGAACGTATTCTGAAATATCTTGAGTTTAGCGGGGAATGTTTTGTCCAGGTTTAGTCAAAATTGAGTCAGAAGATGTCAGAAGAGATTGGTTTCATTGCTTTAGATGCATTTTATGTGATTAGAAACATCATTTCATCATGTGACAAAAGACATTAAAGAAAAGGAAGAACAGTCATATCCTCAATAAACACATCCAAATTCTGATCAAACCACATTAAACTGTGATTCAAAACAAAATTTGCTGATATAATCACACAGATATAATCACTTCTCATTCATACAGAAGATTATGGTTTGTTTTGCTTATTTTGTTGTTTTGCTGTTTCCTTTCCTTGTTGTTTTTCCCCATTTGGTTCTAACCCCATTCAGCTGGAGTACGCCTCCCGCCCCCTCTATAGAATCCATAAACCAAATTTGGCATATGTGCAAGGAACCCCTTGAGACATGTCAAATTTTGATGGTTCTGATTCTATAGAGGGGAACTCCACAAAAATGGGACATTAAGTCAGTACCCCATACTCTTAGATTCTATAGAGGGTCATTTTGATTAGGTTTGTGGATTCTATAGAGGTTGGGGGGTCTACTCCCCAATTTATACCTCTAGAATCTGGGAGTACGGGGTAATGACTTAATCTGCAGGGGGATGTTCAGTGATGTTCAGTGGCCATTTTGATCCATTTTGATTATGTCTCTTGAATAGTAGGGAAGATGGCCTCAGAATTGGCTGAAACATGGTCAACCACTGAGTCAACCACGAACCTCCAGGGTTGGCGCCTTGATCTACGACTCCGAGGCACGCTCGACAGCACTAGCCATCCCCCCGACGCCACCCCCGTGGCCGTGGTGCTTCCAGGCCTTGGCCTGCGATTCGGTCCCTGCACTGTGCAGTCTATACAACTCGCGTGCCGGGCATCCAAGCCTGGCATTTTGAAGGCGATGGATTTGATAGGCGCCAGTGCAAAAAACATTGTGAAATCAGATCTGACATTTGTAATTGGCACATATTTCAATCATACAGCATTTCAAATATTTCAATATTTTTATCATATGTATATCAGCATTTGGATAAAGTGTAATGACCTCACTTCGACATCACTGGAATGATGGTTAGGAGCAGGAAATAGCTCCAAAATGGCTTCAAGTCAGCTTTGTGAATCACCACAATCACAATTTATCCAGATATTATACATCAAAGAACAACCTTTCTATAGATATCATTCTATAGAATACTATATATTTATATAGATGCAACAAACTTTCTATGGCTTGAAATAAGAGCAACATTCCATCAACTTCTCAACTTCTCCAAGCTGAGGTCCTGGCCGACTCAGAAAGCTTCAGCAATGGTTCAGCCTGGGGCTTCGCATCACCAAGGATAGTATTTTGACTATTTACTATTAACATTAATATATATATAATATTATAAAATCCCATATCATCATAGATTTGATAGACTCGATGACTACATCATAGGTGAAACACGGTGAAACGATAGAACTGTGTTTTTACTTTGATCATCCTGAACTTGCTTGAAGCTGCTTGTGGAAGAGGCACTTCAGTCCTCCCAATACATTTGTTCGTTTGAACATGTTGAATTGAAACTGTCTCAGCCTCATGTCACAAACTAGAAAGCTCTTGTATGGCGCACATGACTTTTGCTATAGTTATCTAGAGTTGCAGTATCTTACAATTGTGCGCATCAGTGGTATTTGACTGCCATGCTGAGGCCAGCAGTCCCGTAATCGTAGCAGGCATGGAGAGTGTGGATGGCTTCATGGTTCCGAGTGGCGAGAGATGGTGAGAATTGGTGAGAGACCTGTGAGGATACTCCTTCGGCTGTGTTCTTGCACATCAGATGGGATACCAGCTGCGGCAGGACACTGTGGCTTGTTTCCCTGCTCTGCAGTCGAACAGTTGGAGAACAGTTTATAGTCTTCAGCAGGATTTAGATGTTGCCATGAAGGAAAGTGGAATTGTCATTGATGATGACAATGATGGAGATGATTGTCACGATGGTCATTGAATGAGTCATGATGACGACGATGATGACAACACGACTGATGACATGTTCTTCTTGATGATGATGACGATGATGACGACGATGATGATGATGACGGCGATGCTGATGGTGATGGTGATGGTGATGATGATTGTGATGATGATGATGATGGTGATGATGATGATGATGATGACGATGACGTTGACGATGATGATGATGATGACGGCGATGTTGATGCTGATGCTCATGGTGATGGTGATGGTGATGATGATGGTGATGATGATGGTGATGATGATTATGATGATGATGATGATGATGATGACGATGACGATGACGATGACAATGATACATGTTGTAAATATTTGTAAATTATGTTGACGGCAACAATGACGATGATGATGAAAACGACAACAACAATGAGGGTGACTTTGAGGACGATGACGTCGGTAGCTCGACTTTCCCACGCAGATCTGTGATTCCACAAGTCACCCAATGAAGCGCAAACTTCAAAGTATTTGTTGTCTAAGTCTTTCATGTTACAGGCTGGAGTCAATGTCGCTGTGGTGCTATTTGATTTGGAGGTGACGGAAGCATGGGCTTTCCCACTCACTTGGTCGGTGTTTGCAAAGAAGTTGATTCTCTAATGAGAAAAACACATTCAAAAGTCAAGAGTTTGTGGTGGTTGTTGGTTCTTGTAATTCATTTTTGCCATGTCCATTTGTGACATTTGTGCCATTTTGGCTGCAAGTGTTTACTGTAGACCAGTCCACGTTCTCTCGATTCAGGTCACGTGGCCGCCGCCACAAACAAACTCGCGAGTTGGAGGGTATGATTTCCTTGGAGGGGAGGCCGAGGCATGACAGTGGAAGATGTGGAAGACATGCTGGCAAGGTATGAGACAGGACATTTTCAGAGAGGGTGAGTAACCCTTCACGTTTGCAAGTTCTCAAGCCAATTCCTCCTAGAATGCAATCGACAGAACACATACAGCACGTAGCATTGGAGCATTTTGCACTACCACACTTTCAGCTCCGAGAATTCCATGGCATGAATCCTCGAAGAAGCCGGTACTGCCACCAGTGTAGGCCATCCTGCTGATTGCACGTGGATTCGGCAAATTTGAGTTTGCTGTCAAGGACCTGTAGGGACACAGTTGGGGTGATATATATATATATATTATATTAATATATATATATATCATAAAGGTATCCAAAGGTCCTTGTAAGGAGTTATGATTGTATAGTTATGATTGCGATGACCGTTCGTATCATGTTTACCCTCGCGGAAGTTCAGCTCAACCCCCAGTTGGGGGTGAAAGGCAATGTGTCCGAGCATAGAGTGGCCCCAAAACGCTCAAAATCTTATTGTTTATGATTGATAATTTTACCGCCTTAGAATTGCAATTTTGGATAATTTTGCTGTCTGCCCCATTTTTGGACGAAACCAAACATGAAAAGCAGGAAACTGTCCAAGCAGTTTGCAAACTCAATTTCATTCTCTGATATTCTCTGTGCTGTGGTAAATCCGTTGATAGACCATGGCCAAATTCACGAGAAATTTGATACAATGTGGTATAAACATGTATAAAGCACCCCAAATGGTGGGTTTATTATCATTGTATCTACCACATTACATGCCTTCCGCCTTCCATATGGGCAACCAGTCATCAGTCATCGTCCTCACTTTTCTCAAGGAAGCGATGGAGCTCGCAGAGCTTCAACGACGGAATGAGAGTCAAAAACTCAGGGTGGGTGGTAAAAGATGCGGAACCACACTGACCCTCACGGACTCTGCACACTAATGTGGATTGTTTTTTTGTCCATTTCAATGGGGGGGATGAAGATACTCAACTACCAGCAATTTGACGTCATGAAGATTCATTGAAACCTCGGGACAAAAAAGATAGCGATGAATTCACATTGCAAATCTGAATTGCGATATGTTGCGAGCTGGAGCTGACTCTTTGTGAATCTTTGTGAGCGGCACGCATTGACGCAGTTGTTTTAGGTGGCTGCACGACAATGCTGAGTCTCAGGTTTTGATGTGGATGCTCTGCGAGAACGAGCTTTTCAAGCACTCAACCAACGGGGAATGCAGGGAGCGCCCAGAGGGCTTGCTGGAGAGAGAGAGAGAGAGAGAGAGAGCAATAGCAAGGGTATGCAAGGGTTATCTTTGTTTCGTGTCTCTTGGATTTTCGTGGAAGTGGCAACTCCATGTCAACTGCATGATTTTGATAAATGTTCTTCAATGCTTCAGTAGCCGGACTGCATCAGAGACTTGTACTTGTTGACCCAGCCTATCACTGGCATCACAATTTTAAACTATTCACAACAGTCTTAAAGCTCAATCAGTGCATGCTTTGAGGTCCTTTGAGCTCTTCACATTGCTGGCAAGAAGCCTAGGTTTGAGTGAAGATCTCACTGATGTGGTTCCCATCACTTCGTTCTGTGATAATTCCTGATACATCTCACCAACGAATATTAAACAGCCTCAAGAAACCATGGTTTAGTATGGTTTAGTTGGGATTAGTCGAGATTGGTACATATTTAAGGGACATATTTGATACGCTTTGGGACCATAGAATGGGCCTTTTAACGTTGTTTAACGTTGGAATGGGATATGACATAGTCCTTGCAGGTGGATCACGTGACGTGCTCAGGTGAAACGTGGCGGTGTCAACATCCAGCAACTGCACAGCATCGCGGATCCGTGGCAACCGCCAACCGTTGCTCGCTTCACCGTCGGAAGTTAGTGGAAGTTGCACCGGAGTCGGAGCACTTGTGGAATCCAAAAAGTGCTGGACGCTTATAGAATATCAAATGGAATATTGTTGACATGTATTGACCTACTGTAACTATAATGTAATCTTACAATTATGATCCGTTATAATTCTGTGCGCACCATAGCATTTGCTCCGGGCTTTGGAGTTTCTGGACTGTTGATTTGCAGAGTATATTAAGCAGATGGCACCTTGAAACCATCTTTACCTACCATATCTACCTTGTATTTGCATGGTATATTTCGCATACTACTCTTACCATCAAGACCTCAAAGGCACATGCCGGGCATGCCGCCAGGCCAGAGCAGTATGAAGGCCCAGCTCTACTGGTGCTTGCACCGGACTCGCAGGAGCCAGAAGCCAAGCAATCCTGAAGCATGTCTGGGGACATAATTTGGATGTTTCACTGGATGGATTTAAGGAAAGTGAAATCAGCTTGTGGCAAGTTCTCTGATTCCACCTAGAAGATATCCCAAGCAATCCTAAGAATACAATAATGGCACTTTTGCATTTTTACCTTGCAGAGAAGGGTCAGGAAAGATAGCAAGGAAACTGGAAGGTTGTGGACAAGCGAGAGGTATCAGACACTCTCAGATGGGTTTGTACAAGTAGAAGATAAGAGTTCTCCTTTCTGTTCAAATCTCCTTGTACATAGCCAAAGCCTTGTCCGGGTTTGAAAGTCAGCAGTTTGGTCCACCAGTCCACCATGATCCGCCAATAGCCATCGATCAATCCCCGAGGTTTGCAAGCGCCAAGGAAATCAATGCGCAGTTCTGCACAGAAATGGAGGCGGCTGAGCACACACAAAGGGCTTTGATCATTGAGATATATTGAGATGGTTTGAGGGAGAATCTTCAGGAAACCATGGTTTTTGCCCCCAAAGTCTGGCCTGTGAGAATGGCTTCAGTACCTCCAGCCAACATCCTGCTAGAGGTCGCTCTGGGTGCAGGCAGCCACTATAACATGATGCAGGCACTGCCGTGGCAGCTCCTGCCATACAGATGACAACATTCGATGCAAGGGGCCAGTTTATGCCGACTTCAATTTTCATGGTTATGAGCTATAAGCTATTCGCCTATCATTTGCCTTCAAGAATGACTCCGAAATCGAGAGCAGATTCTAGACATCAACTGACACCGCCAGGGTGCACAAGCCATGGTACAAGCTCAACTGGTGAAGGACTTCCTGCAGAGGTCTGGGATTTGTTGCAACCATCAGCTCATCTACCTTTCAAGCCTCATTGGATCGATTGGATGATGTCAAGATCACCCCATGACCCCTGAATCATCCTGAATCACTCAGGCTGTTTGGAGTCGATTTTTCCAATGCGAATGTGCCGGGTGTGGCATCTCAGTGCAATCTTGGGCTGTGTTTTGAAATGGGAAAACACGACGATCGCATGTTTCATCTTGACGTCAGGATGTTGAATAGGATTCTTGGTTTCTATAGTTCCTAGATCTGAAATCAGACCTCCGACATGCAAGAAATCTCAGAAGTGGTAGCAGTCGAGGAGCCCGTGTCCTTCCACTCTGCAGATTCAGATCCTGTATACCGCCAAGATCCGCCAAGCACCTCTAAATTTTCAACAAGATTGAATTTCAAAGGGGATGGCCAATGTATCATAATAGCCTAAATATGATATAATTGTCGCTCCACGTGGGTCCAGCGAAAGATAAACTTGGAGTTCTCGCAAAAATAACATTTTATTTCGCGAAGAATGGCTGTTTCTGGATGAACGAATTTCGATTATTTTAGGTTAACCACCAAATTTTGATATATTTTGATATTATTCACACGTATACCGTATAGTATACATCCGTATACCGTATAACAGAAGTAAACATCTCTTTCAGTATATAACTTATCTATATAATCATGATTAATCATGATTAATCATTATTAACATCTATCTTGGAATCTTTTGGTATCACTCAATGCACTTAAGGATGTTTTCTCACATTGTTTGCCATAGCCCACTTTCCAGGAAGCCTGAGCATTGTTGTGCCTGAGAGCTCGAAGCTGATGCCTCAGGATTTCCCGTGCCTTGCTATGTCTACCCATAGGATGGGTCAAAACCCTATAATTTTGCCATATTTGGAAATGTTTGGACAAGGGGAATCAACATGAATCAACATCCATTGACTCATAGCATTCCGAATTGTATGCCTATGGGATGTCTTTATGAGCGCTTGTGATGATCTTTTGTTCAATGTTCCTGAGAGGTAAAGCTCGAAACATGTTCATACGCGCGCATGCAAGATATGAGCATGCCGTTGTGCCTTTGCGAATTTAGTTTTGAGACCGGAGGCGAAATAGATTCAATGCATGAATTGTCAGACGCGATCTTGCACGAAGGTCTGCGACAGATGACACTGCTCCGGTTGACTTCGTGCAAGGCGGTTACTGTATCTACAATTGGTACTGGTGGCGATGTGTTTCGATGTGCTGTGACGGGCTAGCGGCTATACAGGATCTACAGGATGCTACAGATCATTGATATCCAGCACCCGCACGGCCAGTCCCCTCTCAGGCATCCGTGCGCTCCGAGACGGCCCTGAGGGTTCATGTGCTTATTTTTTGTTTGGATCCCCAGTGTTGCAAGATGTCGTGTGCTGGCTAGTGGTCGTTGACTCCCTTGAAAACGGCAGAATATGGGAAAATTGACCACTTCCACCCAGCTGGGCATCACCCGGTCGATACTTTCGAGTCTTCAAATTTATGAATGCAAAAGCCTCTTCCACAATTGTGATGACCAACCCCTTTTTGCACCATTTTTTGTGGCCCATTGGTTCGGAGACTAACATCCTGTGCAGCTGCGAGTTTCATCCTAGGCATGGCCTGGATGGAGATGCCTTGGGACCGGGGATGAGTCTAGGATCTTTGCCCTCTATGATGTGCCTGAGCTGCGATGGGATACACATGATACACTTGGGCTGCGACTACTGGGCTTTCTGATGAATGTCGGTTGAAATGAACTGAATACGGGCGTAAACAAATGAATGCATCAACAAATGATTTTATTGGGAGTAAAATGCGGAACTTGTCCCTTTTTCTCTTCTGAAATCTTAGAATCATTTAGAATCTGTCTAAGTTTCCCTGCGTTTGTACAGAAACCCTGACACAAATATGACCGCCTTGATGCCATAAAGCGACTGAAGTCCTTGTGCTTGGGACTTTGGTTGAAGGAACACCTATCCTGACAATGTCAACATAATGTCAACATAATGTCACTTTGTTCTGAGATGAGAAACTTCAATGAGTTTCAGGTCTGGTCGTGTTTGCGCTGTCGAGTATGATGACGAGGCCAGTTTGGTGGCAAACGCTTAAAGATTGTGAGTCGCTCTTTGTCAAAAACAATCACATGCCCATATCTAAGACACAACGCAGATTCATCAAGAAGTGAAAGTAGCAAGAATCAATTTATATCACGGTCAACAATGCACTGTGTCTTCTACTGTAGATATATACCTACTGTGAATCAGTGCCAGGGTATTTGGTCAGCGCTGGTGCCCAGCATCCACAGTCCCAGCCAGGCATTTGCGTGCGAAAGCATTGAAGCCCTGTCGAGGCTCTACAAGAGCCGCATTCTTCAGGCCGATTTGGGACCGCAGCAAGAGATGTCCCAAGGGTGACTCGCCAAGATGACTCAGGATGAGGCACAAAAAAGAAGGGCTGAATTGGCTGAACATTCCAAGATGTTCTCCAGCTAGCACACGAGGAGTATCAGATCGTAGGAATATAAAGAATAGATACTATTCCATACTATTCCATTATATACTATTCCTATGTATCAATGGCATCAGAGTTGTCACATGTTGTCACATGGAACTACCCTATCGCTTGAATGCTTGGAATGGACTTGCAGGACCGAGCCAAGAAGCAAGCCGAGGATGTGCTGTTGGCTGGTCGTTCGATGGGTGTGACTCAAGCTGCAGCTGAGATGCGCTGAGATTCGCACGTTCGATTCCAGCAATTACTGGTGCTTGTACGTACAAACACCCTCTGGTTTTCAAACATGGCAATGCAAAAAAGACTACCACAGGGCAATGACAGTCGCACGCCTGTAGTCATCCCATAGTCAGACTGACCAGTTTGAATCAGATGGGACTACTCTCGCACATACTCTGCTTCGAGTCCCAAAATGCGTCGAGTCAAAAACTTTGTGGATGGCCTTCCTCAATTCACAGGTTAGTACTGGATCCATTGGTACTTACTTACTAGGGATGGAGTCCCAATCTCCTTAGCAATTGTTGGAACATGTTGGAACTTATAACCGGGCCATGTAGTGAACAAAGTGCCGTCCCATCGACTGCTTCCAACAGTAGCTCGCTCATCCAAGGCTCTCCTGGCATGCATGATCGCTTTGGAGCTTCAGAAGGACAGCAATCCGGAACATCTGGGGATGAGTCAAAACCATTCAAAACATTTCAAAACCTATATTATCCTATATTTGCAAAATTACCATGAATTACCATGAAATACTATGAATTCCCATCCTTGTGCAAAGTCCATTTGTATCATTCGACTGTTCCATTCCATTTGCATGTCTCTTATCGTTTGCCCTCAAGCCGCTTTGAAAGCGAGCCAGGAACAAATACGTTGTTCCCTGGTGACTCTTGACTCCGAGGCACAGATTGCTTGCACTTTTCTTGCTACCAACTATTATCGACTAGCGCTGCCCTGTTTGCCAAATGTACAGAAGCAGCAGATCTTAATCTAGTGATGTAACTTTGCTCCTCATGAGATTTCTTAATCACTAGAAGAAACCCTACTTACAAGTTGACCATGTTGACTTGGCTTGCTGACCAAGTCTATTGTGCCAAAGCATGCTGCACTGCTAGATTCATTTCGTCTGCCTATTTCAGCCGCACCCTTGACAGGTGATTTGGCCTTCGAAACTGGACAACAGCTTTTGCTATGTACCTGGGGCAGATGATTCGTTTAGACCTGGATATTGTGTTGATTTTAGTGCCTGGGTGATCCATCAACTGTTTCCGAGATTTTCCGAGTAGATTTCGTATTTTTTTATCTTCGTTGATCTTGAATCCAACAAGTTGCTGCAACAAAGCAGATAGCATGCTGAATTTATGGCAGTGACAACCCCGTGACAGTGCCATTGAAATGAAAGTAAATCAAACAAGTCGCATCTAGCATTTGCGAAAAACTTGCACTGAGTACTGTAGTCCATGAAAAGGCATCAATCATAGCTTGCTGGCTGAGCAATGCGGGCAATGAACATGGTTCACTGGCAAAGAAAAAACACTGGTGAACATTGGCAACACTAGTTGGTCCTTAAATGATGAACATGTCAGAAGGCATTCTCATGCGTCTAAGTGTGGACAGCCGAGGACTGGCTGGGAGGAGAAGTCGAGGTGCAGCCATGGGTGTCAGCTGATACGAAGGGTGCTAAGATGTGCTAAGGAATATAATGCATGGGCATCTCCGGAGAACTGCGTCTTGAGCACGAGGACACTGTGCCACTATGCCATGCAAAATAATTCTGCAAAGCAGGCATCCTAGTTGAGATTGCAGGTTTGCAGTACAAGGATCACTGGGCAGAACGTCTGACCGTTTTTTGCCAAGACACAGCTATCAAGGGACTTGCTCGCAGAAAAACAATATCTTCAGAAACGGGGGATGACGTGACTAGGTAATTTTGGGGAATCCGATGTTTTGGACCATGACCTGCCCAGTTGTGACCAGTAGATGATCCAAATAATCCAAACTACGCCGGAATTTTTCCAGCGTCGTCCAGAGATGTCCAGAGTGCAGGCCACGCTCTGGCTCAGCCGGTTGGCCGGTGCCAAAGATTTCGTGGAGGAACAGGCAGAGTCAGCGGTTAACCGGGCCTGTCCAAAACCACACTCAGTCAGCTTCCATCTGCTTCCGCTGATCAAATATTTGTTTTGTATCATATTGTATCCATTTCAGCCAGATCGAAGCCTGATCAACAGCTAATTGAGGTGCAAAAAAGAACACACTTCAGACGCAGTCATGACATGTCATGACGAATCACTATAATATATTTGTATCATTTTGTATCTATTTGTATCAATATCATCCATTATACTGTACATCAATAACTACATGGAATTAAGATGAATTAAGATGAATTAAGATGATTTAAGATGATTTAAGATGATTTAAGTATAACATGGAATGGAATTCATAGCATTTGCCACTATGATGACCTGGCCAGGTCCAGTCAGCAGTCACTCGCGGACATTTATTCGATGAGGGCGCTTCAAGGCTGGGCAAGATTTGGCATGGGACGTCATAGGACATCAGACATGGAATGACATGGAATGACATGGAATGACATGGAATGACATGGAATGACATGGAATGACATGGAATGACATGGAATGACATGGAATGACATGGAATGACATGGAATGACATGGAACAGATGGGCTCTTTTTAGATGCTGATTGGTTGATAGTTGTGTTGAGTTCCCTTTTCGCAAATCGAAGCCTTAGCGCGTTGGTCCGTACACAACTGCTGTCCAGGAGGAAACAGAGCCTCCAGTAGGTTGACAGTCGATTTCCTTGGTTTTCCTTGGAGCAATCGAATGGTCGGACAGGTTGCAGACAGCTGCTTTCGGGCAGATTGCATCCAACCTTACTGCCTTCGGAGTAAATTCCTTGAAGGAGGGCAGGGACTTTGAGCAAGAAGAAATTGCAGAAGAATGATGAAACATGCTTATGTATGGTGGTTCACCAATCGCATTGTGGTAATGCATTTTGGATCATGGAGCATGGTGGAGCAAGCTAGAATCATAGCGAGTGGTTTTGTTTTTTTCTATGTTTTCCACTACAACTTTTGAGTTTTTACTGATGTGCACTGTGCAAGCCGTGCTTTTTGTCCACTTGTGCCTCTAGGAGTTTCGCAGCATTTGCACTCTGGCCAGTTCCAACTGCGCTCGCCTCCGCAGCGCCCTCAGAACAAACATGGTGGAACTTGAGGGCGGGAGACCACGGTTTTTAACATGTTTAACGACTACAACGACTGTTTAACTACTGAATCATAGTAAGCCAGAGTAATTTTGAGTCAAGTATCCTAGTCTAATCATGATTTACCATCTTTGATACATGACAATTTGAGAAGCCATGTACTCGACAGCTGCAACACTTCCCCTCGTTTCAGGACAACTACTCCGGCCTACATCAGTTTGCTTCTCAGAAACATCCTCACCATGCAGCGCGCAAGGTGCAGCTTTTTGCATCTTCAGTGCATTTTGCCAACCTACAGCTACATACTTGTAGCTGTCCACTCATCCATTTTTGTACCCGATGCCCGATGCATCTATAATTTGACCTATAGCATTTTAGTTTTGAAGGAACTTTTTGTGAATTAGGAGTCAGCAGTGCACCAGCACTATGCAATCTGAAGTTTCTTCCAACTCTGCCTTTCAGCACCCGTCCTATTCCCACGAAAGGTCATCCCGTCTCAAGCAACCTGTGCCCTGAGGGCTCAATGCGGGCACCAAGTGGAATTTTTGACGGCAAAGTGCTCATAGTTGCAGGTGCAGACGGGCAGCGGCAAGGAACATTTCCTGGACATCAGATCCGGACATTGGATGTCATACAGAGAAACATTTACAAGACTAGTTAAAAGAAATGTTAAAAGCGATAATTACTCTAGAACTGATTTGCTGATGGACACATTTCCTCTAGGGTGTTATAGTGCTTCTTGCCAGCTTCTTTATCTTATTTTTAAAGCACGTGCCGTTGAATACTGTTCTTCAAAACAACTATCATGACAGATACTGAGGCATGACAGATACTGTTTGGTTCAGCTCCGACAGGAGAAGAGCGTGGACAGAAACTTCGGCAGCGGGGCCCTTGAAAAGAAAACTCCGCATTTTTTGCATGTATGACACTCATGTGAATGTTGTTTGACAGAGAAGCACTTTAGGGGAGAGCTCCAATCGGTTGACTTTGGATCACTCCGCAAGCGGTTTAGGGGCAATCACCAAGTCTATCCCACTTGCTTCATCTGACCCAAGCAGGATGGTCAGAACATGTAGGAACCGCCCCTTCAGAGCTTCACCAAACAACTTACGTACCGTTTTTTGGGCTCCGAATGAATGATGCTCCCAAGCTCGTAGAATATCCAGTTCAATTTGCATGTATGATGGTACAATCATACGACATATATATAAATCTATCTCTTTCTCTCCCTCTCTCTCTCTCTATATATATCATATGTGTGCTATACTGTACATACAATTACATACACATACTGTAATATCCAATCTCATTGCTGGATGTCCCGAGTTTTATCCGCTTGTCACAGCTATGTGCTGAGGGTAGCAAGCTCTCATTGTCGGAACATCTCCATGTGCACTGTCAGCACGGAGGAAGTCTACGTCGTGACTCTGGCAAGATTGTTTTGTTCTGCGTGTATCACTGGTTGGTGGTTTCAAACATTTTTAATTTTCCATGATATATGGGATAATCCTTCCCATTGACCAATATTTTTCAAGATGGTTAAAACCACCAACCAGATCAGGTGTTGCGTGTTTTACTTCTGCCAGGGTGAAGCTGCCACAACCATTGCCAATGAGATCTCCTGGTTCTTGCGCTCCCGCTCGCAGGCCCTGCGCCTAAGTCCTTGGTCCAACGCATGCGCAGCGATTTTACTTTACCATGCAGTTCCAGTATTTTTCAGTATACATAAGCATGCACAAGCAACAATTTCAATGGTGCTGCTTCTGACGTCTTCTGACCATGTCTGACCAGATGTACAGCAACATGTCTCTATTTGTCTTGAAGTTTATGGGATTGAGACCACGGCATGATCTACTAAAGTAGCATCGCAATGCCTGCAAGCAGAACAGAAATTGCCAAAATCAATTGGCGTGCATACACGTGGCACCAGGACAGGCGACGAAAACCAGGGCCAGAGGCCACCCCTGACGGTAAGAGTGCAAGGCCAGGCATGTGCAAGGATGTCCAAACTAAATGCTCTTGTGGCGCTTGAAATCAGATGCACGCAATTGATAACGCTAAGAAGCATTTATATAGACGCTGGAAGATGCATGCTTACCACGAGGATTTAGAATTCAGAATAGCATCACTGTTGCACTTGACTGAATGGTAGCTGAATGGAATTGAGGGGCCTCAATTCTTTGCTCCGTCTCATCGTCTCATCATTGCAGGGAGGAAGAGGCGCTGGTAAGTCTTGAAGAAATCTCCACCGCGACCTACTTGGTTCCAGGAGTCTGGTGCACACCCAGTCGTGGGTGGCGGAAGTAAGCGTATACAGTATACGGTAACGTATAGTCCGTATAGTATGAAGTTACATGAGATTATATGTGAACAGGACAACCTCAACATGTCTGATTCAATTATTCATCATTTCATTCATATCGTATTATGTCATAATGTCGTTCTATTCCGAGAATCATTTGTAAATGGGTTACGATGTTTTAAGCTAACTGTGATATATCATGTTACATCATTATTCTGATACCGTCCCCAGATGGGATGACAGGGGTGCCGTCTAGGACCTGACGGAGGCATCCTGGGAGAGATGTTCAACTTGGCGGAAGCTCTCAATTGCGACTGCCATTTGGACTTTGATGAGGAGGCACCAGAAAAGTCACGGAAATTGGTGCGTTTTCTGGTGCGTTTTCAGCGCGTGGTAAATTGTTTCTGACGTTTCTGCCGTAAAAGGTGGGGAAATGTGGTTTCAAAGGTTTGAAGCAACAGTACCCAACCAAAATTAAGCATGATTAGATTAAATTAACATGATTAAAACAAATTAAACGACTTGTAAATGGGATTTCACCCTAAAAGCCTTTGGATGGGGATTGTCCAGCTAATTGTGGGTAAATTCAGCATATTCAGCCAAGAACGATGAAGTTAGTGCTGGGGATATCTCCAACCAATTCCAACCACCACCCTGAGCCATTTGAGATGAACCTTGGCATTTGATTGATTGACGATTGGCCATTTATGTTTGCTTGAAATACGTACTTATAGAATCTTGATGAATCTTGTAGGTTTATAGAATAGAACACCTCCGTGCTTTCTTTCGCAAGCCTTTCTTTTGAGTGTGCGTCCCCTTCACCAAGCCCGTCCGTTTTCTGATGGCAGGCCTGCCGATACTCGACCCTGCCGGATGTCGCAGCACTCTTTCTTCGTCGCATCTTCCAAGACCAGGGATGGACTTCTGAGGAGAAAATGGCCCAGTTGCAGCACCACTGATATCACTTGCACTGGCTTGCCAGAACGGATCTGGAGCAAAGTATTTTCCAATGGTTTCAAAGGACATCCGGCTATTCTTTGGACTTGTTGGACTTACTTCTACAAGTCATCATGCAGGGAATCACTGGATTGAAAGGACACAGAAAACCATGGTATAACATGGTATAACCATGGTTTTCCCCGTTTTCCCCATCAGATGTGGGGGTTTCAAAACTTCCCTTAAACCAATCGGCTGCACAGGAGGACTTGGTGCACGCCAGGCAGTGCAAGGCAGCTCTAGCATCCCCTCATGTGGCTTTGAAAATAGGGTCCCCTCCGTTCCAATGGATCTTTCGCATCATCCCCATCAAAAAATGGCCATTCCATGGGTATACTAATGTATAGCCTAGCCCATTTTCAGACAGCCCGTCAAGCCCCACACCATTCGCTCGGCGTAGATGGTTTTGGTGGGCCATCGAAGTGGCGCTGTTTTGGCATACGTGGCTTGGTCGGAGAGTGGGCCACTGTGGCCTGCTGTGGGCCACTGTGGCCTGCTGGAGATTGGGAAATCACAAGAAAATTTCCGGAAACTATGGAAAGGTGATGAAACATGGCTTTAAATTTTACCTTTGCGTTGGGATGTATGGACAATATTGAATAGTAATGAACAATACTATGATATGATATATTATGATTTTGTATGATATTATAACAAAGCCATATTATGTATTGTTATATAATGCAGAATTCCTTTCAGTATTTTCAGTGATGCAAAATAGTGCAATGGGAGGAACATGGAGGAACACTCTTTTTGCTTTGCGTGTTGCAGATTGACTGTAAGAGGCTCCCTGCAAAACCCAACGTTGCTTGGACTGTTGGCATTCAATGATTCTCGTTTGACGTAAACACAATGATCATAACCATCCCTACCAAGTGGGATGAACATCCTCACAAGAGAAACGTGCCTCACCCTTACAACAGGTTGCCAGTTGCTCGTTGGGTCGAACGGAAAGAGCATTTCACCACACTTCGTGTGGTGCATTGTGCACAGGAAATGGCGATGCAGCTGCAGAACATGGAAATCGATGTCCGGTTGGTCATCATACAAGGATTGCTTGCGGGGAACGCTTTGGAAATCTGTGGTTGGCCAAACCTTCGACCTTTTAGACTCGTGTTTGTCATGAGTTGATGTTCCTTCTTGTGTATGCCCGCAAAGGCGGGAAACTCAGTTCAAACTCGACACTGTTGCCTTGTTGATTGCATAGGAGATGCAGCAAATTCCAGCACTTGCTTCGGAGAAATGAAACAATGGCCTTCCCAAACATAATATGGAAGGCTGTGAAATGGACGAGAAGAGGTATTTTTGGCATCTGATTCTGATGACTCAATTTTCTACTGTAATGATTTTCAAAACTCTCATTTCATTTCAACTTAGATATAGTTGAATTGAATCCAGTAGTTTTAGATTAAATCAGGATTGTGACTCATATATTCAATCCATTCCAATTTATTTTTAGATTTAATCATTTGAAGCCATTGAACTGCGCTTTCCGGCAGGTGAAGTGTCCATGGCTGGCAGTCAGAAATGGTTGGGCAGCACCTGCGAGGTGCGGCGATTCGTCGAATCGCCTGATGCAGCTGTGAGTTGGGATATGTATTTGAAATTAAGGAATTTTAAGGAACTTTAAGGAATTATAAGGAAATGTAAGGAAGTTTAAAGACTTTTCATGATTTTTCAGGAATTTTCAACAAATTTAAGGAATTTTAAGGAACTTTCAGGAATTTTAAAGAATGTTAAAGAATTTTAAGGATTTTTAAGGAGTTTTAAGGAATTTTAAGGAACTTTAAGGCATTTTAAGGAATTTTAAGGAACTTTAAGGCATTTTAAGGAATTTAAAACACATATGGAATTGTAAGGAACTGAAGGCATTTCAAGGCATTTCAAGGCATTTCAAGGCATTTCAAGGAGTTCAAGGCATTTTAAGGAATTTCAAGGAGTTTCAAGGAATTTCAAGGAATTTCATGGAATGGAATTTCATGGAATGGAATATCATGGAATCTGATGGACTATATATAATATTACATGCATGTGTATTCAACAATTGAGTGCACTGTATGTATATTACACATGCAATATATATATAATTATATATATATATTTTTATATAAATATATATATATATAAATATATTTATTTTTGTATACAATACGTCGTATAGAATGTTTTAACACGATACTTGCACTATACTTATACTATATACCATAAACAATATAGAAATAGATACTTGACAATACAAACAATGCGGTGCGATTGTGAGCTTGGGAAGTCAAGATTTCTCAGGTTTTTTGATAGGACGAAAGTCTTTTGATTCATGCAAGTGGATAATTGTCCATTGCCAGAGGATTTGCTTATACTTTGTCTCTTGGCAGCTATTGCTGCAGGTACGACGTGTTTATTCACATCCTCCAAAACCTCATAAAACCTCTAAAATCTCTGAATCAACATAGACATAAGATAGACACAGAGGACCGCCAATTTGATCAATTTGTAGATCTTTTTCCTGAGGAAACCATGAAATAACCATGAAATAACCATGGTTTTTCCAGATCTACGCATCTCTTTGCTGCCAGGCCACTTTGGCACTGGCGCACCGACTGGGTGCCAAAGACTTCGCGCTGCAAGAAGCAGCATCCATGGCTGCGGCGCGGAAGGAAAAACTCGAAGTCTCCAAAGGAGCGGATCATAGCAGATCGATGGGAGAATCCAAGGTCCAACTGGTTGGGTTCATATCCTGGGGATATCTGGGGATTGTATATTTATATACGTATATAACGTATATATATATATATGTATTATTGCATATATTGAGATAATGTATGGAATATTTTGAATGGGATAATTTGAATGGGGTGGTACATGTTGGTATCGGGTATTTACCCGCAAAAAGGTGGATTTAAGCACCTCTAGACGGGTACCCTCGAGGAATCTAATTTAGTATAAGAAATCCCCAATTTGCAGCCGAAAAAGGGAGAGATCATCTATGGGGAATTTCTATGGTCAGGTAAGACTACTTGATGATACTGGATGATACTTGTCAAGATGGCAGAACAAGGAAGCTGTCAGCAAGGACATTGTGGCACCGTTGACCTCAGGACGTTTGCAGACAAGATGTGGCCTTGCCTTTGATGGTATTTCTGGAGGTTCCTTGAATGGAGCCTGGGCACTTGAAAGGGCTGTGGAAAGGGCACTTGAAAGCGGATTGGTTATGTTACGCTGGCTTTTACTGTACTTGGTCTTGTTGCGCATGCTTCGTTCATGACCTAACCGAGGCATTTAAGCAGGCTCATTCCTACACAGCTCTTATGTGTTCTGAGGCGACTTGTTTGTCTTCATGTTGTATTATAGACCAGCGCTTCAGTAGAGAGTCCATCGTAAAGCAGCTACTAAATGTATCGGTTTCCATGGCAGATCCGTTGAGTTGTCTGGAGTCTCCCTCCCAAGGACACCCAAAGAATGGTGTTTTGCTCGACGATGATTCCAACAAGCTTCTGATGAAGGCTTTCTGGAAGGTGTCTGATCAGCTGAATGGTATGTCTGTTGAGGGCTTCAAAGGCCTGATACAAGACATTGTTACTTGGCAGCAGCACGAAGTCCAAGAATGACAACAGGATCAAATAGGAAGACAGCATAAGCCAGCCTTTCGAAAGATATGAAATATCAGTATCGTCAGTATCATCAATCCGGCAGCTGAGGCTTCACGCATGGCAACTTGGCAGACATGTGTTTTATTTCAATATGACATAATATGACATAATATGACTGTCAGATACTCTCAGACAGTTTCACTTGGACTGAGCCATGCTCTGGTCTACCTCCATGATGCTCCCTCTCTGGTAGACAAAATTACAATCCATTGGTCCATTGCCATGCGTCAAATTATTTTGGATCATTTTTGTATGCATCAAATCCAGTCAATCATCCTGATGTAATAATTCTATTCCCCATTGCATCCCATTGCAATGTAGTGAAATGGCAATTTTTGTGTATTTGTTTTATTTTGTTTTCACCAATTTCTGGACACACATCTGGCAGCAGGATTGGTATATGAACTTGGGCAGCGGGGGCGATTTCGCCTTCGATGGTCCTGCCCTTCTGATCTTGGGTGACGGGGAAGCTCCCGAAGACGCTGATGCGATGATTGAGAGCAACGCGCTGCAACTGGGTGCCATAAATAGCCTCCACAGATCGGGACGGGAAGGGGTGATTCAGGGCCCCACGTTGAAAGGGTGAGATCAGTTACGAAAGTATTGTATTGTGTATGCCTGCGACCCTGTATGAAGATATTCATAATTATGTACACCAATTGTGGACACTTGAGGCCTCATATAATATAGATATGGCTGCGGCTCAAAATGTAAGGTTCCGATCCATACCCCGGTACCACATGCGATCCATACCCCATGATCCATACCCATGATCCATACCCCTTTAGAGGACATGATCCATACCTATGATCCATACCTCAGTAATTGCAAATCCTGGGCATGTATTGGTTTTGTTTCTGAGCTGTACCTAAAATTGGGTTTTTCAGCTAGTCGGGGTTACCTACACCCTGTTACTGTAAACATTTGCCTGCCAAACATTCATTGTTTGGCTCAAGCCATAAAAGGCTGTGACCGTTGAATCAAGATTTTTTTTTAATATATATATATAAGTTACATTTTATATCCCGAGAGCTGGAGACACTGCCCTTGGCAACTGGAGGGAACTACCCCCAGCCATTTGCGCGTGTTGTTGCTTTATGGGCGCTTTGCTGTTTCCATGTTCCGCTAAGGTTTGCTTGCAATGTCAGAGAATGCCACAGACAAGTGTCATAAGCTACTGTAGCTTCTCAGGTTCTTAGCACGTGATCATGGAGCAATCTCCCAATTTCTTGTGTATTTTCCGCCCATGTATATAGAACGTTTCGCTTATCCTTGCGTGTAGGCATGTTTGACGGCAAGGTATTGCACAAATTTAGAAGTCGCTGACGTCTCGGGAGATGAACACACTTGCTTGCAACTTGGTCAAAATTGGTCAAATATGCTGAATGGGTTCGTTCGCGGCGAAGATTTCTCTCCTAAACAATGACCTGCGTACTGGTACCGAGGAACGATGACAACATCAGAATGCTAGCAGCTACTTGGCCCATTTGGCATTTCCAAAACCTATATGTTCAAGTCGCTTGCTGCAACTTTGAAACCATGGAAAACCATGGAAATGAGTGGTGACGCATGAGCATCTCCATTTTCAGTGGGTTTGTTCATATGTAATCATTTGTTACATCTTGAGACTCTTTGGCTAGAGGGAAACTGCTCACCAGTCCCCTTCAGTGGTCACCAGCCCTTTGGCCCCACGTCACAATGCACTGTGGTAAGGATCAAATCATAGGTTGGCAGGCATGGTTCCTGCAGCTTTGGGTGTAGGGTTTTGGGATTGGCAGAATTGCAACCGAAAAAAATCCCGTTTACAAACATGTTTATAATGTTTATAATCTATTGTCGCATCAAACGAAAATTGCCATGCAAACCATTGGTGGAGTTCTGGCAGCACAGGCTACATGGCAGGATGTTTCATGCTAAAGGGTTTGAAAACCAAACAAACAAAACAGACGTACACTTCCTAATCACTGCTGTCAAATTTGCCAAATCCTTATCTGAATGAACGTTCACCAACACAATCATTGTGAGTTACAGATTTGCAGATTGTGCAAGAGGCGGACCACGTAAAACAAATTCTATGGTGAAATTGTAGTCCCAGAGACTGTATGAGACTCTGGCCAGACCCAGAGATGATCATCCTGCTGAACCCGAGCTGATCCAATCTGAAAACCCGTTTAGGAGAAACAGGTGCCATATCTGATGAATGGAAGTGAGCGAGTTCTGCAGATATTGTAAGACATTGTAAGAGAGTGAATCCCGCTGCCGTGCTGCAAGCACAGTCGGAACTTGCGCGTGTACTGCTTCTCTGAATCCAACCACACGGATGTGCAGATGAAATTCAATGTGTCTACAATGTATGATATGAATGTGAATATGTGTGACATTCTGACATTCTATCGAATTTTCATGAACTTTCTATTCATGAACTTTCTATAGTTTTGAAGAAGCAGCACATTCATGTCCAATATGCAGCCGAGGGTTGCTCTCGCAGCCTCGCAGTCTCGCAGTGTCCCTGCAGCCTGTGCGGTCCTGAAGGCGGTAAGTGCCTGGGGCCCGGCCATGTGCCATTTGGCAAAGATTTGCTGTGAGCTGATCCACTGTTGACAGACTGTTTACACCAAGTCGTCCTATGTCGTCCTAGTCCGTCGACTAATGTCGACTATTCAGATAATGTGCTGCTGGTTTCAATCCGTTTCTGAATAATTTGTTGGCAGATGTTGGCAGTGGCAAGGTTGAGGATTAAGATATTTGCCAGCAGATGCTAGCAGAAGTTGTTGTTTGGAAGTGAAGCTCTGTTTTGTCCAGATCCATGATTGTAGTGTTTCGGAGCCACGAAATGCTTATCTTACAAGATTTTTAATTTGGTGGAAAAAAGTTGGCAGGAGCATCCAATGCATTTCATTGAAGTATAGAAATGATTGGAGCAATGTCAATAGTAAGTTCATGTAAGTTCCCCATCCTTTGGTGCAGATAGTGCAGTAGCAAAGCCAATCGAGCAATAGTTGTGGATCTTCCCAGCTGCTTTGGCATTCTGCGGGTTATAGTGGAAGGGGTCAGTGGTACGAATCATCTACGAATTCCGTTCAGCTTGACTTGCAATTGCCGCGCATGTTGAAGTATGTTGGCTCTTTTTCTTGATTCCTTCCTTGAATGACAGGATCGTTTCAATTTCTATCGACTGCCAGTGTGCAGGACCTTTTTGTTGGCGCATGCGCCATCGATTAGCTAACTCCGAAGCTGTACAGGGCACAGGCGATCGAAAAAGGTTTTATGGCTCCAGCGCAGATGCAATGATTTGGTTGTGGACTTGTTTTACATTCTACCTGGGATATATGGGATGATCATTGCATCTTATGTTGTGAAACCACTAGGTCCCACTGACAACTCATGGTTGACTGTTGATTTGCCATGATTTGCCCATTCTTGTGCTCTTGTGCTTGCCTGCTGTTTGATGCTTCTGTGTGTCAATCGATCATTTGGACTCACAAACTTCCGCCAAATTGAACAGCGTTTTTTTTGACAGCACCATTTGCCACCTAGGCTACCGTACAGTCAGCGGAGTCTCGCGTAGGCCGTTCGCATAAACTACGTCACGCGTAGGCTGCTGCGCAGTTCGCGTAGCCGCCGCGTAGGCGCTGCGTAGGCAATTTTAGGGATAATACCGTACCTTTAAACTTTAAACCATAAACAGACTCTGCTCAATTGAGATTCTCTGCAGTCCAACTGGAGTCCTACTCATATAGCCATCATATTACACAGCATGATTATAGTAGAAACTGTAAGCCACGAATATCACATACCATCAGCTGTTGTGTCAATCGCTTCCACAATGCAGACCTTTCCATTTTCCTGGAAGGTTTTGGTACCTAGGCTAGCAATTAATCAGAATATTCATTCCATTTACATAACCCCTGAAAGAAGTTTGGGTTATAGATTCTGGTTGCGAGGTGGCCTAGACGTGTTCCCACAACACTCACGGCACTTGGCTCGCCAGTTTCTCCTTTGGATCCAGCCGCAGTGCTCAAATATGCAGATTCCCGTTAAAAGAAGGGGGAGAACAGCATATAGTCCTAGGATGTCCTTAATTTCTTGATATTCGTTGGAATCCTGAGCTCTCACCCCACGACATGGTATCTCATGTGTGTTGAAGATTGAAGAGCTTCAGGTGCTGCAAGACAACTGCAAGACACGCAGAGACTACTGAAGAAGTACACAAACAGCCGAGTCCCGTTTGATTGAGTTTCTTGTGAAACGCTAACAGCTGGGGAAAAATCACCGCTAGATGAAGCAAGCTAGTGGAAGACTACCTTCAGAGACACGAACTCTTCATCCACCATTCACAACTCAGATTGTTCAGACGAGATTCCCAATAAGTGCTGGGAATCACACATATTCAACTCACTGTGGCCCGGGCTCTACCACAACATGGAGGCTTTTTGGTAGAGTTGCTATGGACATCGAAGTGCACAGTCACAGTCGGGGGTTCCATTTTAAGGGGGTATCCATAAAAGCTAGTTGGTGATCGATCTAAAGGTCCTTGTAAGGAGCTTTAATTGCGAAAGCCGTGCATGTTATGTTGGAAACCCTCGCGAAAGTTTTTTTTCGAATTCGCGAAAGTAAAATTTTATTTCGCGAAAGTTTCGCGAAAGTTGGGTATTATAATCATTATATGTAAAGGGCTGCCACCCACTGCCGCCCGGGGTCCGGCAGGAAAAGGGCACCAGAGAATGCGAGTAGCAGTAGCCAAGTTTCCAAAAGTGAGGCTTTGCGAGAGCCAAACACCAAGGCCCCTGGTCTTCGCTTTTCCTTCAGTGCACCCCCTGCTGATGGCCGGGGTCTGTGAATAGGGATATTTTCGCGAAAGTTCCGCGAAAGTTATGCGAAAGAGCGGGCGAAAGTCAAAGTGCATGTTGAAGGGGGCGGGCCAGTAAACTTTGCAAAAAAAAATTGTCCTGAGAAGGGATTCCGTGATGCTAGCTGCATGTTTAAAAGGCTACCAAGAAGTGATCCTTGATTCTCTGGCGTAATTTGGCAGGTGGTGAACGAATCTTCATAAGAGGTGTTGTTGGCCAACATGGGCCCCGCGAAAGATAAACATGGAGTTCGCGAAAGTTTCGCGAAAGTAAAATTTTTATTCGCGAAGAATGGCCGTTCCGGGATAAAGGAATTTTGATCAACAACCAGTTGGTTTATCATAATATTGGGGTAACTATTCACGAAAGGTAGCGTCAGCTACCTGAGTTCTCCGTGCTTCAGCACAAGCTTAGGGGGTATTGGGGGGCCAGCCCGCGGAATTCATGGAATTCTCGCCGTTATGTATTGGATATCAATTATAAGGGGGGCCCCCCCCCCCGAAAATGGTCATGGGTTCAATTCCCACGGGTGACGCGGTCACGGGCCCCCACATTAGAGGCACACTTTCCATGAGGGAGATGTCCCTGTAGTCCAGCATAATTGGTATGCTTCAGCCTCAATAACAGTTGCTGCAAGGGGTCTTAAAAAGGGGTTTTAAATAAACCCCTTTTCGTGCATCATTTCACGCTGCACAAGACACCGTATCATGCAGTCATGCTCTGGATAAAATCATCTTAGACTGCGCAAAAACGTTTTTGGTGTATCATCTTAGGGGCGCAGCATTTTGACACCACTCCTCTCCCACTACACTACCTTTCGTCCGCCTCTGCCTGCTCTCAAGTAAATATATGGTTTTAACAGCAATTTTGGGGTAATTATACGGTACACAGTACATGGTATACCCGATGTTTGCACAGAAACTACTGATGTCGTTTCCCCAAACTATCCCAAACTCAAATCCAAAAACGGCCCAAAACGGCCGAAGGCGGAAATTGACGCACTGAGACGGGAGCGTGAGGAGAAGGCATCAAGGGCGTCTTAGTGGTGCCGTCTGCGTTCCTTGATATAGAGAAACATAGAGAAACAAAACTGAGGACAAGTCAGGATTTGAATTCATAATCTATTTTCAACTGATGTTCCTTTTTTTGAAAGAAAGCTCCAGAATCTAAGGAAAAGGTCTTGGTTCATTTCAATCCACTTTCATGCTTTTTGTTGCTTTCTTATCGCCTTCGTTCTTCCTCTTTCCTGCTTCCTTTCCTTTCTGCCTATCCTTTGCACTTTCTGTTTGTTTGTCTTTCTTGCCTTCTTTCCTTCTCTTTTCCATTCTTCCTCTTTTTTATGCTTTTCTTCTCCTCCTCCTCCTCCTTTTTCTTCTTCTTCTTTGGAAACCTTGGCATTCTAAGGATTCTTTTGGGTGGCACTGAGAGGCAGCAGTAAAGCAATCTTAGTTTCAGTGGATCCACCGAAATGTTCCCCAGGGAGATCCCAGGGAGATCCTTGGCATCATTCATGTGGCAACAGACCCAATGGGTATGGGAAACTCTGAAAAAACTTGTCACAATTCATGACCATCTCACTAATCAACATCCAACATTATTTAGTTGTCTTGTTGGATTATATGTTGCTCTTTTTGTGCATATGATTTGTGCCTCAATCCAATGACAAAAGATCCGGCTGAGCTATAACCAAGGACGGGTGCCAAAGTCCAAACAGCAGATTGATTCAACATCGATTCAACCAGTTTCCATATTTCAGCACCAACTACATAAAACTCAATGTCTCCCTTGATCTAAGTATATTTTGAGTACTTCAGTCCGTATTTTTGACTCTTGAACCTGCAAATATCGGGATTAAATAATTATTCAGAAACTTGAGAATTGTGAAGGGTGATATATCCCATTGCTTTTCATTCTATACCCATTTTGAATCCCATTAAATCTATAGTCTAGTGTTGATGGTTGAATCGCTATTGTTGATGGTTACATATCCCCATTCAATCCCCATCAAATACTGTTCATTTCCTCTAAAGCAACTACCACTGACCCATGCGCCGCACCAGATTCGACAGATCGCTGAGAAGCGGAAGCAGGTCACAAAAACTGTTGACTCCAATGGACTATCATGGATTATCATTATCAACGTTGACCCATGCAGTCAAGGATCAAAGTCGTAGCGATTTGTTGAGGATTGTGAAATAATAGTTAGGAAACAATAAGGATTGGGAAATAGGGAAATGATGGGAATAGTGGTCGATTGGAATGACAGTGGATAGTTTTAGAGTGCTTTAGTGCAGACGCATTCGTTTTCTCAACCTTCAAAATGTGGAGGATGGAGCCAATGCAACATCGATGCAACATGATCGATGTATTATATATATATAAATAATATATATATATATACACATCATGATCATTATTATTGTCACTGTCATTCTGATATATTCTGATTATGAGCGGTTTTATTTTGATTTTACTCTTGGCATTAGTATTATCATTAAAATCATCAAGACATTATCACAACATTATCCTCCTGGTGGTGATGATGATAAGATTGAGTTGATGCTGGCCTCGCGCAAACGCGAGGTTGAAGAGCTGCGCAAGAAGCGCAGCGAGCGAGCAGCTCAGGCCAAATCAGCCCAGGCGGACGCAGCGCAACTGTGGGATTTAAACCATCAAAAATAGGGTTTTTTGGATGTTTGGGGTAAAATTGAGTGAGGATATCATGGGATGTAAAAGCCACAATAACTAATGTTCCGTCCTGATTTGTGTGTAACCCCCCCGCAAAGGAATGCTGCGCCCTCTTTAAAGTTGAATTTTTAAAATTGTTCCCAGCATGGTCCACTGCCGAAATTTGTGGAAAAACTGTTCTTTAATAAGGGTGTATAAGCAATCTGATCCTTTTGGCGAAGGCAGACAAGCAATATGTTTTCCAGAAACAATGTTAAGTTTTTTCACACAAACATGTTTTGACAAAAATATAGTCTGCCAAGAATTCTTGCCACATTAGTGAAACTTCCAAACACATCATGGGTTCAGGATAATCTGTTTTTTTTTAGCCACAATAGCGAACCTAGCTACTAATTAGGATGCAACATTATTTGGGTGTGATTGAAAATGGGGTACATCCCTTGATATGCAAGCTTTTGGAGGGAAAATTGGGATGAATGAATGGATTTGAGGGTACCTTATTTTCGGACAAACCCAGATGACATGATGTAAGCAGCAAAAGAATGGAGGTGGAAACAACGCACATGTGTGACTAGTTTGTGGCTGCATAGATCCGAGTAAGGAATTTAGAGAAACATGCAGATGAGTTTTGTTGCTGTTTTTTTTTTAATGCATGTTCTTTCTAAACCAGGTGCAGAAATCCATGGCTTGTCATACAGTGCCGGAAACAGTATGCGTTTTCAGCAAGAACCTACCCATTCCATGCCATGGCAGGGAACTCTGGCAAGCAATGTGGATAGCCTTGTGGCCGAGATCCTGGGAGGTGCCGTGTGCACCGTGTATCTCCACGCTGTGCTTGTCGATAAAACCTTTGCTGTGGATACTCATCAAAATCCAGGAAATAATGTCGCAAAATGGTTCGGTTCCAGGGCCTTGGGGGAAAATAAAGGAAATATATATATAGTATTGTTTGGGTCTCATTGTGAACCCATTGGAGCTTCCTTCTTGTGTGACCACATCACACAAAACCTCACGATCCATCGCATCTCGAGGTGCTGCTTCTTCACGTGCATCTCCAGAAGCTCCTCTAAAGGCAGCTTGTTTCGCGCATTGTTCTTGCTTGTCTCCCCACTGTTGTTGTTGTTGTTGTTGTTGCTGTTGTGGTCGTCGTCGTCGTCGTCGTCGTCGTCGCTGTTGCTGTTGTTGTTGTTGTTGTTGTTGTTGCTGATATCCACATTGTGGTCATCTCAAAACAAGATGGAAGCCACTAACCCGAATGTGTTCACGTTCTTGGACTACCACACTCCACACTTTTCGCTCCACACTCCACACTTTACACTCTACATTGTGCACTCCACACTCCACACTCTACACTTTACACTCCTCACTCCTCACTCCACACTCCACACTCCTCACTCCACACTCCACACTCCACCACACTCCACACTTTACACTCCACACTTTACACTCTACACTCCACACTCCACACTTTACACTCCACACTCAGCACTTTACACTCCACACTCCACACTTTACACTCGACACTTTACACTCTACACTCTACACTCCACACTCCACATTTTGAGTTTTACACTCCACACTTTACACTTTACACTCCTCACTCCACACTCCACACTCTACACTTTACACTCCACACTCCACACTCCACACTTTACACTCTACACTCCTCACTCCACACTTTACACTCCACACTCCACACTCGACACTTTACACTCCACACTCCACACTCGACACTTTACACTCCACACTCCACGCTCTAAACTTTACACTTTACTTTACACTCCACACCACACTCCACACTCTACACTCCACACTCCACACTCGACACTTTACACTCCACACTCCACACTGTAAACTTTACACTCTACACTCCACACTCTACACTTTCCACTCCACACTCCACACTCTACACTTTACACTCCACACTCATCACTCCACACTTTACACTGCACACTCCTCATTCCACACATTACACTTTACACTTTGCACTTTACACTCCTCACTCCACACTCTACACTCCACACTCCACACTTTACACTCCGCACTCCACACTCTACACTTTACACTCTACACTTTACACTCTACGCTCTACACTCCACACTTCACACTTTACACTCCACACTCCTCACTCCTCACTCCGCACTCCACACACTACACTCCACACTCCACACTGCACACTCCACACTCCACCACACTCTACACTCTACACACACCACACTCCTCACTCCACACTCCACACTCCACACTTTACACTCCACACTTTACACTTTACACTGTACACTCCTCGCTCCACACTTTACACTCCGCACTCCACACTCCACACTCTACACTTTCCACTTCACACTCCCCTCCGACACTTTACACTCCACGCTCCACACTCTACACTTTACACTCTACACTTCACACTTTACACTCCACACTCCACACTTTACACACTCTACATTCCACACTCCACACTTTACACTCCACCCTCTACACTTTCCACTCCACTCTCCACACTCCACACTTTCCACTCCACACTCCACACTCTACACTTTACACTCCACACTCCACACTCTACACTTTACACTTTACATTTTTCACTCTTCACTCCACACTTTACATTTTACACTCCTCACTCCTCACTCCACACTTTGCACTCCACACTCCGCACTTCCCACTTTACACTCCACACTCTACACTTTACACTCTACACTTTACACTCCACACTTTACACTCTATACTCTACACTCCACACTTTACACTTTACACTGTACACTCCTCGCTCCACACTTTACACTCCTCACTCCACACTCTACACGGCTCCACACTTTACACTCCACACTTTACACTCCACACTCTACACTTTCCACTACACTTTACACTCTACACTCCACACTCCACAGTCTACACTTTACACACTCTACACTCCCCACTCCACACTTTACACTCCACACTCCTTACTTTACACTCCACACTCCACACTCTACACTTTCCTCTCCACTCTCCACACTCTACACTTTCCACTCCACACTGCAGACTGGTAACAGGGGAAATATGTACAAGACTGTTCAAATATACTATTGCAGAAAAGTGTTCTGCGTGACTGCATATCCATGTGTTTCGACATCTGTACCATTAACATATGTTTGAGCATTCGGGTTCGTGGGCTACTACTTTGTACTACAAAGCTTGCACAAAGTCGTTCCCAGTACTACTTTGTACTACAAAGCTTGCACAAAGCACTTCCCAGTACTACTTTGTACAACAAAGTTTGCACAAAGTCGTTCCCAGTACTACTTTGTACTACAAAGCTTGCACAAAGTACTTCCCAGTAGTACTTTGTACTACAAAGCTTGCACAAAGTTGTTCCCAGTACTACTCTGTACTACAAAGCTTGCACAAAGCACTTCCCAGTACTGATTTGTACTACAAAGCTTGCACAAAGCACAGTCCACTACTACTTTGGACTACAAAGTTTAAAGAAACTACTTCCCAGTACTACTTTGTACTACAAAGCTTGCACAAAGCACTTCCTAGTACTACTATGTGCTACAAAGCTTGCAGAAACTACTTCCTAGTTCTACTTTGTACTGCCAAGCTTGCACAAAGTACTTCCCAGTACTACTTTGTACTGCAAAGCTTGCACAAAGCACTTCCCAGTACTACTTTGTACTACAAAGCTTGCACAAAGTACTTCCCAGTACTACTTTGCACTACAGAGCTTGCAGAAACTACTTCCCAGTACTACTTTGTACTACAAAGCTTGCACAAAGGACTTCCCAGTACTACTTTGTACTACACAGCTTGCACAAACTACTTCCCAGTACTACTTTGCACGACAAAGCTCGCACAAAGCACGTCCCAGTACTACTTGGTACTACAAAGCTTGCACAAAGTACTTCACAGTACTACTTTGCACTACAGAGCTTGCAGAAACTACTTCCCAGTACTACTTTGTACTGCAAAGCTTGCACAAAGCACTTCCCAGGTACCACTTTGTACTACAAAGCTTGCAGAAACTACTTCCCAGTACTACTTTGTACTACAAAGCTTGCACAAAGGACTTCCCAGTACTACTTTGTACTACACAGCTTGCACAAACTACTTCCCAGTGCTACTTTGCACGACAAAGCTCGCACAAAGCACGTCCCAGTACTACTTGGTACTACAAAGCTTGCACAAAGTACTTCCCAATACTACTTTGCACTACAGAGCTTGCAGAAACTACTTCCCAGTACTACTTTGTACTGCAAAGCTTGCACAAAGGACTTCCCAGTACTACTTTGCAGTACACAGCTTGCACAAACTACTTCCCAGTACTACTTTGCACGACAAAGCTCGCACAAAGTCGTTCCCAGTACTACTTGGTACTACAAAGCTTGCACAAAGTACTTCCCAGTACTACTTTGCACTACAGAGCTTGCAGAAACTACTTCCCAGTACTACTTTGTACTACAAAGCTTGCACAAAGTACTTCCCAGTAGTACTTTGTACTACAAAGCTTGCACAAAGTCGTTCCCAGTACTACTCTGTACTACAAAGCTTGCACAATGTATACTTCCCAGTATTACTTTGCACTACAGAGCTTGCACAAAGGACTTCCCAGTACTACATTGTACTCCAAAGCTTGCACAAAACACGTTCCAGTACTACTTTGTACTACAAAGCTTGCACAAAGCACTTCCCAATCTGACATGACAACCTGCTAGGAAACCTTCGAAAAGAACCCCGAGACACGGCGACGCCATGGAAAACCAGAGACAGCAAAACGAGCGAGGTTTTGCAGCTTCCCCCATAGACACGGCGACGCCAGAGGAAAAGCAGAGACTGAGGTTTTGCAGCTTCCCCCATAGACACGGCGACGTCAGAGGAAAAGCAGAGACTCGAGACGAGACACGTGGCGTGGACGCAGCAAAACGAAGGAGGTTTTGCAGCTTCCCCCATAGACACGGCGATGCCAGAGGAAAAGCAGAGACTCGAGACGAGACACGTGGGCGCAGCAAAACGAGCATTTGGTGCGAGACTTCCTCCAATTTTGAAACTTTCGACACGGTAACAGGCAGGTTGGAATGTCACAAAGTGCAACGCCTGCCACGCAAAACGACATGACAACTGCGTGGAAACCTTCGAAAAGGAGAGGTTTTGCAGCTTCCCCCATAGACACGGAATTAACGATGCCACGACGACGCGACGCCGACCCGACACCGACGCGACGAGCAACTCGAGGCGAACAAGGGTCCAGACCCCAGACTATAAAAGGGAACCCTTCGCTACGCATTCGGGAAAACATGTCTCTTTAACTTTAATGCCAACAATATCCAACAATGCTATTGACTATTCATTTGTTGGTGATCTTTACGCTATTGTTGGTTGCATCAAGGTTGTTGTTTGTTGTATGCCCATTCTGATGGGCAAAAGTATTGCATACTTTGTTCAGTCTTTCTCCTTTTTTAGTGTCTGCTTACACTTGTTTCCCTATTCATTTCTCAATTATATGATTCCCCAATTTTAAATGTTTATTTTCCCTATGTTTTTTTTTTTGTGCACAGTTATTTTCTTACACATTTTCCCCCCAAGTTGCTTTCCCATTTATTTTCGACACTTATTCCCTTCTATATCCACATTTATTTCCCCATGTGTTTCCCTATTACTGCTTCCTGGTTATTTCCCTCTTATGTCCCCAATTATTTTCCAGTTTATTTCCCCGTGTATTTCAAACTGATTTGAACCATTAAACATACCCCTGTTGATTAGTTATTTGGGTTAGGCTTAACCTACCGTATTTTTTTCAAAACTTATTAAACCTTCCCCCCCAGTATGAAACACTGTTAAACACCGCCCAAAAAAATCATGATTGAGTAGGGGGTTTACACATATATTTGGGACCATTTCTGGATGTTTATGTGACATTCTATGTGAGATGGGAATTATAACCACCATAGGGCCATAGGGAGAACACCAAAAATCCAGTGCAGGAACTGAGTGAGAAGAGCCGAAGCTCTCCACCTGGTCCTGGCGAACGAAGCCGGGTGCTTGTTGATGAATGGGGGGATCCCCAAACAACCCTTGGGTTTCAATTCTAACATGATCTATATAATTCTATAATAATATATATATATATATATTAAAAAATACATAAAACTAGAAATTACTTGGATGATTTGGGTACCCTTCCATTTGAAGATTTTTGAGGAACCTTCCCATACTATTAATGTCGTACCATAAACATTGAAATGTTTTGATTGGCAAGCAATTGCTGGAGATGAATACTGAATGATTCCTGGATTGCATGTGCCTGCAACACTTGACTCATTCTGTAGCCCGTTGTCCATATTGTACTCGTAGTTGTGACATGGAACCAGGCGCAGGGGTTGGCTTCACAATTCAAGGCCTAAGCTTTCAACAGGAAGTTTCGATTGCAGCTGCCGTGGCCCTGGGGTGTAGTCCATCAATCCGCAGAGATCACTTAAAATATCAACAACTTTTACCAGTTGAAGAAATCATTTGGGAAACATCAGATTACCAAAAATATATAAAAATATGATCAAACAATATCAAAAATCAGAGGTGTTTCTTTGGTTCAACATGCTTCAAACCTTGCCTTTGTGATCCCCCTGTGTATTTTGGGATGCGTCTGAAGCATCTGACACTTTTCCAGCTGGAAATCACCAGGCAGAAAACACTCTCCCGCTGCTTGAGGTTGATATCGAACCGGATGGCCATGTATCTTATGAGAGGCTGAGCAAAAAAAGGGGTATGTTTGACAGCCTGGTTCCCTGCTAAACGTCAAACTAGATGGTAAATGAATGTAAATTATGTAAATGGATGTTAACCCCTAAAATGGGGTGCAGAGTTTTTTCCTTCAAACCTCTCTGAAGATTGTGGTTTTCATCCGCTTGCACCACGGTGCTGGTTCAGTCCTCTGGTGTGAAACTGTGATTACAGTATCACCCTGTTGGAATTTAAAGGAAGTAGACCTTTTTGGGGAAAATAAGAACGGTGGCAGGAGTTTTTGTTTAATCGCTGACCACTTCACAGGCTTTATTTGAGTGCAGCTTACTTTCGCGACGCTTGATCACTTTTTCTTTCCAGACCTCTGATGGTGTTGGTTTGACTCGACTCTTTGCCCTCATGTTTGTCAGCAGGTACGTAGTGATAACGTATGATTGATTCGGTTGATTTTCAATGTGTTTGCATCACATTGCACCATATAGCACTGCTTAGCGGGATCACCCCGCAGAGCCAGATCTTGCCAAACTGACCTGCGGGCCAGCGATGCTGGATGCTCAATCTTTGCGTTTGTCCTTTATCATTGCTGCAGGGCGGTGGAGCCTCTGATCAAGGAACTTTTGTCTCCTCGTGCATAAAAGTTTCTATTGCTTCTAAGGTGGAAGGCGGTGGAGGAAATGCTGGTGGCCAGGGAGCAGTGTCAAAATCCTCCACCTCCATTCTCATGAAGATGGTCTATCTGACATGTTTACTGAGAAGAGGTCCACATAGCATGAGTCCCTGTGAGTCAGACGTACAAGGGTGTTTCCGCATGCATCACCTGAAATGTTCTTCCAACCGCTTCTGCGGAACGCGATCTATACTCCACATGCTCTAAACTGCATGGCAGCAGGCAGATCGTGCGAAGAACCGGGTACTCACGGGCACGACCTCTGCTACACAGGCCTCACTGTCAGCTGCCACTGATGTCTCCCCACGTCCACCGTCCAACTGCAAGAAGCAGCTCTACTCGTTTGCTTACTGTGGGATGCAACATACTGAGGGAAAGGATGATTTTGCAACCACTAGTGCTACTGAGACAATCGTAATTACAGGTCAAATGAGAGAGCAGGCCGGCCTCAGGCCTCAGATAGTCGTTACATGTTTCTATTATTTTCTATTAACAGTGTGACGTTGCTTTGGTTCATTTGCACTCTTAAAAGCAAACCGTGATTGAACAGAACCTCAGGTCTGATGGCCTCTCTGTTTTTTCTGGTCAAATTCACTAGCTTCGCCAGGAGGAACGGAGGCTCAAGCGAGCCGCAGAGGCAATCGGAGCATTCCATGGATCGCACTTTGATTGTGCATATTTTGATAGACTTATATATACAGAATGGTTGAGTCTAGTTGGATTCAGAAATTAACTCAATTTGATTTGTTGTGATAGACCTTTGAGATAGTGGGCTCATATAAACATCACAACTGGCTGAGCACAGGCAAAATCTTCCGAGCCCGAGAGACCAGAAATCAAGGAGACTGGCGCTGTACATGGCATGTTCCGTTCAGTTGCTTCGTGCTTTCGAGGGATCATCAAGCCATATCAAGCCATATCAAGCCATATCAAGCCATATCAAGCCATATCAAGCCATATCAAGCCCAACCTTCGGGACTGCATCAGCTTTTATCAAGCTGAAACTGGCGCTCAAGAGACAAACTGACTCTGGCCTACTGAAACTTCATTGTTTTACTTGTGTTCAAAGGATATCAAAGGATCCAGAAGCTTGAGCAAAGGACGTGTAGCCAAACAGGAAAACAAGACAATGGAAGAACAGGGATAGAACAGTGATAGAAGATGATAAAAATCTGAATTTAGCATAATTTAGCTCTGTTTGGCCCTGAAGCCACCTGGATTCTCAAGCCGCGCGAAGAAATATCACAACTTTTTGAATTTTGCAGGAGCTCTCTGCGGAGGAGATGGGGCCTGGCAGGGCAGAGAGGGATTTTAATCACGAACTGAATTTCTCTTAAGCCTGAAGCTAGGTTTTATCATGTCTGATCCTTAAGCCCGGATGGAATATTAATCCCGAAATGACAACTTACCGCCACATTGGACTTGACTAGATTAGATCTGCAACTTTACATTGAAAACATGATGAATGTGGTTGTGTGTATGTGTGTGAGAGTTTTTTTTGCCAGCAATTTCACCAAAACCGGCTCGAGCTGAAGCAAGAAAACTGAGTAAGACATATCGTTCAATATTGTCAGAGTAAAAGGTTTCGAATTGGGCGTCTTGACAGTCTTTGTACTTAATGGCAGTTCTGTATTGAGTAGTGACTAAAACCTCTCAGACGACGAGACATGGTTCTTTCACGCATGCGATTCCTTCAAGCTGTCACAGAAGCTGCAGAGGTGAATTCCATTAGTGCTGGTAGTGGGGAGTCGCTGATCTGCTCGTAGGCCCAAGAGGTCTGGTCATTTCTGGTGTTGAACCATTCAACTTTGCTGCTCCCCCAACCCACCCCTGTGCCTGAAATTTGCTATTGCACATTGCATGTGACTCATGTGTTTTAAACGTTGAATGCTAAGAACCAGGAGAGACAAAAGTTGGAGGGTCATCCCGACTACAAAGCGTGCGGGATCAAAGTCTGGGTGAGCGCAGATGATATGTTGGGGTAGATTTGGATAGTTTTCTTCAGTCTTGATGATTGACCAGTACGTTCTACCAAGATGAGTTCGAGTTTTTTTTCGTTCAGAAATGCGGCAACGCAGGAAAGGATGGACACGGCATCATTCGCGTTGAGAACGGGTTGGAAGATACTATACAATGCCATGCACTTTGTGCCAATCTTTTCCACCAATTACATGGCAATAGGCAATATCTTCTCAGCCATCGATGTCATTTTCCCATCGGTTTGTTGATTCGTAGAGATCATAGAGTTAATAGAGGTGTTCATCATGAGTGATCAAAGATCTGAGAATAAAATAGAATCAATAGCATTCTATCATCATTTACCATTTATATCCATTTATAAAATATTATAGATATATATGTGTAATTTATGTATTATTCTAGCTCCAAGTTACGCAAATTCAGAAAAATTACGTATATCATGAATCCATCGTACTCCAGACCTGTCTCTTTGGACCCATTGTTTTCCCAACTTGTTTCCCTGCGTGTGACATGTTTCACACCTGTGAATTGACTGGTTGCGGTGGGAAGACCTTTCAGCTCGATTTGGAAATTGTTTGGCACCATGTCGATGCCTTGTGTTGTTCCTGAAATGCTATGGAGCCTGGATGAGCTAAAGCGTGCCCTGATAGGTGAGTTTCCCATTTTGGAGACTGAAGTAGGAGAGGGTTTCAAAATATTGTGTGACTTGTTTGTTGAATGGGCTGAAATCCTGTTAAACTACAACAACCAGCATCCGCTCTGTTGTTGAGTTTGGAAATTGTGGCCCAGAATCCTTCTCTCAGGGGATTTCCCGCCGCGCATACCCATGTGGCATCGCACTCGAGGGGTGTCATCGCACTCCAGAGGACCCCATCGCACTCCACATATACTCAAAGATCTTCGTACTCCACAAAAGGAATACTATACCAGAAAAACCGTCGCATACAGCCAAAAACATTTTTTTTGAAAAAATGAACCTGAAGAGTTTTTTTTTTCTCTTCGGAGGTAAAATGCTCTGGAATATGATAATATGGAATATGGGGGAAATCGTTGTTTTTCCAGCGTTTTGAAGAGTCGCGCGTACAATCGTATTCCATCAAATTTTGATACTTTAGACCTATGGAGGCTATGGAAATCCTCGGTTGTGGTGCTAGCCGTGCAGGATGGAGTGTGATGCTCGCTGGGTATATGGAATGGAATTTCTGACCCCAATTTGATCAAAAAAGATGTCAAAATATGCTTGAGAATCCCACATGCAAGACTGGCACCGCATACCAGGGGGCATCGTACTCCAGGGGTGGCATCCTACTCAATGTAAGTGTATTCAGTGGAACTATGGTACCATTTGGGTTCGAGGAAGAACAGCGAAATCCAGACTTGGCCCAGTTTGCGGATGCGGAAGCTGAACCGCCAGCCAAACGCGTCAAAAAAATAAGCTGAACAGCTTATCCAATGGTATTAAGGGATCCTATAGAGAAGTTGATGATTGATGAGAGAAACACAAGACTTTATGTTTATTCAAGAAATCATTGCTTGAGAAGCTGTGGACTTAAAGGATCTTAGCGGGGTTAAACATGTGCGATTGGACATGACAGCACGTGCCAAGGGAAAAGGTGCGCCTGACAAGGGTCACACAACCTCATTCTCACCATCAAAGGTCGTTCATTATTTTCCAAACTTCCGGAGCTATTTTGGCATGGAATATGAACAGCCTTGGAATATGGGTAAGATTTTGCTAGAATTATATAATGAATAGATATACCAGACCGGTTTTCAGGTTCTTTGAGAGAGCAACTTTGCTGGTGGAGCGTGCTCTAGGGCAGGACAGCGATAACAAAGACCATGGAAAGAGATGGCACATGATTTGCATATCATGTATCAACGCCATATCAAACCATACCATCCATGGACATCCATGGAGATTGATCGTTTTTCATCCAATATATCATCCATAGATGGTGAGTTTGATTTTGAGAGATACTTCCTGGTGAGTCGCTGCAGATGCAGGAAGCATGGGACATCGCGTTGGACTTCAAGAATACTTCGGCTGAGCAAGCCGAAGGTGGTGGCAGCCCCAGCGAGGCGTCATGCCGCTTGAACCTTGCTCAGCTGGATTGACGAAGGATCGATGGAATTCGATAGGTGAGTCTTATGGAGAATCGGATTAATATCTCACAATATCTCAATTCAGGGGAAGGTTGCACTGACCGGAAGAGTGCTACATGCCACCTTCATTTGTGCAATGAGTCAGAATATGTCAGAATAAGCTCCGTGACACAAATGTTCGACTTGCTAAGGTGCTGATGCCCTCAAGCATGTTGATGACTACTCTGAGGACTGCTCCAGCAGTGCAGTGTTTGCAAATAAAGAATGAGCATTTGTGATGATTTTCTTGGGGAAAGCTTCGACATAGCAAGTCAAAATTACTCCACGCTCTTCGGTGGTGACCATGGCTGCATGCTGGAGTCTTTGTTCTAGTAGTACAACCATGGCAACGTCTAATGTTTTTTTTCATAATTTTTGTTGGATAGCTGGATAACAGTCTCATGATTTCCCGTGTGACAACAAATGAAATGATTCCATGGAAGATGTGGATCACGAAATGTATCGATCTGAGATTGAACCAGCTGCTCTCCAATTTAAAACCAGAGTGCTACAGCATGTCGTTTTGGCAGTGAAAGCCGCTTTCATGAGCTTTGCTTGATAAGCAAATGCAAATGATGTTGTGGTGCAACAAGTGGAGATCACGAACAACTATTAACAACATCAACAAGTTCACAGTTAGGGAGGCACCAACAACATCCTACAGCTCCAGATCCACTGAAGCCATGCTATGCCCATCGCCATGCCAGGAGAAATGGGCAAAAGGTCGATGTGTCACCGACCTGCGCTTCTCTCCTCATCGTCAGGCAGGGATGATTTTCCACGCTGCAGTGCTAGCCCATCCACTAGCTGCTGAATCCTGTTCAAACGAGTGCTAATCATTGTTTCCGCTTGAGCATTCATTTTCTTGACATTCCAATGTGATTTGACTCAAACATTCTTAAACTACTTCTCTCCCTGCATTTCTAGCATCTTTCTTTAATGTTCTTTCTCTACTTGGAGAGGAGATCTTCATCTCTGCATACCACCAGAAGACCAACCCGGAGCTTTCTGATCCGGACGGGTGCATGTTGGTTTGGTCCGTTTCCTCAGACAGGGAAGCGCATCCCATCATGCCTTGTATGGGGCCAGGGTACCACTGGAATCTGATCAGCTATTGCCGTCTGCGCGCGCCACCTAGTTGCAACTTGTGGAAAAACCCAGGAATTTGACAATGAAGAATCGTCCAGAAGTGGCATTTTCAGCACCAAGTGTGCCTTGGATCCCTTCTGGTGGGCCGGCAGTAAATGCAATCGGGCAACTTATGGCAAATCATTATTGCAAATGAGAGTGGCAAGTCATCCAACACTCTCTTGTACTCGGTGCTGTCGTGACAGCAGTGTTTTCCGTTCACTCAGCAAAAGCTGAAAGATTCATATTGTGACTAGAGCAATTTTGCAGCACAGCATTCCTTCTTGTCACTGTATGCTTATTTATTTCTCAATCTTGGGCAACCTTCAGACCCTGATTTCAACTACCAAAATAGACCATACTTCCTATACAAGTAGTAGATTCTTATATTCTTGGTTTACGGATGTTTACGGCCAGTTTAAGAATGTTTAAGAACCTATTTTTCCTATCAGCTCCCCCCATGACAGACTGAGACTTTGTCAAAATCTTAGGCAGTGCTGACAGTTTCGGCCCCAGGATATGGCAGCAGAATCAGCTTCCTGTTTTATGCTGCTTGCTGCCTGTTCAAATCGATGAACCATTTCACTCACAATCAAAGTTTTTTGGCAGTCGTAACAGTCGTACCACCAGGATGCAGGCGCATTATGCAATACATTGCATGCCATCACGAACGCTTTGGGGGTGAAAACTTGATAGAACAACTTGACATGAGTTGCACGAACGGCTAGCAGTTCTGTAGACACCCTGCGTTGGTTTGATCATGAGTTTTCTGGTCCAAAGCTGTCAGCAGTTCCAGACCACGATTGGTTGCTTGCGATCTTGCAAGGGCGGCAAGGGCAAGCGAGTGTCGGGTGTTGCCAAACATGTTCAGCAACGTTTTGGTCTACATTGCACCCAGCATGTTGAATGTGTAGATGTTGCTCACATATGCTCACATCACATATATATATATTATGTATATGTATATATAATATCACATTGGTGCTGTGCCAGAACATTTCAGAACGTAATCGCTTGTGCTTCAGGCTATTCCTCACAAGTTTGATCCAGCTCTATTTTATGGAGGCACTGCTACCAAGCGACATGGCATGTCGGGGAAGGGCAGAACGCTAAGTGCTCAGCAAACCCAGAGGCGATCTTAGGCAATCGTGCGAGTTGGTTTCTCCAGCCTTTCTTTGTACAGCATTTTGCTGGACAAAGCTTGCTATTCTTGAAACATGTTCTATATATAATATGAATGTTCCAAAGACTACGAAGATGTGTACAAATCAGAACTGTGGCACTGTGCTGTGTAATGCACCAGATTTGCCCAATCTGTACTTTTTTTTTGCCACCTTCCCTGGACTTGAGCGCACACCCTGAGAGCCCTCTGAGACTTTTGCTGCCAGGTACTTACTCTGGTGCCATTCTCCTTTGGGATACTCGGCAGAAGGCTGGATGCCATGTGATGCCTGGGACCATTGGGTTTCCAGACTTTCCACACGTTTCCGATTTTCCCACTGAAACACTGAAACCTCTGGTTGCCGAAGTGACTGGAAGGCAGGACCTGTGCTGAAGACACCATTGAGCGGCAAAGGCCTGGTCACAGCAAAACTCACATCGTCGCAGCGGATAAGAATGGACAAGACTTTCCAGAACATCTCCTGCTGGGCATTTCAGGACTCTATATGATATTAAAATTATTAAACGATCATGCACATTCATATCATTCACCGAACTCGTCCACTGCGTCATGCATCCACTTTGCTCTCGACTCGCACGACTCATGTCAAGATTGTCAAGATTGTCAGGTCACGCTCATCCGGTGTCAGCCATGGAGCAAGTGGGTACACAAAACGCAACCAATTTGGTAGCAAGCTCAGAATCTTCGAATATCTTAGAATGCTTCGAAAGTGCCATCGGGAAGCTATGTTTTCCTGAGCTTCCCCAATTTTCACTTGCTTGTTGCATGGAGGAGTGTCTCAAATGACATGCTGCATTTTTGTTTTTTCTGAACAGCAGCGGCCAATACAGCATGCGGGGGTGAACAAAAAGTGAAAAAAATGGCAAGGCCAAGAGGAAAAAACATGCTCAGCTGATGGTCCTGCACTCCGTGCGAGGAAGGCTCAGTCAACAGGCGAAGCAAAAAAGGCCAGGCCAAAGCAAAATAAAGAAGGAAAGAAGCGAGAGGCAGGTCAAAAACCAAGCCACACGCAAGCTGAAATGCCTAAGGCTTCCAGCCTCCGGGACAAAACATGTGCCGAGTGAGCAGAGTGGGAGTCAAAAAAAACATTTTGTTTGAATGCCGAGTGAGCCGAGTGAGCAGAGTGCCGAGTGAGCTGCATTTTGTCAGGGCAAATTCATTGAAGCCAGACCATGCCTGACCTGACTTCTGAGGTAACAGCGTCGAATGATGGACGGCTTTGTGTGTGGTCACTTGCCATGCTGAACACTCCGCAGGAGTGCCAACTTTCTCAGACAATCTCTGACATGCCATAAACATGCCAAAAAGGTGATTTTATTGCGACTAATTGCAGCTTACATCCCTATAATCCCTCCTGGAGGAGACGTTTGATCTCAAGAATGAGAGCAAAGCTGGTCGACGGGAGCCATCCGTCAGAGTCCTGAGGAGTTGGGTAGATTCTGTGGTGGTTCGCAAGCTGGCTTGATGCAACTATATAGTATGAAGTCTTGATTTTGTAATTTAAACATATTCAGAAAATATGTGTGTATATATAATATATGATATATTATTATAATGTATATATATATATACATACAACTATTCTAAAACTATAAATAGGTTTGGCCATTGCTTCTAAGGTTGACACGTTGGGACTCTGCTGAGGTCATGTCCTTCTCATTCCCTGAGAACGAAACGAATATCCTCTATGTGGGTTCTGAGGAGATGGGATCCATGGGGATGCAGCTGGAACCGGTGGTAGCAAGCTGGAATCTCGTTTCATATACACATAATCATACATAATCATTGATCATCTATACTATATATATACAGTAAATATGACATTATATATAATATATAATATATATATATATATGTATACATATATACATAAAATACATGTGTAAACTATGGCAAGGCCAGGCACTTGTTCAACAGTCCCAGAGACAACGAAGACAACGAAGTTCGAAGAATCACGGCATCGCCCAGCCATGCGCCAGGATGGAGTGATGTGGCAGGTGAACCTCAGGGGGAGCAAACCTGGCATCGCAGAGCTCTATGAGGGCCATGATGGAGCCACGGGCGGCAGCGTCGGACTTGGTACAAACAAAAAGGCTCAAAAATGTTAAAAAGAACACCCAGGAACTTTCCATGGTCATCTTTGGTCGATGATTGTCGATTTCAAGTGAACATTCTTTGGTGATGCTTGTTGGCAGATTGATGCTGGAAGAAACTGGTACGCTTTGATATTAAAGGGCTACGCCCTCTGCCGCCGACCCCTGGACACTGGAGGGTCATGCCTGCCTCTGTGTCGTAAGCATGAAATGAACCCTAAAGAAACCAGAAACTGACCTAAACAAACCATTTGTATGTGCGTTTGGCACTGTGCACATGCAAGCAGCATGGACCCCTGCAGGATGACACGCACAACTATGTGCTCTGACACTTTTTCATGGCTCAAGAAATAGGAGCTTTCGTCATTGGGCAGGTGTCTTGGGGACCTAAAGGGTTGCTCTAGCACTTAAGACCCATACCCGAAGCCCCCGTTCGTAACCGCAGTATGAAACTTGAAATGGCATCCTAAAGAGACCCGAGACGACACTGCACTGCCAACTGCCACCCTGCTCGTGTCCTCCTGGGGCCGGCTTTCGTTCTGCACAGCTTCGGTCCAAGCTGGAGTCCAAGGACCGTGTCGCAGGGCTAAAACACCATGGCAGTGAAGGACGGATTGGGCCCGCGGCCCGTATCCTAGACTGCCAAACGTCACTTTCTGAACCGACTAGAAACTAGCTCCAAACCATTCCAAACCTTGACTTTTCCTGCGTTTCTGCACTGCCAACTGCCACCCTGCTCGTGTCCTCCTGGAGCCGGCTTTCGTTCTGCGGCTCCAAACCTTGACTTTACCTGCATTTCTGCACTGCCAACTGCCACCCTGCTCGTGTCCTCCTGGAGCCGGCTTTCGTTCTGCACCGCTTCGGTCTAAGCTGGAGTCCAAGGACCGTGTCGCAGGGCTAAAACACCATGGCAGTGAAGGACGGATTAGGCCCGCGGCCCGTATCCCAGACTGCCAAACGTCACTTTCTGAACCGACTAGAAACTAGCTCCAAACCTTGACTTTTCCTGCGTTTCTGCACTGCCAACTGCCACCCTGCTCGTGTCCTCCTGGAGCCGGCTTTCGTTCTGCACCGCTTCGGTCCAAGCTGGAGTCCAAGGACCGTGTCGCAGGGCTAAAACACCATGGCAGTGAAGGACCCCAGACTGCCAAACGTCACTTTCTGAACCGACTAGAAACTAGCTCCAAACCTTGACTTTTCCTGCGTTTCTGCACTGCCAACTGCCACCCTGCTCGTGTCCTCCTGGAGCCGGCTTTCGTTCTGCACCGCTTCGGTCCAAGCTGGAGTCCAAGGACCGTGTCGCAGGGCTAAAACACCATGGCAGTGAAGGACGGATTGGGCCCGCGGCCCGTATCCCAGACTGCCAAACGTCACTTTCTGAACCGACTAGAAACTAGCTCCAAACCTGGACTTTTCCTGCGTTTCTGCATTGCCAACTGCCACCCTGCTCGTGTCCTCCTGGAGCCGGCTTTCGTTCTGCGGCCCGTAGCCCAGAGTGCCAAACGTTACTTTCTGAACCGACTAGAAACTAGCTCCAAACCTTGACTTTACCTGCGTTTCTGCACTGCCAACTGCCACCCTGCTCGTGTCCTCCTGGCGCCGGCTTTCGTTCTGCACCGCTTCGGTCCAAGCTGGAGTCCAAGGACCGTGTCGCAGGGCTAAAACACCATGGCAGTGAAGGACGGATTGGGCCCGCGGCCCGTATCCCAGACTGCCAAACGTCACTTTCTGAACCGACTAGAAACTAGCTCCAAACCTTGACTTTTCCTGCGTTTCTGCACTGCCAACTGCCACCCTGCTCGTGTCCTCCTGGAGCCGGCCTTCGTTCTGCACCGCTTCGTCCAAGCTGGAGTCCAAGGACCGTGTCGCAGGGCTAAAACACCATGGCAGAGAAGCACGGATTGGGCCCGCGGCCCGTATCCCAGACTGCCAAACGTCACTTTCTGAACCGACTAGAAACTAGCTCCAAACCTTGACTTTTCCTGCGTTTCTGCATTGCCAACTGCCACCCTGCTCGTGTCCTCCTGGAGCCGGCTTTCGTTCTGCACCGCTTCGGTCCAGTCCAAGCTGGAGTCCAAGGACCGTGTCGCAGGGCTAAAACACCATGGCAGTGAAGGACGGATTGGGCCCGCGGCCCGTATCCCAGACTGCCAAACGTCACTTTCTGAACCGACTAGAACTAGCTCCAAACCTTGACTTTTCCTGCGTTTCTGCACTGCCAACTGCCACCCTGCTCGTGTCCTCCTGGAGCCGGCCTTCGTTCTGCACCGCTTCGGTCCAAGCTGGAGTCCAAGGACCGTGTCGCAGGGCTAAAACACCATGGCAGTGAAGGACGGATTGGGCCCGCGGCCCGTATCCTAGACTGCCAAACGTCACTTTCTGAACCGACTAGAAACTAGCTCCAAACCTTGACTTTTCCTGCGTTTCTGCACTGCCAACTGCCACCCTGCTCGTGTCCTCCTGGAGCCGGCTTTCGTTCTGCGGCTCCAAACCTTGACTTTACCTGCGTTTCTGCACTGCCAACTGCCACCCTGCTCGTGTCGTCCTGGAGCCGGCTTTCGTTCTGCACCGCTTCGGTCTAAGCTGGAGTCCAAGGACCGTGTCGCAGGGCTAAAAAACACCATGGCAGTGAAGGACGGATTGTGTCGGCGGCCCGTATCCCAGACTGCCAAACGTCACTTTCTGAACCGACTAGAAACTAGCTCCAAACCTTGACTTTTCCTGCGTTTCTGCACTGCCAACTGCCACCCTGCTCGTGTCCTCCTGGAGCCGGCTTTCGTTCTGCACCGCTTCGGTCCAAGCTGGAGTCCAAGGACCGTGTCGCAGGGCTAAAACACCATGGCAGTGAAGGACGGATTGGGCCCGCGGCCCGTATCCCAGACTGCCAAACGTCACTTTCTGAACCGACTAGAAACTAGCTCCAAACCTTGACTTTTCCTGCGTTTCTGCACTGCCAACTGCCACCCTGCTCTCCTCCTGGAGCCGGCTTTCGTTCTGCACCGCTTCGGTCCAAGCTGGAGTCCAAGGACCGTGTCGCAGGGCTAAAACACCATGGCAGTGAAGGACGGATTGGGCCCGCGGCCCGTATCCCAGACTGCCAAACGTCACTTTCTGAACCGACTAGAAACTAGCTCCAAACCTTGACTTTTCCTGCGTTTCTGCACTGCCAACTGCCACCCTGCTCGTGTCCTCCTGGAGCCGGCTTTCGTTCTGCACCGCTTCGGTCCAAGCTGGAGTCCAAGGACCGTGTCGCAGGGCTAAAACACCATGGCAGTGAAGGACGGATTGGGCCCGCGGCCCGTATCCTAGACTGCCAAACGTCACTTTCCGAACCGACTAGAAACTAGCTCCAAACCTTGACTTTTCCTGCGTTTCTGCACTGCCAACTGCCACCCTGCTCGTGTCCTCCTGGAGCCGGCTTTCGTTCTGCGGCTCCAAACCTTGACTTTACCTGCGTTTCTGCACTGCCAACTGCCACCCTGCTCGTGTCCTCCTGGAGCCGGCTTTCGTTCTGCACCGCTTCGGTCTAAGCTGGAGTCCAAGGACCGTGTCGCAGGGCTAAAACACCATGGCAGTGAAGGACGGATTGGGCCCGCGGCCCGTATCCCAGACTGCCAAACGTCACTTTCTGAACCAACTAGAAACTAAGCTCCAAACCTTGACTTTTCCTGCGTTTCTGCACTGCCAACTGCCACCCTGCTCGTGTCCTCCTGGAGCCGGCTTTCGTTCTGTTCTGCACCGCTTCGGTCCAAGCTGGAGTCCAAGGACCGTGTCGCAGGGCTAAAACACCATGGCAGTGAAGGACGGATTGGGCCCGCGGCCCGTATCCCAGACTGCCAAACGTCACTTTTCTGAACCGACTAGAAACCAGCTCCAAACCTTGACTTTTCCTGCGTTTCTGCACTGCCAACTGCCACCCTGCTCGTGTCCTCCTGGGAGCCGGCTTTCGTTCTGCGGCGTCCGTAGCCCAGAGTGAAACGTTACTTTCTGAAACGACTTTAGAAACTAGCTCCAAACCTTGACTTTTCCTGCGTTTCTGCACTGCCAACTGCCACCCTGCTCGTGTCCTCCTGGAGCCGGCCTTCGTTCTGCACCGCTTCGGTCCAAGCTGGAGTCCAAGGACCGTGTCGCAGGGCTAAAACACCATGGCAGTGAAGGACGGATTGGGCCCGCGGCCCGTATCCCAGACTGCCAAACGTCACTTTCTGAACCGACTAGAAACTAGCTCCAAACCTTGACTTTTCCTGCGTTTCTGCTCTGCCAACTGCCACCCTGCTCGTGTCCTCCTGGAGCCGGCTTTCGTTCTGCACCGCTTCGGTCCAAGCTGGAGTCCAAGGACCGTGTCGCAGGGCTAAAACACCATGGCAGTGAAGGACGGATTGGGCCCGCGGCCCGTATCCCAGACTGCCAAACGTCACTTTCTGAACCGACTAGAAACTAGCTCCAAACCTTGACTTTTCCTGCGTTTCTGCACTGCCAACTGCCACCCTGCTCGTGTCCTCCTGGAGCCGGCTTTCGTTCTGCACCGCTTCGGTCCAAGCTGGAGTCCAAGGACCGTGTCGCAGGGCTAAAACACCATGGCAGTGAAGGACGGATTGGGCCGCGGCCCGTATCCCAGACTGCCAAACGTCACTTTCTGAACCGACTAGAAACTAGCTCCAAACCTTGACTTTTCCTGCGTTTCTGCACTGCCAACTGCCACCCTGCTCGTGTCCTCCTGGAGCCGGCTTTCGTTCTGCACCGCTTCGGTCCAAGCTGGAGTCCAAGGACCGTGTCGCAGGGCTAAAACACCATGGCAGTGAAGGACGGATTGGGCCCGCGGCCCGTATCCCAGACTGCCAAACGTCACTTTCTGAACCGACTAGAAACTAGCTCCAAACCTTGACTTTTCCTGCGTTTCTACACTGCCAACTGCCACCCTGCTCGTGTCCTCCTGGAGCCGGCTTTCGTTCTGCGCAAACTCTTCGCCCCTTCTGGCATCTTGTTGCTAGTAAGGCCTCCTCTGACGCGCTCCCCCTGCTGACGGCAGGGGTCGGCGGATTTAGTCCAAAATGTTGTCACTGCATGCACAAAACTGGCATTTCTTGCAACACTTTGATTCACAAACTGATCAGATACAAACATATTCCGAGTGCTGCCGGACATGTTTGTCCATAAATATCCGAGAATCGGAGAAACCGCAAATTCCAACGGCTGATTATATTAATATATATTTATGGTTGATTTGCATCTTTTTCCATCATTTTTTCCCAATTCTTCGGGATGACAATATTAGGGGGATCACCACAATATTGACTTGCCTTGGTTTCCATTGATTAATGAGAGTTATCATTGCAATCCTTATTATCATTCGGTGAATGGAAACTGAACCGTTTCCCGATCCTCCCGTGACAGCTGACAAAAACGGCAACGTCGCGAGGACCTGTCACTGGAGTCCACATGCATCCGCATCAGGGCAATGACTCTGGCATCTCTTCGGATACCACGACGGAGCGGTTGAGCGCTTGCGGGGTTCAATCTATGGGGTGCGGGGGTGGGGATCTATGGGGAACCAACCTTAATAGTATCCAATCATAATAATATGTAATTAATAATAAACCATAAGTTGGGAATAGTTGGGATAGAATCGTACCAAAAACATCCAAAAACTATGGTAAATGATGTAGCACTTATAACTAGAACTGCGCGCCCAAGTAGAGGGTAATGCATGGTAACAGGATGTAATAGGTGCAATTGTTTAATTGATTAGTATCAACAAATTGCTAGTCTAATTCAATGCGACCCCGACCACTGCCATTGTTGACTTCTGATTCTCTGCTCGAGTCTTGAGGCATTGGAGGTTCAAAGTTCAACTCACGTGTATTGTGCAAACCTGTTCTCTGATACAGGTTTCTACAGGTAATACTTGTGCTTTACATTGTTTCATTCAAGATCTTCAAGATCTTCCAGTAAAGCATCTTCAAGCAGTTTCAGCATCACCAGTGGGAAAGGGCCATGGGACCATTTTCTCACTGCTGCGCACATCAGGACTTATGCCTAACAAGTTCGTTCGATTGGAGTGTGAAACTCTGGAGAGTCAGATGCCCAACCCACCTGGCCTGGTGGTGCGCCGTGGGTAAAGAGCAGCTGATGTAAACACGCTTTCCGTGTCCGTGTGAAACAGGACATCACCTGACTTCCTCTAGACATCTCTAGACCCATGGCTTGAGTCACAAATCAAACTTGGCCGCCCTAGCTTGCAGCAATTGCGTTCCGAGGTTAAGCACTTCCAATCACCCGTCTTGACGCTGGACGCATTTGAAGACTATGTTACTTGTCAGACATCAGTGGCATTGTGGCATTTGAGGAGGCCGTTGCAACCCACTTGGTCAAAGGAGGAATGATAAAAATTGATACAAAGGATAGACAAGGACCAACACTTCAACCTCGCAACTGGATAAACATGGCCAGTCACAGTCGCAGATCATCCCCGACCTTTTTTTATTCAGTTTGAGCCAGGTCTATGACGTCCGATGGCATCCGACTCATCCAGCATGTTTCGCATCCACGGATGGCGAAGGGCTGCGAGCCAAGTTGAGAGATGGACTTTGCTCAGCTGCACTGTGCTGGTTGCCATCGCTTGCCATCGCCTGCCATCGCGTGCCATGTCTCCCAGGCATGTGGACCTGTGGAACTTGAACAAAAATATCGAGTTGGGTGCCCAGATTCACAGCACTTGAACAGCTGATGAGTGAATTATAGGATGAATCAGGTAGGATATGATCAAGTCACATCAAGTCAAGTGTCTAGTTTTAATGTGTCACAGATGCCAGTCTTGATGGGCTGGGTTGGTTCTTGGGGCACGACACCCTGAAAGGACAGATTTCTGTACTAGCCGTTGCAACTGGATGAAACGAAGGTGGTGCCCCCCAAAGAGCTGCTACTGTAAGTTGGTTTATAACTGCATTGACGATGGTTTATGGTACGTATTGGTACGTATATGTACGTATATGTAACATATCATATGTACGTATAATATCGTATAATATGGTACAACCACAGTCATACCACAGTCCCTGGGGGTTATATTGGGTTATAACTTATAACTAACAAACAGCACTGGGGAACGCTAAAGGTCGCCAGTCCTGCGCTGTGAAAATCCGAACAATCGAAGGCCGGAAAGATGTGGAAAGATAATGACAGGGATAGAAGATGCTGTACCTAGCTGTACAGAGCCTGTGCATGTTATAATATATATAAACGGATTTCAATAGATTTCAGTGGCATGTTTGTAGCCTTCTTGTTGCCGTGCATTGCTGGTTCACTTTAAAGTCCCATATCAGTGGTTCTGCTCGCGAGGACGAGGTCGAAGCTGAGATATCTAAGTTATTTCAACAGATCTTAGGATGGCGTTGCTGCAACTTAGCCCTTGAATATATTGTGATATTTGTGATTATTTTTGAATCTCCTTCATATCCTCGCGCAAGTGGTTTCATTGATTCACTCTGCTGGTTGATTTCATCATAAACGGGTTGGTTTTAGTTTGGCTTCGGTTTGAAGTGTCCCGCTGTAATGGGCAGAATTGAGCCCCAATCTCCTAGTAGTTACGGAGTCAAAAAACCCAACGGCTTTTGCAAATGGTTGCACTACACATAAACTTGCTGTTCTGCACCAGGCTAGCTCTGAACAAGTGCCACTGGTCCATTGATGGTCGCAAACTTGCTACCGGTGACAGTGAGGCAGAAGCACTCGCGGAGAGTTATGGGAGGGTGCAATCATGTGACGTGCAGACACTGCGAGTCATACCTGTGCAAGTGATTCAGCAAATCGGCTCTTGGAATTGCTTCTGGATTTTGGACAATTGTGAATCAGAACCAATTCAACATTTACAGCCGCGCAGGTCGTATTTGGATGTATTTGAGCCACACTCATGGATATAAATGGATATAATTGATATAATATGCATAAATTATCAAAGGTAGAAATTTGGAGTTGGCCATCGCAGGGGACTGTGAGTGTTTATGCTGCGGACCGTTCCGTGGCGCAGCCGAGGTCGCTGGGAGAGGGATGCGGTTATATTATGACGATGGGCTACTCATCAAATGGGTCATACAGAATCCAGTCAACTTTTGATTACCCCACTGAGGTAATAAGAATGTGTTAAGTGTTAAGTAATGCTGGTAAGTCCTAATTGGACCCAGTTTGTGTTTTGTCCATCCAATACAATGACTGACTTGACTGAGAGACAGCAGATTTCAGGGGGTTGAAATGCTTGAGGAAGAGTAGGGGAATAAGACTTGTCAGCATTGTCCTTAATGGAAGTCTGTGATTTGTCATCATCATACTATGGGTATATAACCTGAAATGCTACAGACCAATGCAGTTGTTATTGCAGCTTGGCATTCGCTGCTTTACTGAAGGAATGAAGACTTTGTTCAATTTCAGGACCGGGCAGAGAGTGAACCAGATATCTGGGTTGGCAAGGTCACGCAGGATTTTGATGTTTTTTGGCATATTCTTGTTTTCTTCTGTTAACATTCTTCTGATTGACCTTCGAAAAGCAGATGGCGGAAGCTTGTAAAAAACTCGCAGAGTACATGAGGTGTTGAAGGGGCAACACTTGTGCCGCTGGATTGTGCAGAGGAAGACAGGGTATTTTAGATCGCTTACCCGTACAAGTGATCCACCCGCAGGAGCGTGTGCGGCAGCTGAAACCCACGGCCCAGCGCTCTCGGGACACGGGGTTCGGCGCGGCGGTTCGGTTGTAAAAAACTGGGGGATACAGTACCTCAAATTATGGCATGTTATAGTCATTTTATGTTTTTTTTAATGACATTTTTCAGATAGGGACTGATGACAAACCTTGATCAACAAATGGACTTGGGGATGATTACCAAATTTTCAAATTCATGCACGTGCTGGCTGTGAACTTTTGACCTCCAACCTCTGTTAAAAAGAACGTCAGGACTGATTGAATGATTTGGATGCACTCACAAAAGTTCTCTTGACAGAAATCCATAGAAATCCAGTATCATCCTGTCAACTGTGTCACACACACATTCACACACTCTTCACCCAGAATCGGACACTTTCATGCGTCCGCGAGCTGGCGTTGCTGTCTTCAGGACGGCTACGACTCCCGGCTTGCTTCCATGGCACGTTAGGAAAGACTTGCTTGATTCGAAAACAGGTGCCAACTCATGATGTCCTGGTAGAGGTCTTTCAAACATGTTTTAGTTTAGTGTTTGAAACGGGCCAAATTGTGTCCACTTGGTATCTCTCGATTTAGAATATTTCCATTGAAGCAAATCAACTATTCGTAAGTCATGAAATTGTATCTTGGAGCGGGCAAGCCCAACTTTTGTGCTTGCCTAGAACATAGAGCATGATGTTAGAGCCCCAATAATGCCAACTGCCCTTTGCTTTGCAGGTGCTGAAGCATGTTGTTGATGGGCTTCAGATTCATTGCCAAAGCTGTCATCATGACAACCTGTGACAATCATGCCAAGGCTGTCAATGCGCAAAATGCCCTGACTCGATCTGACTCGCAGCTTTCCGAAGAGCTGCTGCAGCCAGACAGCAAGCCACTAGACTCACTAGACAGCAGGACACCCAACCGCCTTTTCTTTTCTGCGCCAAACTTCACAGCAGCGACAGTTGCAAGCTCTGACAGACTACAGACTTCATTTTGCAACAAAAGCAGCATAAAGCAGCCAATTCAATCCAATTCACAAGTCTAAGATAGTCTAAGTCACTAAGTCCTGAGACTTATCAATGCCCAGAGCCATGCGTGGCCGTGGCTGATCACAGCTCATGGCCCATGATTTCAGATGCTGCGCAGCCTCAAGGCCAGCTGGAAATGTGTCGGCTGAGCTGCCGGCTTCGGCTTCATTTGTGTCAGGTCCGAGTGGCGGTCCAAGAGAAGGAAAGTGAAGACTCCCAGGATGTAAGCATACGATAGCATACGCAGAAATATACAGACACTGTGTTCATTGTCAGATGCCGATGTGTCCAACTTTTGTTTGTTTGTCAGGCTTCGGAGCTGTCGTACAGATTCGTATGTATAATTTCGCATAGTGTTTCCCAGTGTTTCGAAGTGCAACTGACAGATCGACAATGGTTTGTTTCATGCTGTTTCATGATGTTTCATTCTTAGATGTCCTGCATTTCCAGATTTCTTTGATCATTTCCAGGTCAGATTTGCAATGCCCGGCAACGGAGGTGAATCGCCGGATCAGATGATGTGAATCTTCACACGACGTGGTAGCCAGCATAGGCAGCATGACCTTGATATACAATGATCTAAATAATTCTAAATATGATAATATATATATATATATTAATATAATATATCACATATATATATATATATTATAATATATATATATGATATATTATACACCATATAATCATTATATATAATTATGATATTTCAATCATGAATTATAGATGTGGTTCGTCCTCAAATCATGCTCGTTTCCAAAAGTCTCACAGGTGTGGAATAGTTCGTGACACATTGCGTCAAACACGTCGAACCAGGCGGCTTGATTAAAGCAAACAGAGCGTCACTTTGACACAGTAAACCTACTCTCCGTCTCTTAAACATCTTATCACTTCTCAAAAAACTGAAGCTCACAACGTAAAAGCCGCATTCAATGCTATTTTAATGATCACATACATTCGAAACACGAGAAAACTGTTTCCAACAAGGTTTTGAATCCTAAGCATGTCACCAGTGGATTCACCTGGATTCACTAGCGATATTGGCACCTAGTCTAGTTGGTGTTTCAAGTAGTTTTCTTACTTGTCTATACTATTCTATACTTGTATCCATATTTGGAATGATAGATCTGCCATTGACCAAGAGTATTGGCTCCCAAGTGGCTCGTGGTAGCTTAAATACCAACCAGCCCTGTATGATGCAATGGTTTGCCGGCACAGGTGCTGGGACTGCCATATTTGGTATGGTTCCTGTCCTCGTCACACACTCAGTGACTGACCAAAGAAATGTTGCTGAGAAAACTTGACCTGTAGGAATTGTTTCCAACATTTTCCAACCACGAGTGCTGTAGGATTCAGCGTACTCTGCTGAGCCCAAGAAAGACTTTGCTTCTCTTTTGTGCCGCGCAGATCTTCCAAGTTTTAAACCTTGTGCCCACGACCATTACATGAACGCCGCTAACGAAGTTGCCACACTGCCACTAAGAAGTGTGATCGACACAAGTCTCGTTTTCAATTTCGCCCTGGTGCCAGCCAACAAAGGAAATGCTTTCGCGAACAGGACAGCAATCCAAGAACCGGCACTGTAGTTGGATTTCATACAACAGATGCTCACGTCAAAATAAACATCAAGTCGGAGTTTTCTAAATCGCTGCTGCATCGCCGCTCATTTGTGATATGGCGGCCATTTTACAGCTGCAGCCTGTTGGGCAAGGTCTATTGCCAGGCAGATTTTTGGGAGTTGAAGTATGTGGAACCATGTGGAACCATGTGGAACCTAGATCGAGGACTGGAAACCAAGACCAAACATGTGGTTCCTTGACCTACGATTCTTTGTTATGTGTACTGATGTGCAGTGTGTTTTGGACTAAGGCCCATTTGGTCCCCTGTTCCATGGTACTGCGGGTCTGTGATGCTTAGTCAATGTCAGCTCATCGTGCCTTTCCAAGGCCAAATCAACGATACACTTCACTCTAAACATTTCACTAAGATGAGGATGCATGAACATGAACGAACATATCAAATACATTCGAGTACGGAGTTGATCTAAAGGTCCTTGTAAAGATTTTTCATCACAAAGACCGCCAGTATTACAGCATGAGACGCACCTTTATAGTCTAATTAAGAGTCTAAGATGCCTTGTGCATGTGCTTTGTTTGCTTTTGTCCTGCCTGAAACAGGTGCTGTGCGCACACGGAAACAGAGCCTGCCAGCCACGGCGTCGCATGTTTGGAGCACAGACACGTGGCGGCATCATGAAATCAATGTAACGCCATGGACGAGAGCAGTTGGTAAAACATACCCAGGAATCCCAAGAAACAAACGAACTGGATGCTTAAATTCCTATAAATCCTCATTTTTGATGGTATCAACACTTATTTTGGGGAATTGGAATAGGAGAGGAACAGCACGATGAGATCTGCAGATTTACAAAGCTCAAGGAGAGGGCTTCACCGCTGAAGAGAATCGCGCTGTTCTCACAGACAAACCTAACAGAGCCCAGGCTGCACTGGTCCTGTGTTGTGTCACAATTTGGGCATGGGTCTGGCTACCTGGACATTGGGATCATTGGGCTGGGGGATGAACATCAATTTTGCCTGCTATTTTGGTGTGAAAACCAGGGTAAGACATGGTAATACTGTTTTCACCCACTATGATCATAAGTATTCATGAATTATGATGCATCTCATCTCATGTCTTCCAGTGATGTTGGGATCTCAAGACTACGGAGCCGCTGGAACCATTCGGGGACAACTCACAACATTCAACATATCCTCACTTCAAGCTTTTCAGTCCTTACTGTATTGCTTGGTAGTATGGATTGTGGATTGGGAGGAGAACCAGCAATTTGTCCATGTTTGTTCAAGGGTGACGCCGGCATGCTGTTTGGGATAGTGGTCTTGAAGCGTTTGAACCAAAGCAACTGCGAATTATATTGGGTTTTCATGGATTTTCCACAGATATTCCATGATGCGTTTCAAGGAGATCCGGAGTGTTCCTAAGTGTGATTCTGCACTCCTTGCATCAAATTTCGTATTGACGCCGGCTTCATTTTCAGGTGCCACTGTGTGCAAGCTTTGGTGGCTTGGCTGACCTTTCCAAGAAACCTTATCGGACACATAGCGGACACACAACATGATTCCCATAGCCGAAGGTCAACTGCGGCCAGGGTAGCAGCCGTTGATCTGGGATGTAACAAATTTTATTCTAGTTGACACTTCAGTCAGTGTGCAGGGTTAGGGAAGATGAACATCGAGACTTCGAGACTCGTGTTCTTACACTTTGAAGCACCGCACAGATTCTGTCACTACCCAGTGGAGATCAGCCTTTCTCATGTCAATTTTGGCAGAGGATGCATTCTTTCTGCGCGAAGACGCAAGCAACCTACTGCCAGAGGACGAAGGGTCAGGGATTGTCCCCTTTGTCCCAGGAGGTTGACAACGCACAAAAAGAAAAGGATGGATTTTAATGGGGACTTGTTTGCATGGATTTGTACAATATCATAATGATATCGCAATGGCGTATTGCATCATATATATCATGGTATATACAATATTGATGAACATATTGATGAATATTGCAATATATCACCAGCTCCAACTCTCCAGGCGCGATGGAGAGTGACCTTGCAGACCTTGAAGCGCAGCTCCGCTTAGCAGTGGAAGCAGAAGACTACAAGGACGGCGACATGTCATGACAGTCATGACATGTGTTGTGTTGGTGCTGTGATTTTCTTAGCCACTGTTGGAAAGCCGACATTTTTCAGAACCGAAAGCCAGTAACTTTTTGATTGATGCCTGATTTACTAGACAGTTTGTTCCGACCCAGGATTGCAAGAATTGTATAGATTAGATGAATGTAAATCCTGGATTATGCATCAGGCGGGTCCGCAAAATAGTGACAAACAGGTGAATTACTGTAATGACTATTAAGGTTCCTACCCATTTTACTAATTATATGGTTATTAATCCTGGGTTAAGATACAAGAGTCCTTTTACTGGATGGGTCCCCCATTGCAGGAAGCCGCGCGTTTGCGAGACTTGCTGCAGATGCAGTCTTTCGATGCTGAAACTGGAGTCTTGAGCGCCAACAACGAGTTCTATGCAGCCTTCAGGTGGAGCTAAAATTAGTCTGTCTGTCGGAAGATGATGGTAAACTTCATGAAAATTTGCTGTAGCTCATTTTCAGACAACCCAAATCTGCAAAAGGTATTCTATTTGATTCAATGCATTGTTTGTTCATCAAATCTCAAGCATTTTATGGCCAACCCCGTTTCTGTTGCAGTCCTAACCGCAACGTGTGCGTAAATCCTTGATATCAAGATCATTCAAAATCAAATCAATATACAGCAACACCCAAACCATAATAAAAACATATAGAATAATTATAGAACATCATGACAGAACAGTACAATGCTACGAAAATAGTGGTAAATCAATGTAAATCCAATGTCTAACCGAGTCTAAGCTTTTTTGGCGCGCCAGGGCGGGGAGTGCAGAGCGAATGTCCAAGATTTGGCTGCCAAGCCCTCGGAGCTGTTGCGTGCACCCTGGGAGGCCACCAGTGAATGGCCCCTTGGAGGCTTAAGATGTTTTGGGGCGGCCAAGGTTAGTACAGAAATGATGGGATACCAACTAAAATGATCTAAAATGATCCAAGATGGTCATTCGAAAAAGGAAAAGTATGGCAACATGATACAGTAAACATTGATAAACCATGAGGATGTTGATGGTTCTGGAATCGATTTATGAATATGTATGAAGATTTCAGGGAATATGTCTCTGGATTTCTTGAAGATCAGCCAGATTATGGGAGGACTTCGGAAGATTTACTGAATCGAATGTGCTTAGTTTACTCTTAGTTTTATATAACAAATTCTGAATGAAGATGTGATAATATCTTTGGATTTCTGAAGATCATCAATGTTATCAAATAACGTTTCTTTGACAGTTTTTTTTGCTATTTGTTTTGGAAGACCATTGAACACACATTTGGGAATCTCTGGATTTTGGTCGATCGAATGGTTGTGGACATTTTTATGGGTCTATGTGGTGGCTTAAAAGGCAAAGGTTGTGGGCGTTTTTGTTTTCAGATAGCATTTTGGTGCTGTTCTTCACTTGACCCAGTGGGTTGGGTGGACACATTTTCACATATATTTTCACGGCAGTCTCGAAGATCATTTTTCCATACTATCCATACTGAGTTAGTTGTCATGCAGAGTGCACTAAATAATATTCCCAGATCCATGAGCAAGATGAAGATCGCAAGCTTTGTGCTGAGATGTCCAGTTTTCCAGCTCCAACCAATCAATTCATATCTTGCGCGAAAAGGATTTTTCACATCGAAATGGTGCAAGGGAGGACATATTTGCATTGAAATGGCGCTGCCGTTTCTCACGGAGTTGATTGGTGTTTTCTTCAACTCAGGATACGAAGATGTAGCCATGTCGTGGGAGAGGATCCTCACGTGTGGAGGTCGTGGGGAGACTTTGTGCAGCATCAAAGAAATCCACTGGGATCATGGAAAATGGATTCAAGGATGGCTTCGACTAAGTGACTAAGTAGTCTAGTGTGAAGTACAATGACTTACATACATACATACATATATATATATATATACATATATATACATATATATATATATACTGTATATATGTATTTATTTAAGGGCTTACGCCTGACAGCCGGCCAGGGGCCCACTTGACGGTAAAGGATCACAAAGACATTATAAATAATAAAGGGGCGCATGGGAAAGGCAAGAAACACCGTAAATTGCGGGGGGGTTGTAGGGTGAGCGGTTATGGTTGTGGTTGTTGTGGTTGTTGTGGTTGTTGTGGTTGTGGTGGTTGTTGTGTTTGTTGTGGTTGTTGTGGTTGTTGTGGTTGTTGTGGTTGTTGTGGTTGATGTGGTTGATGTGGTCGTTGTTGTGGTCGTTGTTGTGGTCGTAGTTGTGGTCGTTGTTGTGGTCGTTGTTGTGGTCGTTGTTGTGGTCGTTGTTGTGGTCGTTGTTGTGGTCGTTGTTGTGGTCGTTGTTGTGGTCGTTGTTGTGGTCGTGGTCGTGGTCGTCGTTGTTGTTGTTGCTGTTGTTGTTGTTGATGTTGTGGTTGTTGTGGTTGTTGTGGTTGTTGTGGTTGTTGTGGTTGTTGTGGTTGTTGTGGTTGTTGTGGTTTGTTGTGGTTGTTGTGGTTGTTGTGGTTGTTGTGGTTGTTGTGGTTGTTGTGGTTGTTGTGGTTGTGGTTGTGGTTGTTGTGGTTGTGGTTGTGGTTGTTGTTGTTGTTGTTGTTGTGGTTGTTGTGGTGGTTGGTTGGTTGGTTGGTTGGTTGGTGGGTTGGTGGGTTGGTTGGTGGGTTGGTTGGTGGGTTGGTTGGTGGGTTGGTTGGTGGGTTGGTTGGTGGGTTGGTTGGCGGGTTGGTTGGTTGGTTGGTTGGTGGGTTGGGATGGGTTGGGTTGTGTTGTGTTGTGCTGTGCTGTGGTCTGAACACGTAGAAGCTGTTTTTTTATTGCAAGACTATTTAGAACTAGCTTTAAAGATTTTAAAGTAAAACTATAATATTAAAAAAATAAAACTACAAATTTGCAACCTATTATAAATAAAACATGTTCAAACTATTATATATATATATATAGAGAGAGAGAGGGAGAGAAAGAGACAGGTCTTGCTGCTGCTGCTGCTGCTGCTGCTGCTAAGCACCACCTAATTTTCCAGCTGTATCCACCATCTCGCAGAAACGCACCACACCATCATTTTTTGTGTTTGTTGTTGTTGTTGTTGTTGTTGCACAAACAGAAACCTGTAATCCTTGACGCGCTCCCCCTTGCATCAGCCGGGGTCGGCGGGTAATATCCATATTTGGCCATTATCTTCCCACATTTTTGTTCATAGTTTCCCATATTGTCCCCACATTGTCCCACAAAAAATGGGGTGTGAACATCCGCAACCGTTGCAACCAGCTGAGTGCTGCAGGTCTAGACATCGAGTGCACCAGGCCCTTGGTTGCCATGTGTGGCAGTGTGGGCCGAATTGTTTGCCAGAGGCTCAGAATGGCAAGATTGCCACGCACAATTTAATTGTCAAAATATAGAGAATTATGATACAGATAGGGGATTAGAGGATGATTTCTGGAATACTCACAGCAGGATATATACTATAATATGATATGATGATATGATTTTGGTGTTTCTACGATTTTGTTCAACTGAATTGGGTGAAAACAATCCCCCGTGCGACAACACCTTGCTGTTGTCAGGAGTTTTTGAACAATAATGATCGCCAAGTTTTTATCGAGATTTGCAAAGAAGGATTACACTCAAATTCTTCCGGGACTTATGTCCTAGTTGTGGCAAGGAATTCTTTAAATATTGACAGGCTTATTAGGGTATCCATCGATGCTCGCCAACTTTTTGCAGCAGAGGTTACGAGCGAGTCGATGGGCAGATCACATTGCTAGCAGTGAATTTGTTTGAACAAACAGAGTGCCTCAGTTGCAGTTTTGATTCCTTGCAAGGTTGATAGGTGAACTATCCACAGCCCAAAATACAGGGAACCATGCCAAGTACAGGACACTGGCTTTTAAAAAACATCAACAATGGAAAGGTGGGAAATGGCCAAAAAAGTTAGGCAAAGGAGAAACATAGAGAACACGTAATTCCACGAACAGATACATCAAATCGATAAGTGGCAATTCCAAATTCGACAACATCTTTTGGCGAGGATGAAGCACTTGGACAGATGAGCCGTATCAGCCAAGGTTTTGGTGATTTGATGGCAATAACAAGTCCGAAAATCTTAGTTTCACAGTTTCACACGTTGGATGCTGACGGAAGTCACCATTTGAATGCTAATTGGCAAATTGCGCAGTGACGCTGCAGCTCCTGGCATACAACATACACATGATTGCTGGCCTGTGACTGAGGGATGGCTGGAAGATGTCTTTCCATCAGGCATCCCCAGTGGTGCCAACAATGTGAGAGGACATATTTCAAAAGACTGAAGCGAGAAAAAACTGTGGAAGTGGTGACGAGAGTCATACTGTAATGGTTGGACTGTGGTTGGGAATAGAATCTTGCCACGAACCTTGAAGGCTGATGCACGAGTATAAAACCACACAGAGTCGAACGAAGTCTGCAGAAATATTGTGAAATTATGATGAGCATGATTCTGCATAATCGATTCATATGAAAAAAACTACCAGCTAAACAGCTAACCACTCCCGAGGTCTTCCTTCTCCAGCTTAGCCGGAGTTGACCGTGGCCTTTGGGGTGACCTGGCGGTGAATTGGAGAGTTGGCGTTGCCTGATTTAGCTTGGGTATCAAATGCAAAATCACAGTAGAAAGATGCAGTTGTTATGCTTTTGAATTCTTGGGGGGTTGAGGTTGCTAAATGAATCGTCAAGACATGCTGGTTGGACAATTTTCGAAGGACCATAACTAATTACAATATATAATCATACTGAAAGTAAACGGCCCTTTCATTCTTTTCAGACTTGAAGCAGTGATACAAAGCATCAGTCTGAGGTCAGCTACATGCAAGAGAGGCCTTTTCCTTGCTCCTTTCATTGTCTTTGCTTCTTTGCTGACCAGGTATTTGTAACTTATCACCAGTTCTGCGTTGTTTCTTTCGCCTCATGGAGCGATGTGTGTTCGCTGCCAGTGCTTCCGGCCCCTTGTGGCGGCGCTGCCACCATTGCCGGCAGGGAGGCCCAGTCACCAGCAACTCTTCGTCAACGCCCATGGGAATCCATGGCCCAGGAGGGTCAAGCACCACGAAGACGGATATGGCCGCGGCCTTGCAGGACATCTTTCAGAACATGTCAATTTTCCGCAGACAGGATGCCAATCGATAGGAATGAAATGGAATGAAGAAATATATAGAGTTTGATCAGAGCTGCAATATGCTGGGATTCCCGGGATATTGAGGATGAAATTTATCACTTGACGCCTTTGCGGCCTTTGCCCGGTGATACAGCAAACTAGGCGCCGCTTACTCCTTGGAGCCATGGAACTCTCGCTGGAAGGCCGGGACAAACATGATCAACAAGAACCAAACCCCATAGGCGGATAGAATATACATGAATATACTGGATGGATCTGGATGGGTTGATACAACAAATCAGCAGATTGTGTTGGCGTGATGCACCATTCTAGAGCCGTACACATCTCGTAGAGGAAAGCAGGACAAAGCAGGTTGAGCAACTGCAAGGCCATCGATTTGACGATCTTTCTCAACAGCCGAGCGAGGCGTCGATGCGGATTTTCAGTGCTTCCACGGACGTGGATATCGGCTCTTTTCGTCCCTGGATGCAATGCACAGAGAGTCTTCGAGTCTTCGACTGGTTGCTAGGATTTTCTGCAACATGCAAATTATAGCTCCAGTATGGCGGCTGCTCTGAGGAAGGAAGAGTGAAGACATCGTGCAGTATCATTTCTTTCATGTCTTTGAGGAAGTTGTATATACTGTAGTATGTTCGATAAACTGGGAAAGATAATGAACATATATGAAAAATTATGAAAAGAACATATGTAAAAATCGAGTAAAGAACGTAGGAAGGAACCAAAAAGGAAAACGGGGTGGGAGAATAGATAATTGTTTGCAAACCATTGGGTTGGAGTACTGAGACTTACCCACCGCTACCAATGCGGAGTTCTGGCCAGGCGGACAATGAGATTCAAAGAGATGTTGCGGCCTTGATCAGTTTCCACAGTCAGTGTACATTGACCTAGAAAATCCGTGAAAATCTAAAGAAATCAGAATGCAGCAAAAAAAACAAAACAAACCGCTCATCACAGTGATGCTTGGTCCTGGTTTTTGTTCATCGTTTTTCCAGAGTGTCAGCTTTCACCTTGCATCACCGAGGTCGGAAGAACGTTTCCGGAGAGTTCCAGTCTCAGTTTCTAGCTGGGCAATGCTGGGCATGTAAGAACTCCTGCGCAACTCTAGCAGAAAGGTGGAATGTGATGGGTACTATCCATTAATGGATGATTTTATAATGGATTTCAGATTTCCCTCTCGTAATCAAACATGGCTGGGAAATCCCAATTAAATTTCTGAAGCTTTCAATTGGATTATATTGGATTTATAAACGGAGCGTTTTCCAAAGTTTTCCAGCATGCCATGTTTGATTACCAGAGGGTAAGTATCATTAATGGATGGCCAGTGGAATGCCTGGCAGGATTTGATGAGGCCAGTCAACAGGTCCGCCCGAGAAAACACATGGGGGGTATAACAAATTTGTTCCCACCATACGTTCGGTGCCAAGGAAACATGCTTGAGGAGTGTTGAATCATGTTGAATCATGTTGAATCCATTATTCTGGTAATATGTGACCATTGCCGTAGTCTTTTAAACACCCTTGGTCCATCTTGGTCCTGTTCTACTAGATGTCTTCATCGCAGTAGCATGGCCTTCTGCCAGGGACTCACAAAACCAGCGTTTGGATATTGATTGAGATGCAAAACCAGCTGTTGCGGTTGCGGGGGACGTGATGTCTTCGTTAGATCATGCAAAAGACGGTGGAACGGACGACATCCGGCTGAACTTCTTTGGAGGCCTTGTTCCGTGTCCTTCGTGCTGTGTCGCACCGTTTGAGACTCAGGGTTTGTTTGATTTGCAAGGAGCTACATGAGCTACTGTGCTGATTTGTGCTGTATATTCTAAGATCAAGCTGCATCATGCAATCCTGGGAAGACAGATGTCTACAGGATTCAGGGCTGGAGTTGACAGGCTTGAGCCCTGTTTCAAAATCCAGTGCTGAAATTCACACGCAAAGATTGGTCCCAAAGATTGGTTAGCATTCATGGCATTTGATGGACTGGAATGATCGACTACAGGATTGGGACATGGACTATGTTCCCAGTCTTAGATCAATGGGACATTGTGATGGATTTGATATGATTTTGGTTCGAGAATGGCTGGGTTTGTATGGTTTGTGAGATCCTGTGGCATTTGTCATTGTAGTGAGATTGTAGTGAGTATTTGGACACACTTGGATGATGCCCCGACACATACAGCACCACCTTACAAACATACAGTAGTACTTTGTTATACTTTGCTTGTAAGTTGTAAGTCAGTCGCTTGGGATTTCTTGTTGTACAACAGTACTTGTAGAACTTAAAACCCGGTTTGATCGTGCGGCAAGATCCCAGGCGTGGAGGACATTGGATACTGCCAAGGTATGAACTTCATTGCAGGCAGAAGTCTTGTTGCGATGGCATGCATCAAAGACATAATATTACAATGATTATATGATATTAATGTAATGAACATAAGTTATTATAAGCAAAAGATGTGTTGACATGATTTGAATTGTATATGAGTTGGAATAGTTGGTTTGGCATCGATTAGCAGTTCAATCTACTTGTTTTTCAGGAACTGGTCAATTACATGAATGAACAAATTTGTCATTTGATTTTGCGAATTGTTGGATGAAACAGAGCTTCTGTCGGTTCCATTGAGAACCACTTTGCTTCATGATGTGTGTGTCTCCTCAGGTGTCATGCTTTGCGTTTTCCGATCTTCTTGCAGCTGGAATGCCCTTCAGGCACACCAAGCTGATGCATTTCTCTTCGACGGAAGTACTTTCCAATTCCAATTGTGCGATTGTTTTTTCCAGCTGTTGCTGCGTCTCGTTGTTATTCTACTGACTACTGAGTGACTACAGTGACTAGTGTCTCCTCGAGAATTTCGCAGAGTGGCAAAGACAGGCAGCCGAACCGATCGCCTACCACTGTGCTTGGGTCTCAGCTCTTCGAATCTCGAGTAATCCCGGAACTCTTAAGACTGGCAGGTGCTATCGATGCTGTTGCGCCATGGCATGAATCAGTGCACCGGCAGCATTAACGCTCCGAAGCTTTGTTTTGATTTGGACACTGCTGATTGCATTTTGCGGACTGTTTGCAATTGCTGAAGTCAAGGGTTGCACTGATCCAATTCCCAGCAGATTCCCTTGCATCAAATGATTGCCAGGTACTTTGGTGCAGGATTTCCGAAGCTACGCCTGAGCGCGCTGCAGTTTGATTGCTTGTTGGAGGCAGGGCGGAACCCACATGGATCATTTCATTTCTCTTATGCGCTGATTGGAGAGACTTCCAAGCCTGTAGAATCTGTACATTCAATGCTGAGCTGCAAGAAAATGCGACAAGAGCTGATGCTGTGCGTGCCGTTCCAAAGTGCCGTTGAGTTGTGTCTAGCTCAAAATCTCAAGCAAGTCTGCACCATCAACACACCATTGAACAGCAGGACGCAATGAAGCATTCCAACTGCAAGATGATATGGTCATCGCATTGTGGATTTGCAACAAATGTGTTTGGGGTAGCTTTTGGATACCGGAAGTCTGGCAAATCTGCAGGGCATAGAAAGGTTTTGAGCACGGTATGGGGCGGAGAGATGCCCATGCTACATGCTTAGTGGCCACCAACACTGCGTACTCGCTTGCTGCCCCATTAGGCAGGGATTTTTCACCACTTGCATGGAACATATTTGTAAAATTTTGTAAAAATGATTGACAATCATTATATTTGTAAAAATGATTGATAATCATTTTATAGTTATTAAGCACGTATAATATACATAATTATGTAAACATTCCCTTGTGACCACCCAGTAATCTATCGGGATGAAGCCTGGAAGAGTGACCCGCGCTGGCCATGGTCCAATTGGGAGCTCTGAGTTGGGACGAGCTGAGAAAGGTCCTGTTGGAAGGCATCTGGATGGTGTCGCTGCAATGATGAAAGTGGTCAATAAATGCCATAATAAGACACATTAAGACATATTAAGAAACTATCCCCAATGAATTGCCACGTTTATGGGTGATAATCCCCAGTCATGGTAGTTGTTTATTTTATTTTATTTCTTATTGCTATTGGGTGCGGTGAATCCCAGATTAAGCCCTATTCGGTCAAGTGAAAATGTGGACATCCAGCAGCTCCCCTTTGTTTCGAGGCACCTCAGCACCGGTGGTGCCCCGATACAAAGCGCTCTTCTCGGTGCAGCAGTCGGCGCCCAGTGCAACTGAGGCAGTTGCAACGCTCAGCAACTTGATATGCATTGTTTTTGAATGTTTTTGACGTACTTTATATATCTTTATATAGTATAATATTGTATAATATATGTTACATGTATCAGATATTAGACAATGATCATTAGAGATGTTAAGAAGAGTTCAAGTCTTGATCTTTTGAACTGTTTTAATATGTTTTGTGTTTTTTCTATGTTTTCCCTTAGGGGATGTTTGGAGTCGCTCGAGGCAGTGCGCTACCTTTGCAGAAGGATTCTGTGCTGCTTCGCCACGAAGTGCCGAAGGGGCAGCAAGGGGCATTCGGTATCATTCGGTAGTTCGGCAAATCCATAGATTACACATGATGACAATATATCATACTATATCAATATAATCAATATATATAAAACAATAGATTGCAGATCCTTTCATTGCACTGCTGCAAAACTATACAATGATATAAATGATATAATCTAAGCCGACCAGCAAGGTCTTTTTCTCGACGAAGATGCAACCGGGCTCTTCAACATAATTACAGATGATATCTTTAACAAATTACGCTTGGCATGCATTGTTTATGTTGTTTGAGTCAACTGTCCTGGAAGATCGGGAGAAGATTTGACATGTTGTGGCTGACTTTGCCCAGCCCACCAGGCTGCCTATGTCTTGGGGCAGCTGGGAGATGCCTCTGCAATTGAGCCCTTGCGGCAGATATTGCTTGACGATCCTTGGAGCAATCAGCTATCAGCTGTCAGATTTGCATGATGCATTCATTGAAGGGTCAGAGTGGACATGTTATATCAAGTTATCCTCAAAGTCTGAGGGCCGATTCTTGTTCCAATGTTTAGTATACCGGAGTGTTTTGCCACTGTATATTGGCTAATTATATACATCGAACATCGCATCGCTCTTCGACGCTTTCAGTGGGAGAGAACATAGCTAAGCTGAGCCATGAAACATCCATGCATGCATTTTGTTCCTCTCAGTCCCTGTAAGGAGACCGAAGATGAGATCGTCCGCGCACCCCTTAGCTGTTCTGAGCTGCAGGCATTCACGTGGATCCAGTGCATTTCTGTGTGATATAGCCATACGGCAGCTGCCTAGGGTAAATTTTATCAACTAAATACTATTTCAACTGAAGATTGAATAGACAGTTGATAGCCCAAGATACCCCAAGAATCCTAAGTGCTCCAAGTCACTGTTGCCCGATACCACAAAGGTCATGAGGCCGCTGAAGCTTTGGCAGCTTTGCGGTCGGATGACAGCGAGGCGTTTGAAGGGGACTGCTATCCGACAAAACCATACAAAGCCGAACCGAATGCATCAGCCTTCAAATTGTCTTCCAGCTGATTCTCCTGAATATCACCAAGTCCCTTGTCTTTTTGGCTTCTTTATTCGTGTTTGTTTTTTCAAGTCAGAATTTCCTAGATGCGGTTCTGTTCGGTTCACGCAGAGGATTTTTCTTGCATGATCTTGTGTTTTCCTCCATCTTTTCCATCAAAGAAAACTGCCATGCCAGAGGCCCTGGTGACCGAACTCACTGCGGTGGCAAAGAATACCTGCAGCGAAGCTTTGAGACACACCTGTCAGCTGGCCGTGGAAGGTGCAGGGAGAACCATGGATCATTGATGATCATGGTATATCATAGTGTTTCCAAGATATGGGTGTGTCTGAAAATGGGGTATACCGGTATACCATGGTATACCCTCCAAATAGGTAAATATGTTTGTTTTGGAAAATGATGATGAACCAATGGATTTTGGGGTAGCATATTTTCAGACCCATATTCCAACATATTCCAACATCATCATGGCATGGTGGAGTCAGGGATGTCGGGGTGCCTTGTGGCTCCTGGCCACAGGACTTGAACGAGGCAGGAAGGAGGCGGAGGAAGCCGGGCGTCCGGCCTTGCCGCTTTGCGTGTGTCAGTACTCTTCGAAGGACGGCCGCGGAGTCCGTGGCACAGCTAAGCCGGCTAAGCCCTAAATTGGCATGGAAAGGGTGTGAATGGGTGTGAGTTGCGTAGCAAGAACCACAAAGTTTTTGTTGGTTGCGAGTCTGTTGCGGTATGTTGCGGTTGATTTCAGTTGTTTCATGTTGTTTCTATTCTGCGCATTTCTGCGCTATGTTGGTTCCTCTGTTCTTAGAAACATATATCGATTTTGTCATTTGCACGGTGCCGGCAAGTTCATCCATCAGGACCCAGCGGAAGGCTTGGCAAACGCCACAGAAAAGGATATCCCCTGGGCAGCATCCCGACTCGTCACTCGGATATCCTCGGATCAGCGCAGGGAGAACACCTGGCACTGATGTGGGGACATTTTGGGAGATGTCACAGTCCAACTAAGAAATTAGAACCTTTGGATTTGGCATCTAAGGCTGATGACAGCCTGCCGCTGTTCGAGCGCTACCAGGGGATGCTTCTTGACAAGAGTTCAGAACACATGTCTTCCGTGTCGTCCGCAAGTTTGGCAGCTCTCTGGAACCCTTGTCATACTGAGGCCTTGATGACAATATTGTTAACTTCCACCGTACGTACTGCTTGTTTGTGTTGTTTGTGATGTTGATGTTATCACTGTATCATTGTTTGGTTGCATTTCACAACAAGGTTCACGCTGCGCAACGTGGGCGGAGATGGGGCTGTGCAAGCCTTGGCCAAGATGCTGCGTGGCAGCAGTGAATGCCATGGCAGGTTGTAGCTTCCAGCAAGTTCAAATAGTTCAACCTCACCAAATCTTACCAATCAGTCTCTGAGTTTCGATTTTGCCGAACTGAACACGTTGCCAGCGAAGGCTTCTGAGTGATAGCTCCAGTGCAGTCTTGCGACACGAGGCCACCGGATGTGAGCAGCCAGTTGAACTGACAGCAATGTTTTTGAGTGAAAATAGTGAAACATGCGATTTAAGGACTCGTTACTCAACTTAAAGAAATCAAAACTTCAACTAGATGTTTATTGAGCGCATCAATGAGCCGCTCAGCCTTTCAAGAATGCTTTTGACATTTTGCAACCCTGTACCGGCCTTGCGCTGGATGATGTTGGATGTTTCTTAGATGTTTTCTGCCCTATGTTACAAACATATATACACCAATATTGTTTTATATTGTTTTGTTATATTTTGTATTATTTTGTTTGTTTCTGGGAACAAAAGAAGAGCATGCTCTAGAAAAATCATGACAAATCAAATACATTCAATTCCACAATTTCCATGGTGTCCCTGCGGGATCCTGCGGGCAGGTGGCCTTTGTTCTGGGCCAAATGGCTGATGAGACGTCCGCAAAGGTGGCAGGGTTTTGGTCCAAAAGGTGTCCCTATGTTTTCCGGCAGAATTTCCATGATTTTCCCTGAAACCAGTCACCAGTTAAAAGAAATGTGAGATATATGACTTTGGAGATTTAGACCCAGAGAAATGAATCCAAAATATCAAAATCAAACCAGCAAGAAGGAGGATATGGATATTGATTTGACAATGGCTTCGATAGCTATAGGACTATTGAAGTAGCGATGAAAATCCTTCTACTTTGGTGTTCACCAGGGTAGCTTTCAACACATACCAGCACCATCCAGTCCCCACCCATATTTTCACACCGCGTTAAAATGAACACATGTCGTCTTCGATGTCTAGAATGTTCAGGTTCACAGGCTTTTTCGTCTCAGTTTGAGGAATCCCCCAATGCCTCTTGCATCTTGTATTTCTTCTTGGCTCCTGCCAGGCACTTGTCGAGGCAATCCCGGGGAACCTGGGAGCGGCCCGAAACGCAACATTTGTTTTTTCCCAAAAGCATCTCCGATGCTTGGGTTCTCGTTTAGTTGCACTCACCGCGGGGGAGCGAGACTGAGTGTTCGACGGAGATGTGTTGGACGGAAGGAAGGAGGAAGGAAGGAAGGGACTGAAGGGACGGAAGGGAAGGAAGGGAAGGAAGGGAAGGAAGGGAAGGTAGGGAAGGAAGGGAAGGAAGGGAAGGAAGGGAAGGAAGGGAAGGAAGGAAGGAAGGGAAGGAAGGAAGGGAAGGAAGGAAGGGAAAGGAAGGGAAGGAAGGGAAGGAAGGAAGGAAGGAAGGAAGGAAGGAAGGAAAAGGAAGGAAGGAAAAGGAAGGAAGGAAAAGGAAGGAAGGAAGGAAGGAAGGAAGGAAAAGGAAGGAAGGAAAAGGAAGGAAGGAAAGGAAGGAAGGAAATGGAAGGAAGGAAAAGGAAGGAAGGAAAAGGAAGGAAAGAAGGAAGGAAGGAGAAGGAAGGAAGGGGAAGGAAGGAAGGAAAAGGAAGGAAGGAAAAGGAAGGAAGGAAAAGGAAGGAAGGAAAAGGAAGGAAGGAAAAGGAAGGAAGGAAAAGGAAGGAAGGAAAAGGAAGGAAAGGAAAGGGGAAGGAAAGGAAAGGAAGGAAAGGAAGGAAAGGAAAAGGAAGGAAGGAAGGAAGGAAGGAAAAGGAAGGAAGGAAGGAAGGAAGGAAGGAAGAAGGAAGGGGAAGGAAGGAAGGAAGGAAAAGGAAGGAAGGAAAAGGAAGGAAGGAAAAGGAAGGAAGGAAAAGGAAGGAAGGAAAAGGAAGGAAGGAAAAGGAAGGGAAGGAAAAGGAAGGAAGGAAAAGGAAGGGAAGGAAAAGGAAGGGAAGGAAGAAGGAAGGAAGGGAAGAAGGAAGGAAGGGAAGGAAGGGAAGGAAGGGAAGGAAGAAGGAAGGGAAGGAAGGGAAGGAAGGGAAGGAAGGGAAGGAAGGGAAGGAAGGGAAGGAAGGGAAAATAGCTTGGGGAAACTTCGCTGGGACGGAGCGAAGGAAGGGAAGGAAGGGAAGGAAGGGAAGGAAGGGAAGGAAGGGAAGGAAGCCGTGGAAATAGCTTGGGGAAATAGCTTGGGGAAACTTCGCTAGGAGGGAGCGAGACCGGATGCTCGACGGGATGAAGCCGTGGAAGGAGCTTGGGGAAATAGCTTGGGGAAACTTCGCTGGGAGGGAGCGAGACCGGATGCTCGACGGGATGAAGCCGTGGAAATCGCTTGGGGAAACTTCGCTGGGAGGGAGCGATACCGGATGCTGGACGGGATGAAGCCGTGGAAATCGCTTGGGGAAACTTCGCTGGGAGGGAGCGAGACCGGATGCTCGACGGGATGAAGCCGTGCAAATCGCTTGGGGAAACTGCGCTGGGAGGGAGCGAGACCGGATGCTCGACGGGATGAAGCCGTGGAAATAGCTTGGGGAAATAGCTTGGGGAAAAACTTCGCTGGGATTGGGAGCGAGGGAACGGATGATCGACGGGATGAAGCCGGCGGAAATCGCTGCTTTGGGGAAACTTCGCTGGGAGGGAGCGAGACCGGATGCTGGACGGGATGAAGCCGTGGAAATAGCTTGGGGAAACTTCGCTGGGAGGGAGCGAGACCGGATGCTGGACGGGATGAAGCCGTGGAAATAGCTTGGGAAATGTACACGCTCAGGTGTCATTCAGACAAATCCGCAATGTGCCGGGAGGGAGCGAGACCGGATGCTGGACGGGATGAAGCCGTGGAAATAGCTTGGGGAAACTTCGCTGGGAGGGAGCGAGACCGGATGCTGGACGGGATGAAGCCGTGAAAATAGCTTGGGGAAACTTCGCTGGGGAAAACTTCGTAGGGAGGGGAGGGAGCGAGACCGGATGCTCGACGGGATGAAGCCGTGGAAAATAGCTTGGGGAAATAGCTTGGGGAAACTTCGCTGGGAGGGAGCGAGACCGGATGCTCGAAGGGATGAAGCCGTGGAAATAGCTTGGGGAAACTGCGCTGGGAGGGAGCGAGACCGGATGCTCGACGGGATGAAGCCGTGGAAATAGCTGGGGGAAACTTCGCTGGGAGGGAGCGAGACCGGATGCTCGATGGGATGAAGCTGTGGAAATAGCTTGGGGAAACTGCGCTGGGAGGGAGCGAGACCGGATGCTCGACGGGATGAAGCCGTGGAAATAGCTGGGGAAATAGCTTGGGGAGGAAACTTCCTGGGAGGGAGCGAGACCAGATGCTCGACGGGATGAAGCCGTGGAAATCGCTTGGGAAAACTTCGCTGGGAGGGAGCGAGACCGGATGCTCGACGGGATGAAGCCGTGGAAATAGCTTGGGGAAACTTCGCTGGGAGGGAGCGAGACCGGATGCTCGACGGGATGAAGCCGTGGAAATAGCTTGGGAAAACTGCGCGGGGAGGGAGCGAGACCGGATGCTCGACGGGATGAAGCCGTGGAAATAGCTTGGGGAAATAGCTTGGGGAAACTTCGCTGGGAGGGAGCGAGCCCGGATGCTCGACGGGATGAAGCCGTGGAAATCGCTTGGGGAAACTTCGCTGGGAGGGAGCGAGACCGGATGCTCGACGGGATGAAGCCGTGGAAATAGCTTGGGGAAACTGCGCTGGGAGGGAGCGAGACCGGAACAAATTGGAGGCTCGACGGATTGAAGCCGATTGGAATGGATGGAAATAGCTTGTGGAGAAATAGCTTGGGGAAACTGCGCTGGGAGGGAGCGAGACCGGATGCTCGAGATGAAGCCATGGAAATAGCTTGGGGAAGGAAATAGCTTGGGGAATTTTGGCGGGGAGGAGCGAGAACCGGATTGCTCGACGGGATGAAGACGTGGGAAATGGGGAAATCGCTTGGGGAGGAAACTGCTTTGGGAGGGAGCGAGACCGGATGCTCGACGGGATGAAGCCGTGGAAATAGCTTGGGAAAACTGTGCTGGGAGGGAGCGAGACCGGATGCTCGACGGGATGAAGCCGTGGAAATAGCTTGGGGAAACTGCGCTGGGGGAGCGAGACCGGATGCTCGACGGGATGAAGCCGTGGAAATCGCTTGGGGAAATAGCTTAGGGAAACTTCGCTGGGAGGGAGCGAGACCGGATGCTCGACGGGATGAAGCCGTGGAAATAGCTTGGGGAAACTTCGCTGGGAGGGAGCGAGACCGGATGCTGGACGGGATGAAACCGTGGAAATAATAGCTTGGGGAAACTTCGCTGGGAGGGAGCGAGACCGGATGCTCGACGGGATGAAGCCGTGGAAATAGCTTGGGGAAATAGCTTGGGGAAACTTCGCTGGGAGGGAGCGAGACCGGAGGCTCGGCGGGATGAAGCCGTGGAAATAGCTTGGGGAAACTGCGCTGGGAGGGAGCGAGACCGGATGCTCGACGGGATGAAGCCGTGGAAATAGCTTGGGAAAACTGCGCTGGGAGGGAGCGAGACCGGATGCTCGACGGGATGAAGCCGTGGAAATAGCTTGGGAAACCTGCGCTGGGAGGGAGCGAGACCGGATGCTCGACGGGATGAAGCCGTGGAAATAGCTTGGGGAAACTTCGCTGGGAGGGAGCGAGACCGGATGCTGGACGGGATGAAGCCGTGAAAATAGCTTGGGAAACTTCGCTGGGAGGGAGCGAGACCGGATGCTGGACGGGATGAAGCCGTGGAAATAGCTTGGGGAAACTTCGCTGGGAGGGAGCGAGACCGGATGCTGGACGGGATGAAGCCGTGGAAATAATAGCTTGGGGAAACTTCGCTGGGAGGGAGCGAGACCGGATGCTGGACGGGATGAAGCCGTGGAAATAGCTTGGGGAAACTTCGCTGGGAGGGAGCGAGACCGGATGCTGGACGGGATGAAGCCGTGGAAATAGCTTGGGGAAACTTCGCTGGGAGGGAGCGAGACCGGATGCTGACGGGATGAAGCCGTGGAAATAGCTTGGGGAAACTTCGCTGGGAGGGAGCGAGACCGGATGCTCGACGGGATGAAGCCGTTGGAAATAGCTTGGGGAAACTTCGCTGGGAGGGAGCGAGACCGGATGCTCGACGGGATGAAGCCGTGGAAATAGCTTGGGGAAATAGCTTGGGGAAACTTCGCTGGGAGGGAGCGAGACCGGATGCTCGACGGGATGAAGCCGTGGAAATAGCTTGGGGAAACTTCGCTGGGAGGGAGCGAGACCGGATGCTCGACGGGATGAAGCCGTGATAGCTTGGGGAAACTGCGCTGGGAGGGAGCGAGACCGGATGCTCGACGGGATGAAGCCGTGGAAATAGCTTGGGGAAACTTCGCTGGGAGGGAGCGAGACCGGATGCTCGACGGGATGAAGCCGTGGAAATAGCTTGGGGAAACTGCGCTGGGAGGGAGCGAGACCGGATGCTGGACGGGATGAAGCCGTGGAAATAGCTTGAGGAAATAGCTTGGGAGGGAGCGAGACCGGATGCTGGACGGGATGAAGCCGTGGAAATAGCTTGGGGAAAACTGCGCTGGGAGGGAGCGAGACCGGATGCTGGACGGGATGAAGCCGTGGAAATAGCTTGGGGAAACTCGCTGGGAGGGAGCGAGACCGGATGCTGGACGGGATGAAGCCGTGGAAATAGCTTGGGGAAACTTCGCTGGGAGGGAGCGAGACCGGATGCTGGACGGGATGAAGCCGTGGAAATAGCTTGGGGAAACTTCGCTGGGAGGGAGCGAGACCGGATGCTGGACGGGATGAAGCCGTGGAAATAGCTTGGGGAAACTTCGCTGGGAGGGAGCGAGACCGGATGCTGGACGGGATGAAGTCGTGGAAATAGCTTGGGGAAACTTCGCTGGGAGGGAGCGAGACAGTATGCTGGACGGGAAACCGTGGAAAATAGCTTGGGGAAACTTCGCTGGGAGGGAGCGAGACCGGATGCTGGACGGGATGAAGCCGTGGAAATAGCTTGGGGAAACTGCGCTGGGAAGGAGCGAGACCGGATGCTGGACGGGATGAAGCCGTGGAAATAGCTTTGGGGAAACTTCGCTGTGGGAGGGAGCGAGACCGGATGCTGGACGGGATGAAGCCGTGGAAATAGCTTGGGGAAACTTCGCTGGGAGGGAGCGAGACAGCACGCTGGACGGAGAGGAAACCGTGCAAATATAGCTTGCGGAGAGCTTCGCTGGGAGGGAGTGAGACAGCATGCTGGACGGAGAGGAAATAACGTGCAAATAGCGTGTGGAGAGCTTCGCTGGCAGGGAGCGAGACATGCTGGACGGACAGGAAACGTTGGAAATAGCTTGCGGAGAGCTTTGCTGGGAGGAAGCGAGCCAGCATGCGGGACGGAGAGGGAACAGTGCAAATAGCTTGCGGAAAGCTTCGCCGGGAGGGAGCGAGACAGCATGCTGGACGGAGGGGAAACCGTGGAAATAGTTTGGGGAGAGCTTTGCTGGGAGGAAAGCGTGGAAATAGCTTGGGGAGATCTTCGGTGGGAGGGACCGAGACAGCACGGCTTTTGCACACAGAATCTTGTACACACAGACGCGTTCACACACAGGAGGTTTTATACAAACAGAAGACTTTACGGCGCACAGAACTTTTATATACATAGAGCAGCTTTTACGCAGCGAAGCTTGTACACACAGGACAAAGGGGAGCTTTTTTACACAGAAGCTTTTACATAGGGTTTTTTTAATACACAGAAGCTTTTACACACAGAAACCTTTACACACAGAAGCTTTACACACAGAAACTTTTACACACAGAAACTTGTACACACAGAAGCTTTTACACAAGCCTTTACACAATGGAGCTTTTACACACAGACAGGTTTACACAGAGGAGTCTTTACGCACGGAGGCGTTTACACAGGAAAGCTTTTTCACACAGAAGCGTTTACACAGAGTAGTTTTTACGCAGAGAAATCTTTACACAAAGAAATCTTGACACAGAGAAGCTTGCACACACACACACAGAGGCTTTTACACAGAGAAGCCTTTTACACAGAGCAGCTTTTTCACCGAGGAGCTTTTACCCAGAGGAACTTTTAATTACACAGAGAAGCTTGTACACTCAGAGGCTTTGGCACAGAGAAGTCTTTTACACAGAGAAGCTTTTGCACACAGAAGTTTTACACAAACAAAATCTTAACACAGAGGAGCTTTTACATACAGAAGCATTTATGCAAAGAATCTTTTGTACAGAGAAGTCTTTACCCATTTTTCATCATGTCTCATTTTTCACTATCATTCACCACCTATCACCTTCATATCTTCGTTTTCATGCTCTTTTGGTCAGCTCCCTCCGTCGTTTAGTTTTCATTTTGCACGGTGTTCTGTCCGTCGACGCTTCGTCCTCGCTCCCTCTGCGGCGAAGCAAACTAAACGAGAACGCAGGAATTATAGCGGCTAAAAAGATGGGATAGAGTTAATTACATTAGCAGAAATAGCGACTAGAAGAATGTAGACGTAGCTGACACAGCATGCTGTGGTGAATTGCGGCCCCTGATACCATCAGCGCGCACGATGTTTCAGTAAAGATCTTACGTCGATTTCGTGCAGAGCACACACCACAAGATTTTCAAAAAAATCGTGCTGTGTGCCGTCTTGCTTTTGGGTTCTCTGGCCCACCTTGTTTTTTTTCAGCTGGCGCAGGTGGCAACAGGTATCTTGCATGTACGTGATTGTATATCATTTCTTATAATTGATTATACATTGGTTTTTAGATGCCCTTAGAACGCCATGTTTCTTGATGCTCAACCCATAAGTCCCGTTTGGCCAGGCGCTGGCCCACATCGAGGAGCATGGCATGGTCCGCCATGAGGCGATGACCATGGATACTCCAAGGGATCGAGTTGCTGGTTCCATTGATGAAACATGATGAAACATTATCATTATGAAACAAAGAAATTACAATGAATATCAGGGAATTTGATGGTTGTCACATGCTGTCACTGACAAAGGGTAGATATTGCATATTGGCTGACGTCTCGTCAGGCAGCCATTGCCCTGGGGCACATCGGCACGGAGAGTGCGGAAGAGGCCCTTCGTGTGGATGCCCAGGGATGGCTTAGGGAAGACCCAGGGGAAAGTGATGTCATTTGAGCGTTGATGATTAGGTCGGGGATTATACTTACCAAATCTTACCAATATATTGGGGATGATCATTATCAATTAGGGGAATCCGTATTAACCAACCAGTATAAGGAAACAACACCTTGGAGGTTGTCAGATGTTGAAAGAAACGGATGGAAACGGTGCATTAGATGGTGATGGCGCGTGATGGCACGTGATGGCATATGCTGGCTGATCTTAGAACTCAATTTTGATGCTTGGCTCATCGTGGCTCAATACATAAGCCATGAACTGAACGTCCTATATATATATAGTCATATATATAATAATGTATGATATTCACATAGCTGCTTAGTCAGACAGCAGCCTTTGCAAATGGCTTTGATTGAACATACGCCAAAACCATTAATTATATAGTTTATTACCATTTTCCCTGAAACAAACACATATGGTGGTATACTCCATTTTCAGACACACCCAAATTCAAATTAAATGGGGATTTGGCTTCGGCTTCAATGTTTTTGCATGTTTTTTTGCTAAATTTGCAGCAACGCCACATCGCCATGGCCTTCCCAGGGGGCGGCATGCCGCCTGGGGGGCTGGAAGGTTTGCTTGGTGGTTTGGGAATGGGCCCTGGAGCCTTAGACAACATTTGGGAGAATCCCATGGTTACCAGCAGCTCGTTTGAATTACAGTATATCAAGTCTTTGCAAATGTGTTCAAGGCAGTACTTTGAGTATTTTTGAGTATATTTTTAACTTTCAGACATGCTGTGGCAACACAGGTATCGCTTTTCATCCCAGCAAAATTGAGTTGCTTGGCTTGAAACTATAGTAACTAGATGTAACTAGTACAAATCAGTTTAAAGTTTAAACCTGAGTGATGGCTCGCAAGGGTTTGACCAGAATTGACTCACTTTCTCAAGGCTTGCTGTTTGTTGCAGCTGTAGGCCGAGTTATTTGGATGTGACCTCTGGGCCCATCCGCGATGGTACCTTTACTATGGCGGATGACAGCAAGATTAGCTATCGATTCTATTTGCCACCCAAAGAGGCGGACGTGACTCGCCTAATGTCTTCTAGTGCAGATATCCAGGGCCAGAACAGGATAATCGTATGATGTAGTAACAATGTAGTACTGTATGTAAGCATTTTGTTGACTTTTCTTGGTCTGGGAGGCTCGTATACCCCCACCCTAAAAAAATCTAAAAAGTATAAAATAGTTTTCCTGTCGCTGAAAACTCCTTGGTGATTTCGAGTATTGTCTCCCTGCAATGGTGATCCAAAGGGACTGCTATGTTTTGGAGCTTGAAACCCCTAACGCCGGATTTGTATGCAGTGAAAATTTGCAGGAAGACTTTTCTGTTTCGGTATATTTTGGTGGTATACTGTGTTCCCCAATCAGCCAACTCAGCTCCAAGCCAATCAAAAAATCTTGGAGAGTTGAGGTGAAGATCGTAGTCTACTTCTTTCATGGCAATGCAGAGGTTTGCACTGCTATGGATGACATTGCTGAGATGCTCCACTCACACGGAGCAGCTCTGTTTCTCCGCGGAATTGGTGAACAAAAACTAAACGAGGTACGAACAGAGCCACAATCTTGGTCAGTTTCGTTCTAAACTTGTAAACTATCCAATCTTGAGAGTACAATCAGTCCAAACAGTCCTAACATGTGTTTCTGGGTGTTTTCCGTAAGATTCTTGTCAGTAGGCACTGAGGCACTAGTAATTTGTCTCAACCGATCGAATGTCACTAAATGTCACCAAATGTTGTGAAAAGTGCACCTAAAGTGAACCAAAAACAGCACTTGGTGACTTTCACCGCAGGCTCTCCATCGACTATCGTGGTTATGCTTGGGGCACTGGGCAGCCAAGCCTGAAGAAACTCTGCAGTGATGCGGATCAATGCTTCCGGGCCAGCCAAAAGCTGTTGGCAGATGCTGAAATTTCGAAGGTCCAACGGTCCAACTGTGATGAATGCAGTTCCATGCTGTTCCTGTTTGCTGACCTTGCACCTCTTCAATAAACTTGGTCAGGGTAGCAATGTAGCAGTGTGTTCTGTTTGAAGCACCAAAAAGAAGCTGCAAAAAATGAAAGCATAGTGAGTTTTTGCCTGTGTGCATCATTTATAGTATGGTTTGATGCTGCTTATTTATGATTATTGCTATTTATTGCCCTATTTAGCATCTGGTTCGTCTGAATACAGGACACTGTGCCCCAAAATTGGACAACTGATCATCTTTTTACCTATGATTCAAAAGCCATTTTGGGGTATACCGTTATACCATGTTATACCCCATTTTCAATCATACCCGTCAATTCTCCCCAATTTCTGAAATCAAGAAATCCCTTTTGTTGGACAGTTCAAGCATGTTAGATCCCCCAAGTGTCGATTGGTCGATATGCATTTGGCGGGCCGTGGCGATCGCCAGGCCAAGCGTGTGATGTTTGGCCGGTCTATTGGGGCCACCTGTGCGGTGCATTTAGCGAAGTCGCACACGGTGCATGGTTTGATCGTGGATAGCGGCTTGATGTCCATCAAGCAGTTGCCCACCGTGCAGATGCCACCTGGCCACACCGGAGAAAATCAAAGGCTGGTTGTCAATCCACAACAGATTTTGAACATCCAGAACAATTTTTAAGAATCAGTACGAATGATAAGAATCCAATAGTTGGAGATTGGGAAACTCGAAAAAATCGGCAGCACTTGAGCGGCCGGTAGATGTTCACCGTCATTGAGAGACCATGCTGCGGGTGCACAGTGGCATTCATTTGCACCCCCTCAAGATAGAATTGGAAAGATGTGTAAAGATGTATAATTTGATTCCAAGAGATCGACAATGATCAACAGAGAGTTACAAGGAATCAATATCATACTAGCATTTTAAAAGCAATTTACTCCAATATACAATATCTTACAATAGCTTCTCAAAATATATGGGTTGACCAAAAATCGGATTATGCTAAAATCCACCGGTTGATCTTCATGTTCCAAGTTGACCATTTATGCGTGGTCTTCCATTGAGACACAAAGCCATATACCACATTATAGATCATTACAGTTACTGGTTGGTTATGTGAATTCCATTCTATATCCCGAATTATATCCATGTTATGTCCACATCCTCATTATGGTTGGTCGTGAAAAGGCCATCATGGCCATCATACAACATGACCAATAATTGTTTAAGGAATGACCAAGTATATAATACAATGACCATTATATTATATTTTTAGCAGCCATTTAATGGATCATAATTATATATGAAGCATTAAGACATTAAGACTGGTACCTTTATGTTTGCCATATGATACCATTATATTACCATGATATCAGCAACATAAATGCTGTTTTTTTTTAATCTTCTGAGGCTTGGGCCCATGGTCTTCCAGCAGCAACCGGAGCTGTTCCAGACGCTGCCGGAGCCCTTCGACACCCTGGGGAAACTTCCTGCCATCAGCTGCCCGGTACTAGTGATGCATGGCGACAAGGAGATGGATCCAGATGGCACATGGCACTTTTGGTTGAAGATGGCACGTTTGTCCAGAAGTAAACTGCGTAAACTGCGGTAAGAGGTTTGTCCAAAATGAAGTGCTCTTTGTGGCGACTAACATGACTGAGTAGGTAGCAGGACGTCCTGTGCGACTGTGCGACACTTGTTTTCTTCTTGCAAGTCCCACAAAAATATTTTGGGTACTCGTACTTCTGAAAATCTTAAGGTGTCAGAGCAATGACAGGACGAGATTGTTCCGTACAGCCAAGCTGTTCAATGTCATCAGAGCTTAAAGACCTCCCAGAAGAAGTTGCAGTGCTGGGCAGGCTCTTCGTTCGAAGCCAATTTTCTGGTGGCCCTAAGAATTGTGCTTGAAGTGGTTAATGATGGTTAATGCATTATGATGATTTCTTTTTTTTTTGCGTAGTCCATGGTGGTAATTTATTGCAGCGACTCAGCTGGCAGCGGCAGGTGCTTCTCACAATGATGTGTGGATGCTGTATGCCGAGCCATGGAGACGAGAAGTGAAAGCCTTGCTGGACCAGGTGCCATGGAGATTCGCTTCAGCAACTTTTTGAAGGGTGTTGGAATAGATTTGCAATTCCCACAAGATAGATATTATATATTATTATATGATATTATCTATTTGCAATAAGAATTATTTGGTGACTAGATAAGACCAGAATACCAATAGATTCAATAGATTTCTGGTGGTCTGTGCAATTGATATTGCTCTTTGCATTTTCTTCATATGATTTTACCATATTTTTCCCTTCATTGACTTCATCTCACATCACAATCCAAGTCGTCCCCAGCAACCCAGTGGACGTTCGCAGAGGCCCTGTGCTTTGAGAATCTCTACCCATGGGGCGTCTTAGTGGAAGCCCATTCCTTGTCCGTTGCTGAGATGAATGGCCTACAGGCCTGGAGTGGGGAGTGGGGGACCAGTGGGGGATGGGTCAAAATCCGACCAAAAGCCGGACACCAGAATGGAAATTCATTGAATATGTTTTGTGGATGAATACGAAATCTCCATTTCCAATTATGCCCAGGTTATTTTGGTGTAAAAACAACAAGGTGCCAGGGTTTTGACCCAAAATACCGATGTCGCTCTTTCATGTGAGCTACAGCCAAAATTTACCGGAATGGAAAGTAGTATTCGAGACATCTTGTTTTTTTTGGAAATTGAGCTGGGGCTTGGAAAACGATAATACACTCTTCAAAAAACGATAACATTTGCTATATTCGCAAAACCTGAAAAACGATAATATCTCGTCAAAAATTGATGACTTGGATCTATAAATATACTAAATATTGACCGTGGCCAATATTGACCCTGGCCCATGTATGTAAATGCCCGCAAAAATGGACAAACATTACGATAACTATCAGATGCTCAATTTCTGACCGTTGCTGGCTTAAGCATGCTTAAGCTACTTTCTCAAGATGCAGCTGGTGACTACCAGGGTTGTGTAGAGAGGGCAAGCGATTTTAATTTTTCACTTTCAGCGAAGCAGAGAATCGCAAGAATATATTGGCACAGACCTGTTGTTGGGTGCCCCTTGCTAGTAGATCAGATAACAATTATAATAGAGAATGATGGATATGACACGCTGCAAGAAGCCTTCTTATTCTCTTCATCCTAAGTTGGTGTTCAAGTGATGCCAATGGTGTAAGTTATTATGATGTCTATTTGTTCAAAGTCACATCTACTGCGGCCCCTGAGTGCTTTTGCAGGGTCGGGTTCTTGGTCCACAAGAAGAACGCTTTCGTGTGGATTTCGGGGAGCCCACCGGCGTGAAGGCACCTTGGATCTCTTGACGATTGGGGGACCTTTGATCCTTTCAACAAAGTGGATCGATTTGGAAGCGGGAAAACCCAATGTGTTTAGGAGTCTACCCCAAGGTTTTCTTTTTAATATTTTAATTACTTTAGCCGTCCCCAAGTTCTCAAGCTTCAGACCCATTTCATCCGTCTCTGCCGGCAGGCTTTGAAGCCCGGCAACTTGAAGATTATCGATTTGGAAGCTGAGAAAGGAGCGATGGTGGCTGCCTAGTCCAGAAAGATAACCCAAAATTTGGCTGCTAAGACTGGGTATACAGATGTATACAGTAGCAGGTGAACATGGTAGTATGTATTGTTGATTCGTGGTATTCGTATGTATTCGTCTAGTATCATGGAAATGTCCTGTAATGTTGCTGTATCTTCAAATGACCAGAAGGGGACGACAAAAGGATTTGGCATGGCTTGGTGAAGCAATTCAGGTTGTGGAGACAAATTGCTTAGAAGATTCGATGACATGGCGAGCGGGAGTGAACAGTTTTGAGAAATAGCCTTGCCATATGCGTTGATATGAGTAATTAATTAACCGACACAATTAGCGGAAGACTAAAGTAATCAAAGTAGTAGGGAAAACCTTCACAACTAAAGTAATTAAAGACTTGGGATGTTCAAATTTGTGTGAAAACCTTCACAACCGATGTAGGAGGCCACCCACTTACCGATACCCTATTTTTACACAGCATGGAAATACAAACCTTCACAATCGATAGGGGACCACACACTTTGGCCATTTCCATAGCGAGTAGTAAGCAATTTTGTCCGCCTCTCATATGAATATACACTTATGCACGGCATTATATAACATATTATAACATCAATTTGTGCTGGACAAATGGCGGTCAATCAGTGTAGAACAAGCCCCATGCCAGTTTGTACATTGCCACCTGTCAAACTCAAATTCTCAAATGAACTGCAAACATAGGCTAACAGGCTTGGAGTGGTTGAATCAAGTCCCATATTGTGAAGGTTCCATATGAATCCATGTGAAAAGTTCCTCCCCAAATCTCCATGACGGATGACCCTTTGTGACCCTGTCCTCCCATCCTCCCATGGTCAGGTGTGGAGGATTTTCCCGTGGGTGCCACCGTGGAAGCTTTTGGCTTGTCCAAAGCAGAGCTCAATGGCCTCCGCGGCAAGGCACTGTGAAGCTGGGAGGTCAGACTTGCCAATGGATCTAGATCTTTAATGATCTTTATCTCTAAACCATGGATGGCTACTTTAGTACTTTTCTCTAGCTACTAAATGGATCTAAATGGCTATACGGTGTATATATACACATACACATACACATTTAGTATAGACTACCTAGATAATATGTAACATACATATAAATCATATAATGTATGATATACATACGGTAACGACCTTTAAATATGTGGAGGGCGGGCCAGACCGCGAGGCCCCGGAGGTAGTATGAAATACCAGTTCGTATATTTAAATGTAGTTACCGTATGTTGAAATGAATTGGATTCCGTATGTTTAAATGGCCGGGCGGGACAAGGAAAACTTTCCCGGAGGTAGTCTAAAATACCTGTTCGTATATTTAAAAGTCCGTATATTTAAATGTAGTTACCGTATAACATATATAATATATACAGTACAAATCATAACATACACTATATATTTATAGCTATTATAACATTTGCATAATGTAATATGATGTGATATAATATAGTGTAATACATCATATACAATGCACTGTGATATAATATGTTATGATATAGTACAATATACATAACCCAATATAATATAGCATGTTCAAATGCAATACAATACAATATAATATTACGTGCTATATATATATATGTATAATACATGACACTATTCTATAACATGAGATGCTATTACATACAACGTATGCGTGCTAAGCCAACAGAACATGCAGGGTATCTAAGTTTGGCCATGATCTATGATAATCTATATTGGTAGATCGTTGATGGAGCCCGGGCACTCTGGTTTTACGGTGTTACAGCATATCCTATATAGTCCCTGTACTGGGGTAGCAACCATGAAGCATCATTTGATCAAAGTAAAATATTTGATACATGTTCGAACTTGAGATTTTTTGCACCTGAATTTGAAGCACGGGTTATATGATACTGCATAATACTGCATAAACTTTGACGTAATTGCTGATGCCCTTTCAAAATTTCTTGCACTTTGACCTAGTGCACATGAAATATGTTGAAATAGGAACAGGTTGAACCAGCTGAGAATCTTCGTTTGGGTGCGATATGTACAGTCCCTGAATCTCTTCGGTTCCCGATCTTCGCAGGTTCGCGGCGCCAAGAATGACAGGGTAGAAGTGGAGTTCGATGATGGGCCAAAGGCTCTCAAGCCTTGCAATTTGAAGCTCTTGGATTGACCCCATGACCCAATATTACATATATTATATATATTAAATATATCATTCACAGATAAATAATATATAGTAATATATTATTACATGTCATGTACATATTGTAAATTTGATCCCGTTGAAGTTGAAACAGTATGACGGGTCCAAACCAATGCAGGTTTGATCATTCTAATTCTTGGCTTGGGTTTGGTTGACAACATGGTGGCACCAATCGCAAGGGCTGTGGCTAGCGGCGATTTTTTATCAGACCGTAGTTCATGTGACTCACCCTCCACCACTGTCAAAAAAGGTTTGGAACCGCTGCACCAAATTCGGTTTGCACGGAAGGGAACTCCAACTGAACTTGAATTGACGAAGGAACTGAATGACATGCTTCAGCCTGCAAGACTCAAAATGCATGGCTTTTGTGGTGCCCAGAAACCGTAGACTTTGAACGACTTTGAAGATTCTTGACACGTGCCGTTCTGCGGTAAACTCCCACAGAGAAGCCGGGCTGAGGTCAATACAGCAAGGATCCGGATCTTCTGGTGGCCCAGAGCTGTGAGGTGCAAAATCTGTTTCAATTGGGGATGCTCATAGGATTGCACATGTTACAATTTGGTGTAATTTCCGCAGTTGAGTATAGGGGCATGAATTGATTGCAAGTAGGTGTTTAGAAATCTTATTGGGAGTTTTGCTTCTTGGCTGGTTCGTGCTTGGTTTCTGTTGGGATCTGATCAATCTCCCTACACAATTTGAGATCTGGAGGTTTCCTAAAATAGGGGCAACCCCCAATCATCCATGTTAATAGGATTTTCATGGATTTTCCATTATAAACCATCCATTTTGGGGTACCCCCATTCTAGGAAGCCCCCATCTTCTTTTGAATCATGAGAAGAATGAGCCACCTGCATCACCTTGCCAATAGCTGACCCTTTGGAGGTGGCTTTGGCCACCATCGAGTACTGGAAATCATGGGAGGAGACGGCAGTACCGCTGTAGTTTTGGGATGTTTTGGGTTGGAGTCTAAAATCTTCCTTGACCATGACCCTTTGGCAAAGAAATGCAAAGAATAAATGCGAGTGTCCGAACCGGACGTTCGAGTTTTGGAATCCAAGGTTGATCCTACACTAGGTTTCTTAATCCATTAACAATCAATTTCAATCAATTTCCATCAATATCATCAATTTCCATTCACAATTCAACCTATCCCTTCCGAACTCAATCCCAGCTCTAGCAGGGGATCGTCGGATCCAGCGATGCCCCTATCCCTATTCCCCTGTACTTAAGAAGAATACTAGGAATATAGAAATGTGATATAATCTTAAATTATCTTAAATGCATATTTTGACAACTGTTTTTTCCCGGAAATATAGATTATTTTCCCCGACCATGACCATTGGAGTCTACTTTATTGTTTCACAATAAAACTTGGCACAGTCCCCGACCATATGTTGGCAGTTATGAAATACATCTTTATCACCTGTGACTTTGAATGCGGTAAAGAACCTGAAAATCACCAGGCAGAGTAACGAAGATCAACAACCAACGTGCATTGTATGCGTCCACGGGGTTTTCTGACATCCCCCTGCCTGGTTGAGGAGTTGGAAGCACGAATTGCTGGTGCTGACAGTCAGGAGAGGCTTTCTTTTTTGGTTTCTGGGCATACCTTATGTGTAATGATACCCACTGTCTGAGTACAGTGTGGAGAAGTCAACGGGGGTCTCATGTCATTCCAGCAGTCGCAGGACACCTGAAGTAGATGACTTGGGCTCGGCTACGCACGTGTGCAGCAGTGAAATGGCCGCCTATTGTGCACAACGAGTTGCTGGTTGTGCTGGGTGGAAAATGGAGTTTCTGCAGCACCAGTCCAGGGGTTGATGGGATTGATCTTGATGACAGCACGAGGTACAAGATGGTCCTTTAAGATGGTAGAATGTAAGTGCTTCCTTGCCACGATTTCTTTCCTGCGATGTCACTAGGGTGATACTGCGGCAGCCACATGAGCCATCCAACTGGAGGCCTACTTGCCAGACCTCTCTGTTTTTTTCAATCGCTTCAACATCAGCGCAGAGTTCTATGCCACACAGTGGTACTGGACCCAAAGTTGGGCCGGGTGGAGCAGGGTCCAATTTGTGATGGCGACGGCGACATCTCCCATCCCCATTTTTGGAGTCCAAGCCAGTTCAGCTCTTTGGATCACTTGGGCCAAGACTTGCGGCAATTCAATCTCGGAATTCCTATGAATTCCTACAACAGCTAGTATAAGACTGCTATTCACTGAAGTTCTGAGAGGGTGTGTTTTGCATCCAAGCTATGAATAATCAAGATTTGAGTGAGCTCGTGTTTCAAAAAGATACCGATAGGGAGCAAAAGGTTGAGGTGTATTGAGATGCAAAAGGGAGCGCCGGGAAGGTTTCAATAACTTTGTCATGAGATGTCATGGGTTTACCTCCAGATACTTCCAGATTCTCCTAGGTTCTTGACGCTCTTCGCCTACTCATTGCCATTCCCGCACCTATTGAGGGTGCGCCATGCAAGTTCCGCTGACATTCACTGGTCATGGCATGGCTGCGCAGGTCTGGGACAACTTTCTTTGTCGCGGGATAAAGTCATGGACACCCAGCCACAGCAGCGTGGGGCCGGGTTTTTTCCGCGACTCATGAAAATGCTGATGGGAATTAGTATTGAACTAGAGTATGCATTAATATGTATTTGCCTTGATTGTTTATCATGTGTGTATCTCTCTATCTATAAACATACATATATTATATTATATATTTGTCGGAGTCCATTCTCAAATGATTGAAAAAGTAACTGATGCTTTAAGTTTGGCATCTGTGGGTTTGCGATATTTTCGGGCAGCATGAACCATGAGCTGTGGCATGATCCTTTAACGAAGCTTTTATCTTGCAACCACATCCGGAATCAACCTTCGCCAAGATCGGCAAGATCAAATGCAACACTGCGTTTTGCATAAAAAAATATTCTCACTTTTTGTGTATTGAAGGGCTACTAGGATACAATGAGTTTTTCACAGCTGCAAAACAGTTGATTTCCACGGATACATACATCCCTGTAGACCACATTGTCCGCCACCAAGCTCCTACTTGTATAGTCTTGTACAGTCTTAGAGTTAGGACCCATCAGGGTTCAGTTACAATGTTTTGCTCCACCGTGCCATGTCGCTGGTTCTGCTTTGGAGTACTTGTTATTCCACAAGTCATGCCATTCCTGGACATGAAACTAGCACTACCAGCCAGACGTTGCAGGAGCCGGTAGTCTGAGCTGGACTGGTGTGAGTAGGTCATTGAAGACATGGGTTGTCCAAAATTGGAGGGTATACATGGGTATAGCAGAAAATGGCAATGTCCATGTGGAAAATGATGAGCTGCCGTGGGATTTTTGGGATTTCAATCAAACCCAAATCAATCGAGGCCTGACAGTCCTTTGCTACCACCGTGTCACGCTAGATGCCTGAAGATTTGCACCATCCAGATCATCCAGACCCCATCTTGTCGCAGGACGTTTCAGCGTGCGCATGCTGAATTACTACACAAAGGCAACAGCATTCTGTCCGGGAAGAACAAGTGGTTGGGTGGAGTTCTTGGATTGGACAATGACATTTACTGCATACCCTGCAACAAAGCCTCTGAAACCTGGCTGAACATGTCAGCTTTTAAGCAGCTTTATGTTTGTAGCGACGATATCATGGGTTTCAATTGTAATATGTTAATGAAGTACTGTATATATATATTATAAATTATAATGTTATATATTATAATTGTATACATAAAGATACATAAAGGGTATATATCATATATCATATATTATAATATATTATATATATGTTATATTATGATATATTATGTATTCCATATTATATACTATATTACTATATGTTGTAGATTATACATTTTTTAAAATAATATCTTAAAACATATATATGTCTAATACTTTATATGTTATATTATATATGTTCATACTATATATATATATATATATATTATACGTATATATATATAGTGGTCATCTAGTTTCATTCAACTTGTCCATTGCGTCAAGGTGCTCCAAATATCCACAGAGACAGGCCACATATCAACCTTCGGAAGCACAGCAGAAGGACGATTCAAGTGGTCTCGTGGCTTGCTTGCCCGGAATCTTTGGCATTTAGTCCCTTCCAAAATCAAACAGCCTCCAGAAACCATGGTGCAGTAGGGGATTTACACTTATTTGGGACCATAGAATGTGGGTGTTTGATATTAGGGGAAGGGATTAGTAGCAATGTTTGAAGTGTTAAATACCTTGGAGTAGCTGTCCTACATTCAGCTGTGGATATCTGTGGATATGGTTGAAAAAGTTACATTTCGTTGCACAAGCCTTGGGGCTTGCGGTCTGGTCATGGCTGAGGAATGGGAATATTTATGGAATTCCAGCAGCAGCTGAATCTGTGTTGAAGATCGTGCCTAGCACAAAGCAGGTTAGTGCCATCGGTTGCGTACCTTCTGGCAAGTGGAAATGGCACGGTGCCGCTATTGCTCGCGATGGATCTATCTATTGCATACCAGCAAACGTTGCTCTCTCTTTCATTCATACATGTTCCTCTTTTTCCCTTTTTGTTGATTGTAAATTGCTGTTTTGGTTGGACAGCCAGGGTTTTTAAAGAGGTCTGTGAGTAGGGACAAGATTGGACAAGATTGGACATGATTGAACAAGATTGGACAAGTTTCCCAAGGAGTGGACAGCCAGTCAATATTTAAAGCATTCCAGAACCAGTCGTTCTTGCAGCCGGTGATGTTTTTCAGTCCGAGTTGAAATAGGAGGTTGCCCTTGTCCTTTGCTTTGACACCTACAGATAACCCGTGGTAATTTAACATAGCTATGGACAATCACAATCCCTAAGTATCTTGAAAAGGTAAATTATAATAAATCATTTATACATGGGCCATTTTCTATAGCTTTGCAGCATTATGCAGCTATGTCAAATAACCAGAGGGTATCCACAACCGAATTCAAGATCCAACTCCTTTTCACCATCTGCGTTGCTGAGGCTGATCGAGTTTTGCGAATTGATCCAGAGACGGATCGAGTTGAGACAATTGGCGATCCTCTACCTGGACGATGGAAGTGGTATGGGGGCATCCTTGCAGAGGATGATTGTACCTCTTAAGAAGCAGTTTCAACATGTTATTACATGTTTCAACTGCCATGAGAAACTGGGTAATACATAAATGGTAATAAATGTTAGGATATGTTAGGATAATTTAGATGTTAGTCACGTTGTCAGGATGAGCAGCTCTTCTGTTGCACTATCTGCTAAGTTTATGTCATATTATACCAGTACGATACGACGAGATGTGACACATCTCATCAACTCGCCATGGAATCGCTTTGAGTGATGTTCATTTTGTCAATGCTCAAAGAACACATTCCAGCCAGTTCTGCAAAACAGCCTGATTTGACTGATTTTAGTGCACTCAACTACTTCTTAGGTATCTATGGCGTCCCATACAGTGCTGGATCAGTTCTGAAAATTGAGCCAGCGACAGGCAGGTGTTTTGGAGTCATTGGAGAGTTGCAGGATGGAATTTGGTGGAAACGGGATAGAACCAGTGAAAAATCTTTAGCGTCCCCTGACAGGTAAAGTCTCGACTATTGGAGACCTCAAAGAAGGGGATTGGAAATGGCATGGTGGTTCCTTGGGTTTGGATGGTGCAATTTATGGCATCCCAGCACACGCAGATTCGGTCTTGAAGATTCAACCTGAGACTGGAGAAGTGAAGACCATAGGACCGCAATACGGGAACAGCATGGAACAAACTGAACAAACTGCAGATTTCTCACAGCGTCCCACTGGACCTCCGTGGAAAAGATGGAAAAGGAAGTCCAGGTTTGCAGACTCTTTAACACCACAAGATTAGTATCTTGAAGGCAGAGCACACGCATGTGTAAACCCATATATAACAAGGACAACAGAAAAAGGCTCCCTCGCTATATCTATCCGATCTATCCATACTATTTTTTTGTCTATCCATCCATCCATCCATCCATCCATCCATCTTTCTAATCCAACCCAATCAAGTATCTCTATCTATCTTTTCCTTAAACTCGTTGCGGATCTGACCGCTGGTAGATTTTGACACAGGAGGGCCTTTTCCTGGAAGATACAAATGGCTCGGTGCGGTCTTGGGCAGTGACGGATGTCTCTACGGTATTCCGTACAATTCGCAGAAGATTTTGAAGTCACCTGGAGGCAACGTTGACATGACCCCAATGAACAAGTTCGAAGGATTTTGTAATCCCAATTATTCAGGGATGTAGACTCTGAGTATGTGTGTATATACTTATATATATATAGTTTGATCTGGCTTCAGCAGAGCCTGTTGAAACCAGTTTGGTAGTGATCAATTGCTATTATACTGTATATTTATTTTGGCTTGACACCATTTTGGTCGACCAGCAGCATGCTTTATCAAGGATCACACCAAACAGCGAAGATGTGGAGCTGATAGATGTTCCGCTGAAAGGCCGAAATATGTGGCAAGGCGCAGTTGTTGCAATGCGTTTGCACTGACTGGTACTCGTAATTTCAGTGTTTGGCGCCATGAGTTTTTACTGCGCTTATCTCCTGACTGGTGTTCCAGGTGGAGTGCAAGGACCAGATGGAACTGTTTACTTCATACCACGCACCTCGCATTTTGTGGGAAGAAGTGAGCATGCTGTGTATGCTTTGCAAAACCTTTACTTGCTGGACATACTTGGATGATCTTGGATGTCGATTTCCCTGTGGGAAATCTTGGTGTTTTTACTGGTACCACAGTCGGTACCACACTATATGACAGCTGATTCAAATGATGTCTTCTGATGTTTCATGACGTTTCATGGACTTTGTCCTCCAACATCATCTAAGGTTGGGCCGAGCACGTTTTGCGAGTCTCTGCAGATGGAGCCACTGTCGAAGCAGTCAGTGGTGAAGCCTTGGTAGGTCTCTTGACAGTGAGGTGTAAGGCTTCTCAGAGTTGAGAAAGATACCCTCTGGTAAACTAGCATAGCTGTTGAAAATCACCATTTTTAGTGGGTAAATCAACTATAAATGATATAAATGGCCATTTTCAATAGCTATGTTAAATTACCAGAGGGTAACACTGACCGGCGCTGACCACAGATTCTTTGCTGAGAATGATTGGTTCCCACTTGGATGAGGCTGGAACAAATTTCAAGGGGCTGTGCTTGCGCGAAATGGATGCATCTATGGTGTCCCGTTGCTTAGCTGTTTTTGAATTGTGCTTGCCAAAGATTGATATGTCTCTTTGGATATCTTGTAATACAAGGGATTAGAAGGGTTTATTTGGAAGATACTAGAAGGGCATTCAAACAGCTCCAGAGCGATCACTTCAAATTCTCAAGCGGCTGAGGCAGGATTTGGACGCTGTTCTGAAGATCGAGCCTGACCGACTGGACCACTCAGCCAGCTGATACCAGGTATAGATGGTGAGCTTTGCTTCAGAACACATAACTATGATAGGTCCGCACACATCCTCACACTGAAATACCTGAAATACATTGTGGGCATTGTGGACTCGGAGTCTCTCAGCTTTGGCCCGAGCTCATCCCGAGCTATTGGACTTCATGGACTTCAAAGCCAACGGAGCAATGACAACGGCCTGACATTCAAAGCTGGCAACTATCACATTAAAGTGCCCAATGTTCCCAAGGGCCGTTCTGTAGTTGTGAAGAGGGCAAGAGTAGAGCCTTTAGGCCTTTAGCTTCCACCTGCCGAAAGAGTACGTGACGGTCAGAGGTCGGCGAAGATTACACGAGATTACAAGATAAAGATATTACAAGGCTTTGGAACGCATGTTCTATTCAGATCAAATCTGGAAGCGGAGGGGTATTTGGCCTGCATTTTGGTTATGGACCTGATCTGGAAGATTCTGGAAGCTTGGTGATCGTTGATTTGCAGTTGGCATCACCGAGGGTGCTTCCAACACTGCGCCAAGGGGATTCGCGTAGGAGAAAAGGTGAGCAGCTGAGCACTTAATGGATCAAGATTTTGCAGGATGTTCTGGGTGTATCCGAGATGTACAGATGGTTGCAGGGAGATGGTACGGAGCGATGAACTTTGAGTCTGAATTGATACATCAATGCAGCTTCAACCCATCTACCAATTATCTGAAGAAAAACAGTTGTTAATCATCCTTTATCCACAGTGTTTTGTCCTATTGTTCAGATAGTCTTCCATCTCACATGTAGAGTCCTCAACCGTGATGACAGTATGTGCAAATTTACGTTCTTTTTTGTGTGACAAGGGAAGAGTCAATATCACAAAACAGACACTGGTGGAAATTGTTGGAGATGTTTCCCCCACGGCGGCGACATGGATCGTCACCCACGTCCCGCAGAACGCTGAGGTTTATTCATCGTGTTGGCCTGGCATTGCTCAAAGAGGCTCACAAACATCGAGAGCATTACCACCATTGCCCATGATGAGCCACGCTGAACTGGAAACGTCATGCATTTTGTGCTGACCCACTGAACTCCTAAACACCCGATTCTTGTGTTGCTGTGAAGACTGTAGTACGAATGAGTCAACAAGATACTTCTATAGCCTGACAATGCCTGACAGATCAATGCCTGCATGTGTGACTATCACTTTGGATAGGTCATGGATTTCATAGTATTGATAGGAGTTGCGTTCATGTGTTGGTAGGCAAAGTCGGATCTACTTGGCCAGAACTTTGATGGAGCAATTGAAAGGTCCAGCAGCATGGCTGAGATGGCAGCACTGTCAGGACAAAGTGATGTCAAGATTTTATACACTAGTAGTCTCTAAAAGTATCCAGGATGTTTCAAGTTTTAACCCCACTCGAGAGGCCAATTGCAGACAAACAAACTAGTTTGGTCTGATTTGCATGATTTTGCATGTAACCATCATGTAACCATGGGAATATTATTCAAGAAACATGGAGAAACATGTTGCGAAATTGTCGATGTCGCTGCTTTGCCAGGTTGCGCTTCTTGTGTCAACGGTCCCAGCTCTCTCCTGAGGCGCTGGTAGACTGGTCATTTATGGTCATTCCTGCATGGCCGCTGGTGGTTTGAATGTTGGTTTTTGACATGTGACTCACTGGTAACATCTGGGTTTTGATTGTTGATATTGTTACTTCTGTGTTAGTCTGTGTGATTAGAGGTCATGTTTTAAGACCAGTCCAGACTTGGGGGTGGCAAACATGAGCAAACATTATATATATCATTATCGCTAGGGTATACTAGGGTCCAGTGTGGTCCAAGCCATTTCAAGCCTCTAGTCGGAGGCCCTTGTGGCTTTGGCCATGGAGTTTAAGGCAGGACGTCTCCGCACTTGGACAGGTATGGCATGTGTGTTTGCCATTTGGCCATATTTGACATTGAGTCATTGAGTAGCTGCTTAGCTGAAGCATGCAGAACACTTAAAGCTGTTTTGTGAATGGCCAAAACCATTCATCCTACCAAGATTTGGACTTAGCATGTCGGAGTCTTGCAGCAAGCGAACTTAGATAACGGGCATCGTTCTTGGCAGCCACGTTGCGCTTTAAGATCTGAGCAGCTCATGATGAGCACTTGATACATATATAATGTAATTATACACATCAAATATAAATAGTAACAGTGATAACAATAATAATAATAATGATAATTAGATATAATTAGTAATAATGATAGTAATGATAATAAAGACATAGTGATAATAAGCAAGAATGATAACAATAATGATAATAAATAGATCACTATATAAGTAAATCAATATATATATATATAATAAATAAGTGAATAAACAATAATACCTAATAATAACATTAATAATTATTTTCATGATAGCAAAAATGGGTTTCGCTCAATGTCAGGTGACCAATCGCTTCCTGAGCGACCTGGAGCAAGCAATTACCAGTCCCAGTGGTGGTTCTTCCCGGCTGCCCTGCTGCTTCTTGGAGCGCGACTTGGACCGTGCGGATGCCCAGACTGCCCAGACATATCCAGACAGTGCCATGGTGCCATGGTAACAGGGAGATGGGCGTTTCAATGGCTGACTAAAAGAGAGGCAAGTCGAAATTCGAATGGATAGAGAAAAAATGGTTTTGATATTATGTTTATACTATTGATTATGTTTACTATTGTTTAAAAATTGGTTTTGATCATGTTACAGCATGCTGAATCTAAGAGATCCACGGTTTCGATTGTTCAATGTGCTTTGCAGCTCTGTCGTGTGGCTGTAGTTTGGCATCACGCACGGATTTGTCTATAGTCAAGTACGTACCTTGTCTATGCTCATACAGATTAACATAGATTCACATGATACATCAATCATCAATGTACTTCTACCAGGCACACAGTTCTATAGAAGTAGCATACGGTCAGTACCGATTGGAGAAAGGAAGATCACTCCACACGTCGGCCGAACAAGTGTTGACAAGGTGGGCGGACGCAGTGCCGTTTTCTGATGAACGAAAGAGGAGCTGCCCATAGCTGTTCAGAGAAGCACTGCCAGCGTCAGATTTTGATTTGATGAAATTGTCACTGCTTGGGCCTTTGCAATGTTGGCTGAATTTCACTGTGCTGTTGTTGGCAAGACATCCTGAGTTGAGATTAGTTTGACTGGTTAGTCTCTACCACTAGCAGACACAAGGCAATTTGCCGGTACATTTACAATGATTGACATCATCTACAGATTCATCCTTATCTATAGTATTAGTATTCCATACTTGAACTATTTTCATCAGATGCGATCTTCCCATCTGCCAACCATTCCGGACCTGTTGATTTGGATGATTGACTCAATCTCTGAAAATCAACTAATGTGGGTACCCATTTTTCAGATATGTCAGTAATTTCATCAACAATGGTACCCATTTTTCTCCCATTGTTCAGCCATTTTGTAAGGTCCAGAAGGCCCCTCTGTGGAAGCTGATGGTGACACCTTCTGGGAGGCGTCGTTGCCGGCGCCGCGAGTCCCTCAAGACCCGGCAGCGATACCAAGCGAAGCGACCCAGCCGCCCAAGGAGAAGAAGGCAGAGAAGCTGCAGGGTCGGGTCATTTATTGGTCTTTTCATGTCATTTCATGTAAAAAGAATTAAAAAGATGGAGGTTTCAGCAAGAAAAAATGGGGACAATTTCGCGTTTACCATTGGCTACATACCCAACAAAATTAGGATTTTACCGGCAAAAAATAGAGAATATGAGAATTATTAGATCGAGCCAACAAACATGGTCTTAAACCTGCCAACTTCTGATCACTTGTTCTGTTGGTCTTGAAGCGGTAGAAGAACTTATGAAAACCTGCTGGTCTCCATAACTTCAACGATACCAGCGAGTATTCAACAGAAGGGATGCAGTGGGGATGATTGACTGCGTTCCTTTGGTGGAACAGGTCTCGCTGTGTCTTTTGAGTTGCAATTTGTGCTTCTGCCACAGGCAAAATCACAGCTCAAGCACGGCACTCGGTTGATCTGCTCAATACCGTTTCATTTTTCATAGGGCCAAGGTAATTAATTTGGAAAGTTGAACTGACAAGACAAACAAATTCGGACAAAACCATGCAAATCCAACAAGTTATTACATTGTTTGATGCAGGGGTTATAAGGACATACGTTATGTGGAAGCGAAAACCACGATACGTGAGGGCAGCGCAGCATATTTTGACCCCTGAAAGCTGGCTGAAGCTTGGGTGTTCTTTACTTTAGGAAACCAGGTTGAGTCAAATGGTTGGGAATGCGAGTCATGATGATCTTTCGATTGATCAAGCATAGCTGTGCGAACCTTGGTAGCCTGTGAATCAGATGTGAATGGATCACCTTCGTATGCTGTGCAAGCAAGGTCCTTCGCCAAGAAGTCTCAGCAGGTCCTGAGCAAAGTAAAAGCGCCAGCTAGCGTCCTAGTGCCTCCATGGAACATCACTTGCACGGGGAAGGAAGTGAACCTGCGATCACTGCATACTCGAGCACACAATGCGAGCTGGGTCAATGTGGCAGAGTTCCTGGATCCTATATGATTCACAGAGAGACTTTGAGAATCTTTGAGACGAGGTCAACATTGGTCAACTAGTCCTTGCTAATATTGCTACTCTCAAGATCGGCTCATATCAACGATCAAAATGAGGAGCTCTGAAGCAGATGGTGATGATGGTGTGCCTGAAAATTGGGAACCCCTAAATATTTGACGGTTTATGATCAATTTCCCCATCGCAGACGTCCTGGAACTGCACCAAGCCAACTGAACGCAGCTCCGCTGTGGATGGAAGCAGAGTGGACATACCCAACTAATGATGAGATTATTGAGATTAAATCTTTGCACTCGTTTTTGTTCCAAACACCAGAAAGCACCTGTACTGTACATTCCTTTTGAATATTGACAAATACCATTCGAATAATTTGGAGAACAATGAGAACCGATATCCAGATGTTGCAGATGTCTGGTCCCAAGGCCGTGCTTAGTCGCAGCTCAGGCTCTCCAGGGCTGGGCTGGAAATTGGAAACTGGAGATATCAAGCGAGCAAAATCCAACGAGAGCATGAGCCCTTTGGGGATTTTCTCCATAGTCTTGAGACGGTAGAGCTGGCTGGAGGCAAACATTCCAAAGGTCAGGCTAGGAACTCAGTTTTAACGGATTTGACTTCATCTATTCAGAAATTAGGAACGCTACCATAATTTGCAACACATGAGCTGCACATGCAACCTGAGATAATTCCTCATGAACACAGTTCAGACACATTTTGGGCACGGAGAGACATCTTTGGAGATGTGAATTACAGTTGTTCATATTTACATGTGTCAACCGCTCAAACCAAGGCTCCCACGGACTCAATTCTACACCTATCAGACTCAGAGCGAGTGAAGGATCGGATCCGCTGGAGAGTTGATTCTCATTGATCAGTTATCGAACAAACCACAAGCTGCATCCTTTCCGATTTTGCTGGACTCTTTTGGCACAGCTACCTGGACATACCTGGACTCTGGGGATTGAATGAATACCCCACCGCTCGTCAGCAGCTAAGCTGCTATGGCTTGACTTGACCCACTTGACCCACTTGACCCACTTGACCCACTTGACCCACTTGACCCACTTGACATCCCTAGGAGAATTCCCATCCCTCAAGATCTTCATCGGTCCCTTCGAGGGGGTATCAGAGATGCGGCCTCTTGGCTGTGCTCCCAACGTTTGAACCTTTTTGCAACGGGGGCATGGTGTTTCTATGTCTTTCTGCTGATCGAAGGTTTCCCACTGATGTATCAGATTATATGACATTAAAATACATTATATTATACCTGGTAAACCTCCAGATTGCTTTTTTCTGCTCTGTTTTAAGAAAACGTGGTTTTTTGCCATTTTGAACGCAAAAAGTGCTCTGGAACGGTTTTTTCCAATCCGAACGCTTTTTTACGCTCTAGAGGTGTTTTCCTTGCAAAATGACTAAATCATACCATTTGGCATGATATCTTATGATGGCCTCCAAACTCAAGCTGGTTGGCTGTTCTTTGTAGAAAACACCAATATAAAGCTGATGTGTATAGTATATATATATAATATAGAGTCTTATAGAGGGAAACAACTGCAGGCTATCAGCTTCGCCAAGCCAGCATGATCTGGGTAAGGTACCGGTTGAAGGTACGTAATGACATCAAACGAGGTGATACATGCCTGGTTATATAGGCAGCATGCCCAACAAAGTCCTCATCCAGGCTGCAGGACTCTACCATTGGATTCAAAACCCATGGACTGATCTTGGCTTGGTGTTCCATCAGGAAAAGAATCTCTTCCAGTGGGTGAATCTTTGGAATCAGGGGAAATTTCATCTGACCTTTCTCACGCGATCTAGCAGCAAGAAACCTGTAACTGGAATGGAAGTGGTTTCCACACCTCACACATTCTAAGGCCATTTCTCGAGGTATCCACACATCACAGTTGTACAGCAAGTGCATCAGGCGGTTCAATGCTTGAACGCCAGATTCCTCAGCGCACACAGGCATGCAGGCACAGTAAAAAAACAATTCTCACCCGGAAAACACTTTAAACGCATACTCGCATCTTAAAAATATTGTATACATTTGTATACATGGCAAAGTATCAATGAACTTGGTTCTGTCATCGTCGAGGGCCAAAATTTGTTCTTTGTAAGTCGCGCATAGGTGCTCTAAGAATCTGCACATGTTGGATGTGACAGAAGCTTTGTTCCAGGTTCCTGTAGGCTCCTCTGATGCTGAAATGTTGAAAGTCCGTGCGTCAATCTTGGTCAAATATTTTTGAAGGTGGTTGCTGCGACAAAAGGCACTGTAATCGGAGTTCAGTTGCGCATAACGTAATGCTCGGTTTCTTCCAGGGAATGCTTTCTCCAAAACAGATACGGCACCTCCAACAAATGTCTTACCTACCCCCAAGTTGACTGTGTGCCACAAGTCTGGCCGATGAAAGGTGCATTTACCATTCGGGGCAGCATTCACCAGGAGCATCCTTGTAAAAGCAGCTTCGGTTTCCCAGGGAACAGGAAACTCATTCTCCAATGCATCTTGCATGCAGCGTAAAGCCACGCGCCTAAGTCTGCATCATGGAAGGAAGAGGATAAAGCGAGGGAACAGGAAAAACATTATATATATGTACCTAGGAACCCAAATGAATGTTTTTTTTTGATCATACGGCCTCAACCATTTTTTTTGGTCATTACGGCTTACGGGTGTTTCCCAATTTGGGGGTTCAGCCATAATCACACACAATTGCTTCACTCCCCCTTTTTCTGTGCTTTGGACCATCAGCTTCAAGCGGGCCCGTCATCTCGGCGAAGCTTCTCTTCGTCGGCTGCTGAGTGTCAGGGTTCGGGCTGTTGACCCACGCTTTGTTTGCCATCACAAGATACCTTTGAAGTACTCTCAATCCAATTGCCCTGGGGGAAATGCGTCGGCTGACGCGACAGCATCTCCCCACAAAGTCCTGAAATGAGACATCCCCAGGGAACGGAAAATACAACAGTGATGACACATACTAGGATAGGACCACATAACGACCAACATATCAAAATTCAAATAAATTCAAACTAGACTCCTCATCAGCCTGCACTGACTCCGCTAGGATGTTCAGTGTCCATTTGTTTTGGGCTCCAGATACCAAACGACACCAGTGATGGTCCAACATGTGAAACTTAACATAGATCGGGAAGCGTGATTTTCGCTCAGTGAAGCACCTATAGGCAAGATTTGCATAGATACGTAACCACTTTCTTCCGTTGTTTCCAGCTGCAAGCGCTTCATTGGACGTCAGCCACAACCCAGACGAGTAACGAATTGAAAAAGTGTCGTTGGCCGCTTTGACAGCTTCAAGAATCATCAAAAAATACTCGTCCTCATTGAATTGATTAATCCTCCCTGTCAAGAACCATTCCACAAACCTGTGGTAGATATGCGTGTCAGCAAACTTTGACCAACCTCCTTCAGGTAAGACCTGGAAGCTTGTAAGGCCAATTCTCTCCGCAACAAATGGACCTGAATGAGGAAGGTTGCAACCCGGCCGTTTGGCCCACTGACGTAGGAGAACATCCAACTGGGAAATTTTGTCTTCCCTTGACCCCGGCAAAAGAAGCAAACATTCAGCCAGCACTGAAGCTATGAAAGTTTTACCTGCTCCTCCATGGTAGTTGTGCCAAACATCAGTCTTGAGATAGTCATGGGGACGATCGATACAATGAAACAATTGCAGCACTGAAGGTCGTGTAACCCAAGGATCAACTGTAGCAACCACAGACCATTGAGCATCTATGTTGAAATCTTCAAAAGGCCCCCCTGGCTTTGTGCCAGCCAAACACATCCAACAAACCCCAGGAGGAGATTTGTTTTCCTCTGACCTGTGCGCCCTTTGCCAATGCCTCGTCAGGTCTCCAACGGTCCTCAAAAACGGAAGATCCCCTTTCACACCTAAGCAAGCGATGTTCCATCTTTCCCCTGCGTAGGTAAACCCAATGTCTTGAAGTTTGAGGAGGTCATTGATCATCTTGTTGAGTACAGCCTGGAAATTCTCCTGAGTAAGGATAGGGGGCTGAGTGGGATTAAAATTAATGTCACAGGAAAGGACAACCAAAGGCAATCTAAGAGGATAGAAAATGAATAATATCATAGTCCCAGAATCTGGTTTCGCCTTGTAATGTTTCTTTGGCATTGCAACAAACAGCATTCGACTGTTGAAAGAGCTCCCTTGAAGGTTGATACCCATCTTGAGTTGACGAAGAGATCTAATTGGATGTCTTTTGAGGAAAGGTTTGCTGCCACGACCAATGGCCCCTTGTAGGCTCAATATCATGACACCCGATCGTTTGAATCCACGACCTTCATCACCATGAATGTAAACTGGAATTGTTCGTGATAGCGACAGCTTGTTTTCAGCAGCAGCTCGAAAGACTCCATAATCTGGCAATTCAAGGCTGTAACGTCGCCAAAACTCTAACAACATTGGTTGCACTTGTTCCATGGGTTGTTCCCCAAACAACTTGGACAAGTTGTTGGATTGAACCAAGTAGTCAATGGTGTCAAGCATACTGAGCACAGGGTAGCTATCACCACCATCCAAGTCAACCCAGGAAACCGGAATCTTCAACGCCAGGTTGTGCTTCTCAAACCTTGGTTGGGGCAGGGTTCAAAGTTAAAAAGTGCAAGTTGAAATGCAACCCAAAGCATCCCTAAAAAGAATAATTGCCGTAATTTTTATATGGGATCATATGGAGTCAGCTTCAGCTACGTCACAGTTTATGGCATTCGTCTTCTGCTCTCTTAGTTGGCACACTTGCAAGACGGGAAGTGATTGGGCAACTTGTAGATCCATAATGATCGACTGCGGCCTTGCTCATCTCAGCTACAGACTTGGCGGTGGCCTGGGCGATCAAAATCCAATCGTTGGGGGTACAATAAGCTAGAGATCTGAAAAGGGTCATGTGAAAGAGATCATGCGAAAGAGGTCATGTGAAAAAGATCATGCGAAAGAGATCATGTGAAAGGATTCATGTGAAAGAGATCTGGTGAAGGAGATCATGTGAGAAAAAAAACTTTGAAGCAGGAGCTTTTGACCTTTTTCTTTGCCAGGGATCGCTAGCGTATGTCATGTAATTTTCAGCATCACGTAGGGCAATGGGAGCACCACGTGGGAACAACAGCGTGCACATTTAAGCAAATTTGCACAACAGCGCAAGCCATACTGCATGGCCTAGCCATAACGAATTGGCAATTGAAAAAAGCCCACTCAGCTGCCACAGCTCACATTTTGATCGGTTTCATCACGGTTCACTTCCAAGTTGATGAATTTCCAATTGCTAATGACCGTATCCAGAACCTGTAGTTGCTCCAAATCACGGAGTCTTTGCCTTGCTTCAAAGGCATGCTTTTCAAAAGGCCGTTTGGGTCCTGCCACAAACCCCCAGGGCAAGTCTGGGTCGTGAACACCCAAAGCTTCAAATGAAGCCTTCAATGAGGCCAGAATTCTTTCCCTTTTCTCAACTACACGGGCTCGAGTATCCATGGGGAGCTGACGACTAAACTATTCTGATTTTTTGTTTGTCTTTTGGGCCAAATCTCCAGAAT